GCTGGCCCAAACGATTTTGAAACGCAAATTTCCCTCCGTAGATAAGCCCCTCCAAAAATAAGCCCCTCAAAAGAGCCTTTGAAAAATATAAGCCCCGGGGCTTATTTTCGAAATTTTACGGTATCACCTTTACACTTGGTAAGTTTCCTACTTTTAAGGCGTTTCCAAAGTCGTATTATTTGGCCCTTTTCGAAGAAGGACTTTTTCTCATATGTTCGTAAGTCTGAGATCATTCCCAAGTATCCAAATGTTCGTTTTCTTTCTTATCAACACAGCATAACTAAAAAGATGCTAGTTACTGCTATATTTTTACTGTTGATCTATTTTACTTTTTGATCGTATTTAAAGCCTTCTTGGAAACCTTCACTTGATTTTAACCACGGGGTAAACAGCCCTTGTCCTTTTGAACTCGGAAATGTCTTTAATACAGACGATCTCACTTTCGGTACTGTCGACTGCAACTGGTCGAATCTGCCATTCATTATCGTTACCCAGACCACTGTCGTCATCCACTTGAGCATCTGGGCATGCGTGTGCCTCACATTCTCCTGACCCAATCACCTGATAAGAAAAAATTAGTTGTTATTGGACGTGAGACTTAATTTCCTGAGCAACTTTTTTTGAAACTTGGTTGCCACTAAAGAGGTCCACGATGTCTTCTTTGGTAGATTAAGTCTACCAAAGTCTACCATAATTCTAGTATCGCAATTTTTACGCTTTACAGTAACCGTCTTAAATAAATTAATTAATAAATAAAATAAAAATAATAGAAAAAACAAGATAAATAGATAAAGTGTAACATCTGCAAAATTTCATTGCAACTGACGAAAGAAAAATACAAGAAATATTGCCAACGTTAAAGTACTAAAACACCATGAGACGCTTGTTTGACATCGTACAGCAACTGAAGTTTGACAGGGTTCAAATTCCATTCTCACAATAAAGGAAAATTTGGACAATTTCCACAGTCTGCTAAAGATCTTCCCAATTCTCATTTGAAAAGTTTCCTATGTTAAACACTGAAGATATACAAGATACACATAATTGGATCAAAAGCAAAAAATAAATAAATTGCTGTAAACGTTGTGTTGGGGTAGGGGTGGGCTATACCTACAGATCGTTAAAATTTCAAGCACGTTAATGAGATATGAGTAGTAAATAAACCACTCTGTTAACTATTTACAGAGATTTAGGCGCTTTTGTATGTCATAATATGTTTACCTGCACACTTAGCTTCTTATAGTTATTTCCATGTTTTCTGTGAGACCTAAACCACTCATCAATAGCTTCTTTGGTTAGATTCTTTAAGATGTTGACCTGGTAGAGAACAAACAAAGACACTTGAATTCCCGCCCGCTTCATTTTCGGGGCTTAACTGAGTGTCTTAAAAACCGCTTAAAAGAATCCGCTTAACAGAATAAGCCATTTCCGAGCCCCAAATCCATCGCTTTCAAAGTAAGGCTAAGTGCAAACCCTTTCTTGCAAAATTGACTTTTATTTGTACAAGAATGTAAATACAGTCGAACCTCGCTTAATATGGACACCCGTTAATGCGGACAACGGACACCTATTTTTTACCCCTGCAATCAACGAATTCTAACCGAGAGCCAATCTCGCTAAAACAGACACTTCATTTCAACTGTGTGCTGTAATTGGTAAAATAAAAAAAAACAACCTTCAGTTGACAGCATGTCGATGCTCCCAGCGCTACCATACACCGGAAGAGCTGTAGACGTCAATTTTTGGCATGGAGCGACTTATGCAGAGAAGGGTTTTGATTAAGTAATATATAAATGACCGATTTTTAAGTGTTTCCGTGGACTTAATGACGGCTTTGTGAAGGTTTGAGAAGTTTAATTTGACGATGCTTGTGTCCTCTTTTAGTGGTTTGGTATTTTGTTCTAGTAAAAGGGTTTTTTTTACTTATATAACATGGCCCGCTGAATACGGACATTTTCTGTGGTCCCTACGGGGTTATTAACGGGGTTTGACTGTAATTAATTTTCATATCAAAGGCTTCGAACCTACCCGATGCTACTTACAAATGGTCTATTGTTAATTTTATGGACTTCACTTTGAACTCATTACTGGCCGAAAGTTTTGGGTGGTTTTCGGCAACTCAATATGCAATATGCGTAACAACTGCACCTACCTCTCGACGCCTCCTGTCAAACAGGTAGGTCTGGTCTAAAACTTCAATCCAGTTTCTCTCAGCTTCTTCTGCTAAGCTAAGGTCCTCGTGTTCCTTCAACTCAATAAGGGAATCAACCTGCACATATTTAAACAACACGGTGTCCTTAGAGCGTATGACCTTGAAAAATGGTTTTGTAAGTGTTCGTTATTGGTTTTATCAGCCAATGGATGAAAAGATCAAAACATGGCCTCTTCGTTTTCCCGCCAGAGAAAACCCTAATATGGAAAAGATATCGTTCAATTGGCCAATCGTGTTGCCATATGACGTCAAAGCGAAGTATCGATTGATTTCTAGAAAGTTCTCGGGCATGACGTTTTTTCTCCCGAGCGTTCCCTTAACCAACCAAAAGCCACGCGCGTTTGTATCTGTTCGATAAACCAATTAAATCGCTCTATTTTCGTTCGTTTGCTGTTTCTGTTTTGTTCGCGTGTTTTCCTTTCAAGGTCATACCAAAATCGCTCTAATTTAAATGTAAATGAGTATGTATACTAATCATATTCAAACAGGGTGAGGGGGCTTTTAAGCATCCTTCCTCACCCCCCCCCCAACCTCCTTCTTCACACTAAAAAGTTGAACTTAGCGCTTTCAATCTCGCAGCCAATATGTTAAACTCGTTATGACGTGTACGTTCACATTGACGTTATATTGCAACTGAGGTTTCTCTTTTTTTTCAAAATTGTGATTGTCTCTTTAAAAAGGTTTTATTATTAGTTTTATTTATTGAATTACAGTATTACACTAGATTAAGCTATATTCTATCCATTTCCTTTCTTTGGATAACTGTTAACGTACTGTATTCCAAGCTACAAACAAACAACCAAACAACAATCATGAATTTAAAATGACTGCAAATAATACTAGGTTCAGTTTTCAACAGTGTTTATTTTTTCTCGGAATTTCATAACTTAAGGATTTTTTTGTTACTGTTTTGCTTCTGAAACATGCTTTATTCGCAGATAAATTTTTCTATAGTGATTATCTCGATTAGCTCTCAGCCCGTGAGAGGTCTCTCGCCGCATGAGAGATAGACCACACGATCGGGTTCTATGTGTTCTCTACCCATTTTCGCACAGCAGCACGGGTTCGTCGTTCCAGGCCAATGAGTCAGGCCAACGGTATACCGTCAACACCCAATAAGACGCAATCATCTGAATATACGTCTAGGTTTGTACGTAGCTGCAAAATTTGCAATTACAAGAAGACACGGGCTCGTAATCTCACAGGATTCGAAACGCAGCTTTCCGTTCAGAAGAGTGGCGCTCTTTCAACTTTTCAACATGAACTCGTGGGAGCAAAGGCCATTTAACCGCTAGGATTGAAATGTCAAAACTCCCGCCTAGCGGACACCCCGCTATAACGCACACCCCGATAATACGGACAGTAGCTAAATCCCCGGCCAAAAAAAAAATTACAGACGTTTGACTGCACTAAAACTAACGCTATTACGGACTCTCGCAAATAAGGACACTTATTCGAGGTCCCGTGGAAAAGGTGGCCAATGATTGTCCAGAACACGCAGAAAGATATCCCCTTAAATTGGCGACCACGTGACGGGTTAAAGTGAATTAAGTTCACTCTGGAAAGCATCCGAGATAGAGGTGAAAGTTTAGTACTTGGATCCTCCAAAAGCATCATTATTTGTGAGGTCTTGGGATGTTCTATCTTCCTACGAATATGCTACGCGTTTCAAAATTACCTGGCTTTTGAAGTCTTCGTTAGTCATCGACTTCAACATTTCACCAAATTCGTCCAAAAATGCATCTATTCGCCCGTCCACATGTTCCGCACTGAGAGATGAAACCGCGAATAAAAGAAATCCAATTACGACGATAATAAAGACGAAAAGAAAAACTACGACTTAAAGAGAAATTTGTTTGAATTATTATAATCTGTCTTCACTATACCAGATTGAGCCGCCAAGAAAACCATATCGGTAAGGGCTTTTGTTTACACACACAAAAAACGGGGATTGCAGAGCGATTTCTGTGACGGGGCAAAGCTGCGCCATGCCAGTCTTTCATATTTATAGCTGGGTGAATTTGGTTTCAATTCTCATTCGCGATGACTAAACACTTCTGTTAGAGGTTGAAACAACTAATACCTGAATTTCCCCGCTTGCGTTTGAACAGTGACAGAAAATCCCAGAATTCCAAATGTGTTTCTGCAAGTGCAGAACACGGAATATCTAAAATAGAAAAGTCAGGAAAAAGAACTGAAAAAAGACCAGTAACAACAATGTTATTCTTGGTTCAATGTTTGTTTAAGTGTTTTTTGATCTGTTGATGGTAAAATTACAGTTTGACAAAAGGAAGGCGGGATAAACTTTGGATCGAGGACCACGCTATAAATATACCACCGGTGTGGTTTCCATAAAAGAGATTTTCATTTTCTGAAACAGTTCTTGCTTTTCAAAAGATTGCTTTCATGCTTTATTTGCTTTGGCGTTTCTCATCAGGGCTTCCATCAGCCATTTTATTCATGAGAACTCCTCCTACTGCTGCACTCTGGGAATGAACCCCTAGCAGCAACTTTGTCCTGGTGTCGGTGCTCTGGTTCTAAATACACTGCAAAAGGCGACAGAGCCGATCTTACCCAAGCTGTTCTCTAGTTCGAAGGACATCAAAACATGGCTCCTCCATTTTCATCTGAAAGATAGATGGTTTATTGGCATACAAAGCAAATCCAGAAAACTGAGAAACATGACTGGCTGACTGACAGAGTCAGTCGAATGAATAAATGGATGAATGATCGACGGACGTACCGAATGAGTGAATGGTTCAGTACATGAATGAATGTATGATTTACTACATGGAGAATGAATGTAAGAACGAATGAATGGATAAATGACTTATTCATTTATTTCAGGGTAGTCCTCCTCCCACCCCCGTTTCGTTTTTAACAATTACGGCATAATAAAAAAAAAATGTCAGCAATCGGCCACTTTTCCGGAGAAGATTATGGTATACTATCAAACAAGTAATTTAGACATTAAGGAAGAGAAAAACAAACAACGAAAAACTGGAAGCGAAAGGAAAGATGCTAAGGAAACGTACCAGCATGAGTTCCATTTTAGTGTATTCGTCCACTGAAGCTGGTCCAGACTGTTGAAGAAAAAAATGTTTACACATAAGCATTCACATGGAGCCCAATGTCATCGACTATGTGAAGGAGTAGATTTGGCTAAATCCTTGATTTAACAAGTCGTTGGGTTCACAGATAAGACCATTCCAAGACCGACCTCATCTTATATGCAACATTCTTTCACGTACCAGGCTGGCAAACAATGGAACAGTCTACCAGACAAAATAAGGATGTCGGAGTCCCTCTCTATCTTTAGGAAAAACTTACAAAACATACAGTTGTCTTCATCGTATGACTGCAACTGTGAATTTTGTAAATAGACAATCTGATTACCAATATTTTTTCTTTTTAAATTATTATTATCTTTTAGTTGGTTTAATTTTTCTATTTTTTATTTTTATTCATTACTTGTACATGTAGATTATGTAAATTATCACGTTGTAATTTTTATGGCACATTTGCATTTAAACGAGCTATCGCTCATATGCGATATGTGGTTAAATAAAATTACTTACTTACTTACTTAATCACAGGACTTTCATTGTCAATATGGAAGGCAAGTGAACCAGAAGTGTGACGTCATGTTACCATGGTAGCACTATTTCTGGATGACAACAAAACCAACGACGACGGTGATGGCAAGAAGAACAGCAAAAAATAAGATGTTTATATTAACAAACAACAACTTAACGACTTTGCACGTGCATCACGCTGTTTTGTACATTTCTTTGCCGTCGTTGCACCACGATTTGCCAAATTAAATGAAACTGAATAAGATCGGTGAAGTTTGAAATAGTGCGAATAGCCTTTTAAGTGACTTTTTCGGTTCGTTGTCATCCAAAAATTTTGCTACCATGGCAACGTGACGTAAAGGCATCTCCTCTCTAATCAACTTACCTGGTAATAATTTGTAACAACAGTGTTATCATCTTCCTTGTTAAAGCTCATCACACGACAAATGCACTCGCTTTCAGGCAGTTGGATAACTCGAATCTGAACCCAAACAAACATTCATTATTTTTTAGCTACAATGCACGTGGAGACCACATGAACACAATTCTCACTGTCCTCTCGCAATTGTAGTTTTAATAGATACACCGTACCCCCTACAAATTGCACATTTTCAGAAAACTTTTAATATCTCCACATTACTGATAATTTCTTTAAAAAAATCCAAAATGTTCACGTGTTTCAGAAACGTGCCTTTAGCGAAAGAGGATGTATTTTTAAGTTTAAGTCCAGGCCAGCCTAAGAAACAAGCGAAAGAAACCGATTTTAGATGGCAATCCTATCACGTTTGACTTCGAAACCGTGTCTCAGATTTTTGCCAAGTGTGTTCGTTCTTTTGTTATACCCAAGTTAGGAATTAGGGATGACAAGTCACTTTTTCGCTCCATGAGTACAGTTACGGTTCTCAACAAGCCCTATCAAATAATCTAAGACCTACCTCAGGGTGAAAACAACTTTGGAGCGGCAAAAACTGGAGCTTACTGTTAACATGAGAAAAGAAATTCCATACATAAATTTCACGGTTCATTTTAATTACATACCGTTCATGTATTGGTCGCTTTCTTCTTTGATCAACCGTTCTGGCTAATGGACGAGCTATGAAACATGGTTGCGAATGGGTCGGGGGTTTACTTAGACGTTCTCGACATTCACGACAAAGACTAAAATACGAAAATCGATGCCTGGAGACAGGTCAGCTAATACTTCAACCTAAGGCTTACTAGTTTCTTAGAACTGACCAACTAAACCAACTAACGGAACACGAAAAACCGAACCAGCCCAACCAACTGAAAACGGCTGATTCCATTAGAGAACGGCCTAAGTTTTTGTCTCACTAAATCGCCGCTTAAGAAACGTGTTAACTTTCGCAAAGACTTATGGGACGGTTACTGGGGACAGGGAAAATAATTGGCCAATGGCTGACCCGCGCGTCCCCAATAACGATTCCAGAAACCATTGCTGGACACATTTGCTGGACAAATCCCTTCTTGTTTCTACGGATTGTAAGGGACTTGAAAGGAATAATGAAAAAGAAGCATGGAAAAGAAATACATTGAATATGAAATAACAAATTTACAGATACCATGGAGAGTCGATCTGTATCGGTAATTGCAACGTCGAATTTTTCTTTCGAGTTATTTTAGGGCGCAAGTATATTAAGTTTATCGAGAGGATAAAATTCACATGTATACTCACTTAACACTTTTGCGTCCCCTACGTTAATCTATAGAGTAGACATAGGTCGAAATGTCTCGCCCATCCCATTCTCTGCCTTCTGTCATACACGCGCACACCGCAACCATGATTCAAGGGCTCGACACTCCCACCCCTCCCCAAGAAAACGCCCACCGGAGAACTGACCGAGGGAGAAAGATACAAGTCACAGAGGGACTCGAATTCGGAGATGCTACGCCCTAACCACTGACATTGTATTGTTATAAACACCTTAACAAAGTACAAATGTAAAACAAAAGGACCTGATTAAAGAAGACTGACAAAGCGTGTTTAATATATCAGAAAATTTCCAATAAAAGAAAATAAATTCACATACGGTGGAAATAACCGTTAATCGAAACAAGAGATATTACTATTGCAGTATTACTTAGAACACTTAGAATTACGTACTTGTACAACTGTTCTTGTAAGGAGATCGCTTCCTAAAGAGAGAGAGAGAGAGAGAGAGAAAAAAAATGAACGATTTCAAGGTACACGCGCTGACAGTGTCTCTTACTGCGCAATACTATATCGACTTATAAGAGGGAACATGTAAGGTATAAGTACAAGTTTTCACACACGCATGAAAAAACAAACTTATACAGCGATAAAATGGGAACTTCCGCAACCATTTCATTTTGGTTCCCAATGCTTGTTGCCAACTAGCCCACCACCCGATTTTTACGTGTTTCTCAATCCCTTTTTAACTTCTCTTTTATTGTTTGTTTGTTTGTTGTTCTCTCCCTTGGCGGATCATTTGTGAAGGTAGTAGTACTAATACCAAGTTTCATCTCAATCCTCCCAATGGTAAATCAAGGAAAAGGTAGGTAGCAAAAAAATTTTGATAGAAACGTCTGGATGTGATTTACTCTTTTGACTTCGTAAAATGGTTATTAAATTAGCCACGGAATGTCAAACTATTTGTGTTTTCAACAACCACCGTGGACTGCGGGTTATTTGGCTGGTTGGCCAAGCCTTCTTAGGATTTTAAATTTTTCCCTACCCCTGAAGTTATTGTTTCGTACGCAAATATTTTCCCAGCTTAAAAAGGCGAAAGTACGTCAATTATGCCTTGAAGACATAAGAAGACTACATTGACACGATTCACTAACATTCTCTATATTCGAAAACGATTTTGTTTCCCGGCAATGGTTTCAACAAGTTTTGAAGAAGGCGGCGTTACAGATGATGAATGTGGCGAGGTAGGTGGTGATCTTCGCCGGCTGCCGGCCGTTTTTTAGAATCCTGAGACTATTACAGTCTGAGTTTGATGTTGGGATCGCTGAGGGTGGGGTGCAATACGTCGACGTCACCCTCCATGGGTTTCGGGTCTCAGACACGCGGTTAAGGCAACCGAATATCATACTCTAAAGACTTAAGCTTCATATTCGATATAAAGGCGGTTTACCCGACATGTTATATTTCCTTGAATTAAGCTCTCCACAAACAACTTTGACTTGAAAGCAGATACGAAATTCTGCAAAGTAAAGAAACGAGCACTTAATGTACCTTGTGTTCAGATATAAAAATGTCTATTAAATGGAGTTCTCAAAACTGAAAAGAAAGCCCCTCTTGGTACCATTCATATCAAAGCTATCGTTGAAGAAAGGAGAGCGTAGCTCCCAGATGACTGGGGACAAACTTGCAAAACCTACTAAATTATTGCTGTCATTATTATCATGATCATTATTATTAGCTTAATGGACGTTTTCTGACTCCGTGTCTCGTGCTTGACACGTGACAATTCAAGGGAAAGAAATGTCACTTGAAAAGAATCTTTCCGCAATCACATTTTTAAGCTGATAATTAAGTTATTTCGCTCCTTCTATGAAATTACTTCCTGCTCAACAGTCTACTTGTATTACCAACCTTTAGTGTCTCCATTGAAATATCAGGAATAACGCTACGTTTATCCACAGTCGTCCACTTAACATGTTGCAAGATGGACAAACGTACAGACCTGAAAAAAAAAAAAATTAAAAATTAAAAAAAATAAATAAATAAATAAAACAATAATTATCATAAAATGAATAAATAAACAACGGTCTGGATTTGCAAAAAGATACCTTCAGGATTTTTAAACAACATACTCAATTTAGGCTTGTTTACTTTACCATTTTTGCTTTGTTATGAAGTTTTGAGTACACATATTCTATAGCAAGCTGCAGTAGACATAAAATCACGTGTTTATAATACTGTTTACATCTGTCCGGACCGCTATAATTTCGAAATTTCTGTGCTTTTAAATGTTGTTAATTTCATGACAAATTAAAATCCTGCCGCTTTTGCCGAGAGCGACTTTTCGTGTGTTGCCAGCAATTAAGTCATCGTTTTGTTAAGCCTTAACTAGCGACTTTCAACAGCTTTTTATTCATCTCAAGGGTCAAATTGTTAAAACGGGCTTGAAGTTTTTTGTAGGTACCTTTTTCATAAATCTAGACAGATAAGTAAATAAATAATAAATAAATAAATAAAAAAGGGTTTTTTTACCCACTTCTTGGTGCTTGCATATCGGTTGAATGGCTTATCGATCAAAATAAATAAATCATTCCGAAAGAAAATTATACATAATTAACCCTTTAAACCCTACGATCAAAATTTGAATTCTCATTTCTTGCCTCTATTCATTTCCTACAGACGTAGTGGGGAGAAGTTGATAAAATATCAAGCAAATTCATCTTGTGTGATGATGTGCGTAATTCGTATGACCACTTTGTTTTACAAAGCATTGGTATCACAAGGAGAAATTTGATGCTGATCACTCTTAGGGCTTAAAGGGTTAACATATCTCACTTAATCCCAGAGTAAATGATGGAGTCTTTGGTGGTTCTTCCTTTTTATTCAATGGACAAAAAACTGTTGCGCTATATGGCTGTTTATAACCATACAGAGACTTGAAAACGGCTCGGCTAGCTTCAAAACACGCTTTTCGGCAAAATTCCCTGAGGCGAATGGATTAATGAAAAGCTAATGAAAATTGCCAGCTTTCACTGACTCAATTGAGCCAAAAGCCTTAAAGATGACATCCAAAAACGCGCGCCTTTGGTGGTTTCACCTCACAGTTCATTTCTGAGCATCGTGTAGCAGGCACTCAGGCATTGGCAGGAAGCAGCAAAAGGTGTAAATGGATAATATAAGCTCCGGATTATTGCCTTTTATATTTTACCTATATTCTGAATTTGCTTCTACGTTAACCACGGGTCGAACTTTGCAGTAATGGGACCTTACCTGACTAACTTCTGTGGTTTGATTATTGTGTTACGGTAAGACCTCATCAGCTTACGCTACAAATATAAATAGAACACGAATTGGTAAATAAATTAGAAGTGACTCAACAACAAAACATCCGGCAGCTCACTCGATTGCCAAGATCAATCGCGCCGGGATAGATGAAGCATGTTGATGACTAGGAAGTGAAATATAACGAGTACAGAGGGAGTATCCGTTAGACACGGAGAGACATACGGATATACCTATGTCTAATATGGAGAAGGTTTTCAGTACCATCACTTCCGAACGTGAGGCTCCGAACTGAGGAATTTTTTTTTATTATTATCATTAATATTTAGAAGTAATAATTCTATTGTGAGTATACGTTTTCTAAGATGTATGTGCAGTGCATCTTTTTATGATCGATTTCACGTTTCCCTATAATGGTAGTAGTTATTTGATTTGGTAAAGGCTGATTACAAGTTCTGGGCTGGCCCAGTTTACCAGGTTGAATTTTTTTGCCAAGATAACGGCATATTAGTATAACGCAACAAAATTAGTTTCTTGATTGCATAAAAACCTAGTCAACCTATAATAGTGTTAGCTTGGGTCCCAGTATCGAGATGGCGTAATACCGGGAAAAAGTCACCTCGGCTAAGCGACCCAGCCGGGCTCAAGTATTTAAAAACTGTAGATGGGTAGTAACGGAGTGTTTGTGTTGTGTGTCGTCTGTTTTTTATGAGTTCGTCCGACCCTAGCATTGCAATCTATCTCATGTAATTGACTTCCCAGCCTTGCTATCATGACTTTAGTTTTTTTAGGAAACCAATATATCTTTTTTGTTATTTAATTCCATTACATGTAAGTTTCGTCGTTTTGGTATTTTGTTGTTGTTGTTGTTGTTGTTGTTTCTGCTGCTGTAGTTATGGTCATTGCGTACCATAAAACCACGAGGAACTTACTACGAAGCTCTGCATGGATTAATAGAACGTCTTCACAGAGGGCACGTAAAATGTAGGAAACAGAAATACAAGCCAAAAATTGCAAGCGGACAGGCTTACCTTGACCATTTCAAACGTTTGGGGACTGATAGTAAAATCTGCAATGTGATTAATGACTGTGTCGAATAGCAGCTACAACACAAACAAAACTTGTCAGTATATTTAAACGTAAACGTGATTTCGATGTCTATAATCTTGATAACTTTAAATCTGTTTAGGGATAATGAAAGTACACCTGTTGCTTGAGTACTTATCAGTAGTGCAATTTCCATCGCTCTCGTTGCTGCATAAGAGCGCTAATAGGTGAATGTTTATAACGTAAGAATAGTAGCTAATGTCACCACCCTGACACCTAGTTTAGTATGGCGTCAATACAAAAATAATGATAGTAAAGTAGAATAAAATAAAAGATATAATAATAATGATGATGATGATGATGATGATGATGATGATGATGATGATGATGATGATGATGATGATAACAACTTAAATAACAGTTATTAAAATGGAATTGTTATGAAACTCGTCAGACGCCTTTTGTTTCATGTTTTTGCTACAGTAGCTCTTTTGGACCTGACCGTGCACAACGTTCAATTTTCAATTTATTGACTGATTATCGCATTAATTTATTCAGACAATTTGTGAACAAAAAGCAAAGGATTGTGCATGGTCAGGGAGCTGCCAACATAAACTACAGCACCGTTATTTTCAACTTTGATATTTGCCGGCTTTCATATCCAGTCTCCCCTACTAACTATGCTTAAATGAAATAATAAGCAAACAAATCAACATATTTTGTTACTGAAACGGATATATTATTTAAACGTTTCTTTTATTGTTTATTATTACTATTATTATTATTTGCTGAATTTGGTTAAGTATGTGTAATCAAATGATGACGGGTGAAATTATCTCACGAGTTTGCTAAATGATGTACTGTGTAAAAAAAAAACGAGCAGGAGTATAATATTAGGTTTAAAAACTCGAGGCCAAGCCGAGAGTTTTTACAACTGATAATGCACGACTGTGAGTTTTTTGAACGGATTTCGGGTTAATCTGGGCTACAAAATTGGACGAAAAGTTTAGCCGTGTCTTTAGCAGATACAAAGACACTCATTAAACATTAACTTCTTTTGTTTTTTCTTTACAAATTATTGATGAGTTTTTGAATACGTATTATATATCACGAGGGACAATTTACGCTCACAAGAGAACTCCACGCACTGAAAAGTTTAGAGCATAAATGTTGGCTTACGTTCACAAGTTTCTGAATTTTTCGACAAAATACCTGTTAAAATCCTTCTTGATGAGCCTGATTCTCAGACGTCCGAGGTCGTTGAAAGGAAAGGGACCGCGAACGACCTCGGACGTCGGAGAATCAAGCTAGGCATTGAGACGTACGAACGTTGCCACGGCAATTTTGCAATTTCAGATGTGAAAGTACAAAGTAATGCTGAAATTTCGCGCCGAAGTTAAGGTCGGAGAAATTGTCACACACCGCTAATTTGTCGTTAAATCCATCCAGTTTAAGTACAATCCCAGTTTCGCTGATCGTCATAGAGTACCTAAGAAACAAAACGTTTGTAGTTACTCTGTTAGCTGCTTAAAGCGCCTCGATCATTTGGCCCTCGAAATTAAACTAATGCCTTTTGAGGCAAATAACAAAACACCACTGAAGTATTTTTAACGCGAGTACATCTTTTGTATAACTTGATAGGTATTTCTTTAAAAAGGTAACCCTTGTAAGGTTTTCATGTTTAGACGATTAAGGATAGCTTGTCAAGGGAGATTGATTGATTGATTGATTCACTTTTATTTGAATACGGTTATTTCATAAGTTACATAACTTCTTTACATGAAAGCCGTATAGAAACAGAAGTAAATACTGTACAACTACACTAAAAATATGTACAAATAATAAAATATAGTAAAATGTAGTCAACAGTTTGCCTGCCTACTAGCCAGTTTTCTTTTAAAGATAGCTTTAGATTTGGACGCTTTTATGTCATTTGGTAAAGAATTCCACAGCATTCCTCCTCTGTATGAGAAAGACCCCTTATAATATTCTGTTTTTGGAACGTGGTCCAGTACAACATTATACTCCGCATTTCTTAGCATAGACTTATAAGGGTTGTTCTCACAGACATTCGAGAAAAGATCGCTTAAGTAACTAGGTATATTTCCATTCACTGTATCATACATTAATAGATCGATCATTTAGATAAGGCGAAAGAAAATAAAAAGAACGAAAACTTTTAGACATACGCTAGTTGAGCAACATCAGCAGCGTAGGCGATTTCCTTCAAGTTATACTCCAATACACTTAGGAACATGTCTGCTAGAACCATGCTGAAAAATAAAAAAAATAATAATAAAAAAATAAATAAATATAAAGTTAAAAGAAACGTTGCTTCCGCGGCATTGATTGATTTGATTGGTTTGTTTTGTCACGTTACAGGTTGTAGAGTTTAAAGGAAAGTATGCAGAAAAAGATAGTGATGGGGAGGCCCGAACTTAAAGCCTGGAGTTTATATGGGGTGAAGCCTCACTACTAGAGACAAAGCCCCCACCCCTCCCCCCTCTTCTCTCACCAACCATGGTTGTGTTACTAAGTACTCAAACAGGGAGAACATCAAACAAGCCAACTTGTGTCCATGATTGTTGGACTTTCAAGTTAGTGCAAGGACCTTTTCAAATAAGATGAGACTGAAGGATTTCCGCCCCTTGGCAGCCACTGTTGAACTCGTCACGCAATGCTGCTCGGGAGGACAAGTTGCGTGACAAGGCATAAAACGGTTAACGTTCAGCACTTTTTCAACACACTACCGCTGCGTAGGAGACAAGAATCACACTGGAATTTGCCCCAGGCGTGTTCACAATTCACGAAATTGCCACCCCCGCCCCCAGTCCCCAGCCCCCATCGGATCAAGAAATGTAATGACCGAATTGAAAAACGTTAAAAAAAAGACGCTTCTCACCTTTCAGGACTGGAGCTTAGAAGCGGCGAAATGAGGTGAAAATAAAACCTTGCTGGATACAGAAAAACATAAAAAAAAGTTAAACACAGTACAAGAACATGCAAAGAATTCCAAACGCCTACGAGTTTCGCCGTAAGTAGAATGCCTAACCTCACATGCAGACGTTTTAAGGGCTTCGTAACGCCTTTAGCCAAAAGAGCGTCTGCGTGGGAAGCTTAATGCTTCCTCTCTGTTAATAAAAGGAAAACGTTACACCTCGGCGATGTCAGAAAAAAAAAAAATTACACAAACGCAACTTCAAATGCTATCAGCTGTTCATAAAGTTTAAGAACATGTAATTTCAACATAACGTAGGTTCAATATAAGGCACCAACATTAGCATAGGAATGGTCTACTAGAAAGCAGCATGACACTGAGACAAGAGTCCAAGCTCTCTCCTCCGCAGAGGCTCCCGCTAAGTATCCCAATAAAATATCAATAATCGAAAAATAGAAAGCGCGCGGGGTACGATGGGAGGAGGAAAAGGGCGGGAGCCTCGCCTCTTCTCTTTCCCCTTCCCATCGTTCCCCGTCGGCTTTCTTTTTCCCTCTCTCTAGCTCCCCCTACGATACATGACGATACAAAGAGGCATCTACGGGGAAGAGAGGTGACCAAGTGTCCGCAAGTAAAACTGGAGGACGAGGAATTACAAACCTCGGGGCATTTTGAATTTCGTGTCCTTTAAGTACCAGACCTTTCCAAGAGGAGAATCATGAACTAGTTCTGGAAACTGAAATTGCAACAAAATAAGTCAACATGATCGTGACGGCAAACTTCAGTTCAGTTATCCGTTCGTAATGACTTGTTGTCTAACAACTACAAAGAGTTAAACACTTGGTGAATACAATTGAGATTTATGTCATCTCTACCTCGGATATCGTCCTGTCAGGATCTTTGATTTCAAATTCAGTTGCTGTAAATAAGCAAATAGGAATTATCATCAGCTTTCGCTACAACCGGCAGGTCCCGCTCCTAAAATTCCTTACATTACTCATTTAAATCGAACACTGCCCTCACACTTCACTCAAGCAAAATGAAAAAAGGGACGCCTTGCCTCTTACTAAGCTCCGATGGGCAAGGTACGGCGGTGCCAAACTAGCGAGTACAAGTATTAGTAAAATGTATCATAATACATGTACTGCAAATTGTCTACGACTGACAGTGAAACTAAAAAGGCCTTTTTAAACTAAGGAAAGTTTTCATTACAAGATCATTACAAGATCAACGTTACACAAGTGGCACATATTTCAACTTCTTTACTCTTATGAACAGTCTCCTTAGCAGCTTGTCACACACTTCTCCTCTCTTTCAGAAAAGAGCGTGGCATGACCAGTCACAGATAGACCGAAACGGGTAAAACATATTAAATAAATGGAAAAATAAATAAACAAAAAGTGCGATAAGCGCAACTACTAACTGTAATTAGGTGTTATTACTTTTCCCTTACTTAAACCTTAACTAGGATGTGACCTCAGAGAGTAAATTTTTGTGTGGTATGATAAAGTAACGGCTTCATCGAATCATCACTTACCGATGAATTTATTTTCTTCAGGAATATGAAGCTCTGGATTTAGAGAAAGATCTACAAAAACAAATAAATAAATAAATAAATAAATAGAGGGAAAGCGTTCAATTTCAATTCAACAATAATTGTTTACCCACGGGGCACTTACAGATCGAATTGAGAATTTGGAAGTGTTGGTTTTTACAGAGAAGGGATTCAAACCCGGGCCACATTGGTGAGAGGCGAGTGCTCTCACCACTGCTCCACCCTTGCTCCACGAATTGGTTAATGGAACAATCATAACTGAAGCCAAACGAACAAGAAATAGTTACAGTGAAAGCTGTTACGAATTCTTCCTGTAGCTTACGAGGAAGGGTAAAAGGAAACAAATTTACTTCGTTGGAATATGTCTGTTTCGGGAAGCAATATTATACAGTTGTGTAGGAGCTGCTCACAAGGTTTCTCCTGATTGGTCGCAGAAAACAATGACATGTCATTTTTTCAATGTTTCAGTGTTGTTTGGGATCAGGGTTAGGCACCATTGGTGACTTCTCTCCCGAGCAGCTGCTACATGACCCATACTACAGCGCCTGGAATGTCAATTCGGTTATGTTAGCATATCGAGCTAAGGTTGATCACATGGACTTTGCATTTTAAACGTTCCCCACTAACTGTAGAAAAACGTGGTAGCTCAGTAAGACCCGATACCACAAATGATTTCCCCTCGGAATAACGTCTGAGAAACGAGCGCAGAAATTCCATGTTGATGACGTGTGACTACCCAAATCTGGGTGGTGCTTTGGTCTGATTAGCTAAAGCAAATTTCCCTCGCGGCACGGCCAATCAGAAGCACTACCCAGATCTGGGTAGTGACAAGTCATCAGTAAGGAATTTCTGCACACGTTCCCTAGACATGAGGAGGCGTGTGTGGCCGAGCGGTTAACACCTCGAACTCCGGATCCGGAGGTCTGGGGTTCAAGCCTCGCCCGTCGCAATGTCTCCTTAGACAAGGAACGTATTCCACTTTGTTTCTCTTTACCCTGGGCCGAGTTGTTCAAAGCTGGGTTAAGCTAGGGTTACTTCAAAATTTGAATTCAGGTAAGAACGCTTAAAAAGTACATGAACAAACTGATGATTGGATGCTCTTAAAATAACAGAGAAATTATCCAAGAAAAAGCTTTTGAACAAGAGAAAAAGAAACCGGGTTACATTTAACCCTGGGTTAAACGCTAATCGACCATCGAACAACTGGGCCCAGATGTATAAATGGGTACGAGCGACATACTGTTGGGGGTAACCCTGCGATGGACTAGCATCCCTTCCAGGGAGGAGTAGCGATACTCCCAAGCGTGCATCATGCTAATGAAACCGGGATGAGCTCCGACCATTTTGGCTCGTGTGCGCACTAATCTTACCCTTTACCTTCCCTAGACATGATTTATCGGGTAAACAAGTCTTAGGGTCAAGAAATGTTCTCTGTTTCCTACGGCTAGGGAGCTAAGCAACTAGTTTATTGTCTTGTTTATTGTCACACTTTATGCCGTGGAAATCAACCCGGCAGAGCAACTACAAGAAGGAAGGCACTTAAAGACTTACTTTTCCATTGTTCAAGCCACTCTGAGTCAATATCTGAAATTAAACGTAACAAGAGAGTACTTTAAACATTTTAATACGTAACTTGTCGCTTTCCAACTTTGTTGATTGGCTGAACAGATCGCACGCGTTTCATTAACTAGTAACAAAGGGCGGCAGTACAAAGCCGAGCAATAACAATAACATTTCAGCCACTTAGATAAAAAACGCTCCATGTTTGGTCCCTTTAGGATCATATAAACCACCAATATCAATTAAAGGTGTATTATTGATTCAAAATATTTCTCCTTTTCTCATTGGCTCAAATACCACACCTAACCCCTCGTAACCAGCTAGCGCTGGCAGAATTTGGAAGACACTAGCGATATTTGGAAAATGCCATCAATCACAGTAATTTTCAAGGAGTTATGATAACTCCTCTAGTGGGGTTAATTTAACTCCTTACAGTGGCGTTATTTTAACTCCAAAAAGGAGTTTAAAGAACTCTTTTTCGTGAGTAAAAATGATCCCCGATATTGAAGAGTTAAAGTAACCCCCAAAACGGAGTTATCCTGTACCTAAAATTTTTACTTCACTTTCAGAGTTAAATTAACTCGAAAAAGAGTAAAAACAACCCATGCAAGGAGTAAAAATAACCCCATTTTCGGAGTCATTTTAACTCCAGACTGGGAGTAAAAAGAGTTCTTTTTCCGGAGTAAAAATGACCCCAAATTTGGAGTTAAATTAGGAGTTAAAGTAACCCCCAAAAAGGGGTTATCCTGTACCTCAAATTTTTACTTCATTTTTGGAGTTATAATAACTCCTTAAAAATTACGGTGATAGTACAGAATAATCACCAGAAAAGAGGGACGGCAACTAAGAAGCCCTAGCTAGGGAAGATAAAATGGCCGAACATTTCAAACGTTTAAAAAAAAAAAGAAAAAAATAGCCGAGATACTGCTTCACAGCATAGAAAGAACAAAAATAATACAACTCGACGGCTGACATGTGCTATTTGAAGAATGTCTACTAGACTTATCGAGAAGCAGGCGAATGAAGACACGAGTTTAACATCGATCGAGGTAAGCATGTTTCAGCTTGTTTTTTAAAGTAGAGATTATATTAAGTGAAGACTATTATTGGATTCGGCTTTCTTAGAGATCTGAAGAATAATGCACATCTCGGACGATGTAATCGGCGAGACCGAATTCTTAAGAACATACTAGCAGCCTTATCCAATAATTGCTAAGTATTAATTACAAAGGAGTGCATCACCCTGCATTGGACTATAATACATATTCCTAGTCGCTTCATGCTTTGCAAAACGGGGTACTAAGCTCCGGCCAGATGGGCTATTAAGCTCGTGCATAGACCTTTTCTTTTCTGTGAGGAGATGCTTCGCTGCAATGAACAAATCGTCACATGAATCCTCCTTTTCTCTTAAAATCCGTCCATTTCTTATCCCAGCCAGAGAGGCTGCAAACAAAGGCGCTGCCTCGAAGCTTCAACGGTTGCGTGCATGGCTCATTCGTGGAGCAATTTTGCAAAGAGAAATAAGAGACTGCTCACAGTCTTCCACATAGATGATCACATTCTAAAAGGTTATTTTTCTTTGTTTGTTCGTTTGTTTCTTTTTTTTTCTTGCCGCGCCAGCGGATCACACACGAAGCACCATGGAGTAATGAAAACTAGTCAGTGCAACACCACATACCAGAACAGTTGTAGGGGGTCTGGAACCAAGGTTCATAATCAGTGCACTCCTCGCCAAACTTCTTTGATAACAGCATGATGTTGGCTCTTTCTGGCGTTAAAAGGTTTTGTACATTCTGAATTACCTACAAACATGCGCAAAGAAACCAGCAGGGTTAAATTTTTAGTTATCTTAATTGACATCTATCCAACAAAAATTCCCGTTTCTGACTGGTCCAAAACCCCGGCTATTTTTTGGAAACCAGCTACAACTAAGCAAGGTTGTCAAACTGTCTGTAGATGGGCGTGGTTGGGGTTGGGTGTTATTATCGAAACTTCAGTGTAACGACACGACCATACACGCGTCTTTGTTCCAAATTCTTGAACCGCTCTCAGCAAAAGCCATTTATGAGTCAAGCAAAATCATCAGTATGTCGCAACAGAGCGTAAGTGAATTTTTAGCGAAGCTCCACGCACGCGCGAGTGGTACCCCATAGCGAAGAAAATTTGGTTAGGGTGACGTATCCATCCAGGAAATTTTGGTAGTCGCATGATCGTACGTCCATCCGCCTGTCCGTCCGCAAGGCACCCAATGGGAAATGTTCACAGTTATGTCTGGAAACCTGCAACCTGATATTGCACATCCATGTTGTGGTGAATTGCCAGCTATCAAAACAGGGTATCCGCTGACCAGTATCATGATTGCAGACAACTCTAATTGGATTTTTTATTGCAATATATTATTAACGGGAGCTTCGCCTTTAGTCTCGGCTAAATCTATAATTTTTAAACTACCTCTTCGTTGAATTCCCACATGAGGTTGTCTCCTGTTAAATAATCTTCTACTGGGTACAGCTATCAAAGACAATACAAGCATGAGATGGGTATTTCATCGCAAGTTCATGCAGCATTTTCTTAGACAAGATGGAAAACAAACTCGTATTGCGAAGCAGGTTTTAAGTTTGTCTCTCTAGGTAATACGAAAAAATAGGGTAAGTACCCGGTTACCACTTTGGTAAGTCAACTAAATCCGTATTGTTAGCAACACAAGGAAATATGATCATAGACATAGTAAGACCTTTTTTTTTTTTGGTCCAGTTTTTACTCAGTTATCGGTGTACATAGTTTTTACCACTTTTAGTTAATAACTTCTGTTGTTCATCGGCTCCGTTTGTATTATACATTAATTATCAATGTTATCTTTATACTAAAAAGCCCTTTTGGAACGAATAAAGTACGTATGTATGTATGTAACTAGAAATGGCAATACGGTTTCTAAATTAGCAGTCATAGTGGCTGATAAATTTGGACTAAGCGAGGTAATACTAATCTGAAAAAAAAAAAACAAACAAACAAAACAACAACCCTGAAAAATTGGTCGCCTATGAAAGGTGCAAATTTGTTTGCAACACAAAGCTGGAAAAGGCAAACAGAACAAGACATTTATTTGACAAATTAGCCTCACAGATACTACTTGGGAGGGAACAAATAATACCTAAACTTGTGATCTGTTTGAGAAATCGCGAATAAAATACTCGACTCGAGTGTTTTAAACTAAGTTCTACATCATACCTGCATATTTTCTACAAGGTCCTCGACATAGTCGTACGGCTCGCACTGAAAATGAACGAACAAATTCTCTAACTACAGTAAAATAAACAAATAAATATATACAGTCGAACCTCTCCACAATGGCCACCTTGGGGACAGAAAACAGTGGTCATTAAGGGGAGTCAGTACAACGTTTTTATTGTGCCAAGCTTATGCTAACTGTATTCGTTAACAGTAATGGAATCATTTATAATATATAAAATAAAACACGAAAAAAACAAAACGCCAACGTGACAAAACGAGCAAGGATCGCAATATTCGCTAGAAATATGGTAGACAGTTAATGCTTACTGCAGCAGTATAAATTCAACACAATCAAAATACGATAGCCGCAATTAATGTTCAAGGCGCCATACGGATTAAATTTCACGACCATTCTTGACTTTTTGTCAGTCAATGAAAACAAAAACAAACAAACAAACAAACAAACAAAACTGGCCGTTGTCTCGAGGTTATTTTGGCAGTTTGGGCCGCGCTTAGTGGCCGTTGTAGACAGGTTTAAACAAGAGTCAATGTATGGACTTTCCGCCATGACAAAACAAAAATGTGACTGTTGTAGAGAGGTGGCCATTAGTGGAGGTTCGACTGTAAATGGTATCATGAGTTTAAGCAACAACTACAAAAGGCTATTCAAGAAATATTGAAGAATAAAACATTTGGTTTCAGAGAAAGGTTTTGAGTAAATTTTAAGTGTTTAAAATGGAGTACCCATTAACCACTCCACTTTATTGACAAAATCAACCACGCGAGTACGCTGGGTTAGTACGATGAAAAGAACCAGTGAATGTGGATGTATCAGGCCTCCTTCGGAGTTCCATAAACCCTGATGGAGGAGCTATCACTACTTACCAAATACACTATCTTGTGCCTTACGCGCGTGACAAACATGCATGTTCTGGCATCCGCATTTACACCAATAAAACCTTATAACAGATTCCAGTCAAAAGCAAAGTAAAAGTTATTAATACCAGTGAATTGAAATCAGGTTTTTCCACGTTTTGGTAGCCGTCGCGTTGAATCCAGCAACGTAATGGCACAACGTTCGTCGTATACCACTGCGCTCACATAATTAATTGCATCGATAATTAGATTTAACAAACAAATGTATAAACAAATAAAGGAAATATATTACCTGTTCTTGAAATCTGAACTCATTATTTTCAATAGTCTGAAGTTCCTTGTATATCCTGTAAACAATCAGAGGTAATATGCTTACCTAGCATGGTACGAAAATGCATTACATACCGTGAAATTCCGAAAATAAGCCCCGGGGCTTATATTCTTCAAAGGCCCTTTTTGAGGGGCTTATTTTTGGAGGGGCTTATACACGGAGGGAAATTTGCGTTTTAAAATCGCCCAGGCTTATACTGGGAGGGAAATATACGTCTCAAAATCGATTGGGCTAGCTTATAGTTGGAAGGAAATTTGTGACAGTAATTTGCGGCTAGTCTTTGCTGAAACTCTCCTTAAGGACGTAGATCTTTCTAAGAAGCAGCCATGCCAGTACTCCGTCTATATGAACCGAGGAAATCCATGCCAAGACTGAAGAGTAAAATAAGCAAACAGCAATATACTATGACACTTATTGACTACAAACATTTGGTACACGTGAAAGTTCTTTGGCAAATGCCAAATGTATGAGTTACTGTACAGTTTTTGCTGTGTTTATTTTGAATTTGAGGGCAATTTCCGCGTACAAGCCCCCGGGGGCTTGTGTTTGTAGGGGCGATTTACGTTACGAGTTTGGCAGGCTTATATTTGGTGGGGCTTATGTTCGGAATATAACGGTTTTTAAATAATTACGTCATTTACTTAATAATTTATCTATTCCCAAAAACAAGTCAAGAAAGCCCACGTTGCGGCACCGTCATGACGTCATTATTAAGGTTACGGAGAAACGTTTCAATTTACAGTCGTACGTCGAACTTATCTTGAACTTGGCTTACCCAGTTTGGTTCGTCGCATGAAACAGTGTATTAGTATAACATCAGTTTGAAGTCTTCGCATAATGACAAAGGCACAGGCACTTGAGCAAATTCTTTACACAGACAGTTTTGCGTAGACAGAGTCAGTTTGCACCTTCAAGAGGGCTGAACCTGTATTAATTATAATGCTCAAGTACATCTCTTAATTCTCTTCTGATACAAAATTTATTGCCATAATTCTTTCATTCATTCATCCATCCAATTATCCATTCATTTAGCCATTCAGTTAATAACTCACTCACTTAACCATTAATTAATCCATTCTTTCATTCAATCGTTCATTCATTTATTAACCCGTTTACTTATTTATTTTTAACCGAGGTTTCATATCCATATCATTTATTTATTTATTCATTTATTTATTTACAACTAAAGTTCCCTATCCATACGTACCTTTCCTGCGGCCCTTTTTGTCTTAGTAATTCCAGATATTGAAACACGATCGTTAAAATCTGTCGATACAGAAATAGACGTTAAGTTGCAGCATGGCACGCATCAAATTGTAACGCATCATTGGCAAGCTGCAACGACCGCTTTACCGCGGCTGGGGGATAGATTGGAGGCAGGCGCTGTCAAGCGCGAGCAAGTGACTTTCCTACCTAAAATAATTGATGTTAAGTGAACTGCTCCTGGTAATTTGTGTACTTCACATAAGACGCTTAATGTTCATTTTTTTTCTGGAGCATGTATTAAATATTGCCACGATTATGTCGCAAATGTATCAGCGCGTTGAGTGAATGATGCCAACACAAGGTTAAGTATTCGCCCTCTTTACCCGTGCACTTAAATTCTAGCGGCAGTGGCTTGCTAATGAAGTGTAATAGATTTTATGAATCGGATCAAAAGTCTGTAGCGCCACGGCCACATTGTTATGGTGCACGACTGGCGCAAGACACCAAACTTACCTCATAAATATGGTCCATACCTTCATCCTACGATAGAAAAACATGTTGAAAATTTACCAACTGTTACCACACCTTTCGTTAAAAAGGGTGTATTTCGTGTCCTGGGCGTTTTTTCTTTCAGGTGTTATATTGGTAGCTTTCGCGTTATTGGGCCGCTTGTGACCTTTCATAAATTCATACTGATAATAATAATAATAATAATAATAATAATAATAATAATAATAATAATAATAATAATAATAATAATAATAATATTGAAAATGATAATGATAATGACAATAATAATGACAATGATAATAAGTAATGGTAACAGGACTGAGTGGAGTCCAACTCGGTCTGTAATCATACGAGTGATTAAAAAAACCGGACAACCATGTAGCCGGAGTCCGATTTGTTTAATCACGAGTATGATTACAGACCGAAACGGACGACACGAAGGTCTGTTACCAATAGTAGGGAACTTAAGATAGAGACGTTTTCGGGGCGACGGCAACTTCAACCGGACGTGACATCATCATTTGTTGGATATTGCGCATGCTCGCGCTCACCACCTTGCCGTCGTGGTCCCGTCGGCGACGTGAAACTGGTCTGTTTGGCGTTGTGGCGAAAACGTGAGTATTTAACTGTCATTTCAATCAGGTTTGTTGCGTTTAGCAACCAACATTTTGCAGATTATCGTTCGTAAATTGTCCTTGTTTTCTTTGAGGCACATTTCAAGCTCGCTTTCCAAGCTATGTTCGCTAAACTTACCTCTTTGAATGTTTCTATGTTTTCATTTCACAGGGTCAAGATCCAACTTGGCAAACAGCCAACCGTAAGTGAGCTTGACATGGGACAAAATTTTCCCACGAGCCAAATAAAGGTATCCAGACAAAAAATATGATATGAACATTTCAATTGTGTGTTTTTAGTTCGCTCTTTTCGTTAGAACATCGTATAAATGAAACGCATTGAAAATTATATAGAATAGTAGGTAATACCATGTACTAACTCGGCGTGGGAATACTGAAATAAAGTTGTTGCCGTTGTTGTTGTTGTTGCATGCTAGTATTTCCCGGGAATTATTTCAATGCCAAACTAAGAATACGGTTCCTTGGTAGCATTTTAATGTTCCTGTAATTTGCAAGGCTTCGGCAAGCCTGTGGAGAACATTTTTTTTTCAACACGAAATTCTGCCTTGAACTCAGCTGCATCCTGCATGTTTTTTAGCTTGAACGGATCGTAACTGTCCCGAGGAAAATCGGGATTTTTGGACTCATAATTTTTCCACAAAACGAGAAACTCTTCATCCGATACATGTTGTCTGCATAGCAAATATTTATTCCCTTAATTCTTTATGTGAAGCCATATTTTCCTCTTCGGTATTCTTCTAATTAAAGGCGCCGTCCTTCTGAGTTCACTGCGATCTTAATGTTCTATTTTTGACGGGGAGCGACGGCTGCCTTAGTTCCAGGCTTTCTCTGCCAGTCCGGTCGCCGTCGCCCCGAAAACGTCTCCATCTTAAGTTCCCTAGTACCGAGCGCAGTTACTATGTATAGACCCGAAACTCAGACAAACAAACTGAAATTAACATTAGCAAATTCCTCACTTTTGTCTGACTTTTGTCATTAAAATGTCATGTTTGTCTGTCTTTTGTTATTGAGATGAGAAAAATGACAAAACTCAGACAAAAAATGCAAATTAGTCACTCTGACGTCATCTGCGCGCTACGCTATTAATCATAACTTTAACAAAATTTGGGATATATATAAGGCTCTTTTTTTAAATCAAAACACAAGAAATTCCGAGATCTTTTTTTTTGCCAGCGGTGAAAAAAGCTATTAAGCGCACATGTGACGGAGCGTACTGTCCAATTACTTAGGTATGATGCGTACTGCCCTATTAAGGCTGAAATCAGGGCAGTTGATAGCTAATCAGATTTGAGAATTTTGTCATAGTTATGATTATAATGATAATGACAATGATAATAATAACAAAGATAATGATAATAATAAAAATAATGATCGCTGAGGTAGAGTTAAGAAGCCTCTTTCGTGCACAACAGGACCCACAATCACTGACTTGACTATGACTGCTTTGAATGCATGGTTTTAGCTGTTTTCTTTGATACTGTACACAATAAAAGTGCATCTAATGACAAAACCGAAAAGTGCAAGGTCTTACGCTACTTACTGTAAGACTAATTAAACATGGGAAAAGAGCGAAACTGGAGTTATGTTCCTGTCCAGACTCTCCATTCCCGCACAAGAGACTGACAGCCCATGATCTGTAAAGATACATAAGAATAGCAAAGTACAGGACTCCAGGCGAGATGTATATTTTTACTTTTTTGACCGTTTGCTATTTCTACATGTAGACCGTCGTCTTTAGAGTTCCATTGCCACGTTCTGTGGCCTATAGCCGACAAGCAGCATTTCCTTACAACAAAGAAAGTGAATTCACTGAAACTGTTAACGAATGATTTTTTCTCTACCTCTTATAGACTGCAGGGTGCAAAGTAAGGCAGTTTCACAGTTTGCCATTTGGGCAAGCTGCAACTAGCATGTGCTAGCTCAAAAGTCGTCTTCAAACTCCCCTAACCCACCCCACCCCCAAACAAAAGAAAAAAAAAGACAGAACAAAACAAAACAAAGATGAGCAGGGTTGATAACAGCTCTTCTGTAATTTGAAAAAAACGGAACCGAATTCATTAGCCTGGTCGCAATGTTCGGACAACACTTTTTTGACATGATGGACTCTCTCGGCTCTCTATATATTTTGGTCACTTTCTTCTCAAAGAAGGTCAGACAAGATGTCTGATATCTCTCACCTTTTTATTAGCAGCGATAAAATACTGCCTGGTCCTTCGTGACCCATTAACCATGATACGTAGTGCATCGGCTTGATTCTACAGAAATTAATTAACATAATTAACCCTTCCACTCCTAATACTGTAGCTTAAAAGAAAACAAGCTCATGAGAAGAAGCTCCTTTAGTAAATCGCCTAACCAAACAAGTTTGTGTGTTGCAAAGTCGGTAGATGAACTACGTTTTTGCTTTCTTTATTTACATAAGCTCCAAAGAACAAAACTTCCCAAAAAATAAATAAATATGAACCAAAAAAATTCTACCCTTAGAGCCCGTTTATACAAGTATTTATTCAGAGGTGTTTTAGAGAGCGTCCTTTCAATTTTAAATATTATAAGAAATTAAGTATTAAAATATGATGCAACATCGCACGGAAATTTTAACATCTCAGCAGCAACACGATTTGGCTTTCGTGAAACATTCCAAGATACCACACTACTTAGGTGGCTTATGTAGCAAATAGCACAGGGTTCCTACTCTTTTGAGCTCTTTAAACTCCGTGACTTTCCATGGCCTTTTTAAGTTTTCCAAGACCTTCGGTTTAGCTGGCACTTTCAAAAATTTAAAAAACTTTCCTTTTTTAGGGTATTTTTAGACCCTAAACAGTTCAACAGACACAAACTCTGGTGCCCCCCAAAATGCGCACCGTTTGAGCTGTTTAATTACTCCTCTTTATCTAATTACATTGTCCTTGCGTTTTCACCTGCAGTAACTAGTCTATGAAACAAATCTTCCATGACTTTCAAGGACCGACTATTAAATTCCATGACTTTCAAGGCCTGGAAAATGAAATACTTAAATTTCATGACTTTCCAGGTTTTACATGACCTGTACGAACCCCGTAGCACTTATGCAAGCAAACACAGACCATTATTGATCCACCAAAAAGCCACTGCAATCACACTATTGTTGTCTACGTGAGCGACAGTGAAACAAAAAGTAAATAGAAACACAAGCAACAATTTTGTTAGGACGACGTATTTCCCCCTATAAAACGTGTAACTAGGAAGTCTCAAAAAGCCAAAGAAATGCACAAAAAAGTGTGCTGCACTTGCAAAGTTTTTCTTCTTCTTCTCCTTTTTTTTTTTTTTTTTTTTTCATTAGATGTATTGATTTTAGTTTTTGTTTGCGTAAATTATAAGCATATTAACGAAAGCTTCCCTTTTAGCCCTGGTTAAATATCTATATATTAATTATTATAAATATCTAAAATAAATGTTGCGTCTGTTGCACGTGGTGTTGTAGAGATGGAATCAAATACAGCTTGAGTTGTGACTCTTTTGTCGTCGACTTGGACATTCTAATCCATACAGAGCAGAGGCGCATGCTCAGCGACACATGCAGTCGTAGCTTGGACATTTTTAAATTTATATTTTTCCTGTGTTACTGAAGAGTTAATGGGTATGAAAGTTTATGATAATGAGTTTGAAATAAAATGAAATTTCAACCAATGATATTAATGAATGACAATGGATTTCCGCTGTGACTTTGAAGCTGCGCAAGTGGCATTTGATGTTGGCGCCTTCATACGCAACTGTAATAACAGACCTGTAATGTTCTTGTTGAGGTGGAAGAACCCAGGTTACTTCTAACTGATGGACATCCTTTACTGGAACCACTACAAGATTAAATAATAAAACTCAGAATTAACTGGAGCGGACGCTAACAACAGGCAGTAAACCGACAAGTTCACCTCTGTACCTTAGGGAAGATTTCCACTGTCGCGTAATACAGTAAAAAACCGCATATGAGAACCTAGAATTTTCCGAGGTCAGGCTAAGTAGGTTGTTATATTTTAAAGTAGTTTTTCACAATTCAGGTTGATTAGGTTCTTAATAGGTTGCTATTTTTCAGAGATTGTTGTAGTGCAATTAGTAATGGTAACAGGACTGAGTGGAGTCCAATTCGGTCTGTAATCATACGAGTGATTAACAAAATCGGACGACCACGTAGCGGCAGTCCGATTTGTTTAATCACGAGTATGATTACAGACCGAATTGGACGACACGAAGTTCTGTTACCAATTAATCGTAACTCTAACAAAATTTGTGATACAATAGGCTATTTTTTAAATCAAAACACAAGAAGTTCGAAATTTTGTTTTGCTAGAAGTGAAAAAAAAAGCCAATTAAGCGCGCACGTGATGGCGCGTACTGTCCAGTTACTTAGGCATGACGCGTACTGTCCTATTAACTGTCCAATTAAGGCTGAAATCAGGGCAGTTGATAGCCAATCAGATTTGACAATTTTGTTAAAGTTATGATTAAATGCCAAACTTCATCCTGTGGGTTCTTAAATCACTAGGTTTTTATACGCGGGCGTAAATTTTGCTCGCGCAAATAAGATGGAGGCAATGTAAGAAGCGTCACGCGTGTAAACCTAAAAGTTGAGCGGGGTTCAACTTTTACGTTTACGCGCGACTTTCCTGAATTGCGTCTATTTTGTTTGTGCATGTATAATTTACGTACATACGCCCGCAAAGATAAATGGAGAGTGGAAATCTGCCTTTCGTGAGAACTTACGAAACGTCGGCGGTATTGTTTTGTATTTCAACAATTCGCAAGGGCACCTTGGAGAAGATTGTTTTATTATAACCATTTTCACGCTTATGGACATTTTGATACACATATCACTAAATCGTACAATTGCATGTGCAGGGTAGCTGGAATGTGGTCAGTCTACGGCGGTTATTGAAGTTATCAAACGAGATTTATCTTTTCATTCATTTTTTTTATTTCGGGCGGATTTTTTTCCCAGATTTTAGATCTGACAAAAGCAAAAGTGGCAGCTCCATAATTATTGCTTACCCTAGGCCTAAGCTTAGATACGAATCTGGTGTTGTAACTATGAATCGCAGAGGCTCGGGCGGGTAAGGGTTCCCTTGAATATCGCAGAGACGTTTGTTGCCTTATTAGTGATTTATGTGTCAACCGGGATACTTTCAATTTGTGAATGTTTTTCAGCATAAGAATTTCTAAAGACTAAAGTATGGTATGGCATTGTCCCTGCTGTGAGCAAAGAACATGCTAAGAACAAATTTTTTTCGGGGTCAGATTAATAAAACTTGTACCAGTGTAGCTATTTTTATTAGACTCCAGAACAACAGTTGCACTTGTAAATTACAATTCTAAAAAGTTTATTCAATTGACCCCTGTTTGGTTTCACTCTTTTGTAACCTGGTGTTACACGGTCCCAGCCTGTAATACCATAAGTTAAATAAAATTATGGATGAATAAAGGAGGATAGTACAACTGCCTTAAAGTATGAAGATCTACATAATATCTTAATTTATTAAATGATACCTACATTTTTCACGTCTTTGAAGTTAATTTGTTGAATCTGTGGTCCACAGTGCAAATTTTGATCAATATATACACCTAGATAGTTTATTTGACCTTTTAAGGTTCTAACGACTCAACGACACAACTGGACTGGACAGTAAAATCGCCACATCTTAAACCATTTGTCACCGGGGTTCGTATTCTCTTTCCGATACCAATTCGATTCGGAAACAACTAAAAAACGAACAACTGCGAACCGATAATTACAATTGCCACATCAAATTATTCATTTAATTTTTTTAATCTCTTAAAATACCTCTCCTGTTAACTAATTTCAGTCCAGAGAACGCAGGAAATTGCATTTTACAGAGTCCGATTTTAAAAATTTCCCGGGGGAGTATGCCTCCAGACCCCCATATAAGTTCGTGCACTCAACGTCGCGCCAGCGACAACAATGGTTCAACTCCGCCAGCTGAACCTCCGCGTCCAGTAAACACAGTAAGTATAGTACAGAGAGCTTCGCTTTTAGCTTTATACATTATACATTATACTTTCTCCTAGTTTCATTTGCTTGCTATAAAACAATTTACATTTTGCTGTGCAGTGGAGGGGGAGGGGAAAGAGGCCTTGATGTCCTGGGTGGAAGGGAGTGTGTGGTCAGTTATTTATTTATTATTTTATTCAATTCTAAATTGTAAATCGTGCCTCCTACCTTTGTACAATTTATGGAAGACTGACAGATCAAAGGGATCCTAGCAAATAAAAATAAAAAAATAAAAATAAAACTTGTGAACATATAAAACGCTACCTAACAGAATTCGATGACATAGTGCCTCCGCTCCTGTCGAAGATGTACTATAGCTACCAGAAAAAGAAAGCAGCAATAATTATAATTCATAATAATAAAAACAATAAGTGGTTAATCATTAAATTATTGGTTAAGGTTTTGGAAACTGAGGTTCTGTATGTTGATATGAGTGCCATTACCAGTTCCTACCTGAACTCCTTATTTAGTTAAAGTGTTTTCCTTCCGTATATCCATACTTTTATTTAGTACGTACTTGTTATAGTTTTACCATTTACTACTTGTTGCGCTGATTTTACGAGCTGATTTTAATAATAATAATAATAATAATAATAATAATAATAATAATATAAATAATAATAATAAAATAGAAAACAACAACAACAATAAAGAAACAATCCCCAAGCCCAAAAAAGGGAATCATTTTGATACTCCCTTTATTAAACAAATTTCTCATTAACAAAGGGAAAATAAATTATTTGCTTTTTTCTCAGCAGACTGGTCGTTAACAACATTTTGTACATACTGTGTATTCTTGAAATGTTGGTCTTTGTTGTAGGCTGCAAAAAAAAAGATTGCAAACTGATAAGCAAGCATTTTTATTGCGGGGGTTTACAAAGGCGATTTTTTTTTCGCCACTCTTCTGGCAATATCAGTGCAACTTTTGTTGTCTTCCTACTCAAGATATAGATCACAAATGTAACCCAGTGATGATTATGTTGCACTTTGAGTACGATTAACAACCATATTTGCTAGAATTTCTTACTGTTTCGGAAATGAATTGCCACGAATAGGGGCTATCGCCTTCAAAACTGTACTGAGAAACCGTTTTATCTGTTCATTGAGTGTGTATCTAATTGTCCAAATGTGATTGAGTACTTAAGAATGGATGGAATCAGAAGGGAAAAAAAAATCCCGCATACGTTTTAAAATCGTTTTTTCGGGCTCTTACCCGCGAGCAGAGGCAACATTTTCGCGGTGTGAAAAAACGTAGCCCCTGCTCACAGGGTATTGGGCTCTACGACAGAGGAATGGAAAACGTCAAAGGTTACACTTTGGATTGCAAAGAGCGGCGGACGTTGCGTTTCACGACTGTTAACTAGAGCAGTCAAAAACAGGAGGAACGCAACGGTATGTTAATGAAGACATAGAAATATCAGGGATCTTTAGCAACGACGACGGCGACGTCAACGACAATGGAAAAAAAAGCAACTCTGCACGTGCATCACGCTTTTTTGTACGTTTCTTTGCCGTTACTGCACGGATACCGTACGACGTGAAAAATGCCTAATTTCACGTCTACTGGAGGACGCGAGCACAAGACAACGACTTTCCTTTTCTATTCCTGAACTTCGATGCAGGTCTTTTTTAATTCAACTCCGGAGAAAAAATGCCAACAATTGACGAATTGCACGAGGTGTAACAAGCGCAATAAAGTTTGAAGCAGCACGAATTCACTTTTCAAATGACGTTTTCGTAGCCGCCGCGGTTGTTGTTGATGGGAAACAACACAGCGTTGCATGTTGTAGCCATTCGAAACAATGTCGAAACAACGTTGCAACGCGGTGTTGCGCTAAAAATCGTCGTTGCGAATCGTCTAGTGTAATATCACTTAAGCTCCCTGTTTTAATTAACAGCCAAGATGAAAACAAAACGCTTACTTATTAGGAATTTTTGAAAAAGATTCTCTGACCATATCTTCAAGATCGTCAAGAGGCTCTAAAAGAACAAAAACAAAAGAAAAATTAAAACAAAATGTCAGCTACAGGGCCGTTCAATAACATGCGACCTCTTAAAGAAAAAATTAAACCAACGGTTACGTTCTGGCATGTGCCAATCAGCATAACGACGAGGCGAAACAAAAACACACAAAAACATAAACACAACAAGACGCTACGGAGCGTACACTTCGGCGTCGTGGTTGTGTTGTGGAACAGATTAATTTGTAAATGCGGAGGAATAGTAAGAAATGAAATATGGTAAGAGTAAGGCATGAATGTGTGAAATTATGGGATTTGTCAGGATATTCTTAAAAGACCAACATCCAAGAGCCCTACTTGCCAAAAACTAGCATTTCGGGACAAATTGTCTTTGAGATATTAGCCCAGTTATGCTCTGATGACTCCATACAAATCCTTCTAAATCTGACTTGGGTCTAAAAGTTTAGACCTTAGTCAAATATGAGGTTACTGGCGGTGAATAACCAGTCTAACAAAACAAACAGTGAAAAAAGAATTCTCGATTTTTCTTAGTCACATCAGGGTTCAAAAACAGCATAGCAGTTCCATGTACTGATTAAAAATATGTAAGGCATGGGTAGGGAGTCAATTACGTTGAGCATGGAATTGGCTAAAACTCAATGTTACGAGTTCGAAGGTTTTGAGGATAATTATTCACTGACTATTAGCACGCAGGGATGTCGGATTAACACAACGAAGTTTAATATCAAAGGAACATAGTCTTCACAGAGCTTTAAAACACAGCATCTGCCAACACAAACTTGACTTGAACTTAAGTAAAACTAAACAGCCTCTGCCAATAATAACAAACTCTCACTTGAACAACATATATCTTATGGCTTCCGCCAACTTGTAAACACAGATCTTGAAAATCGACCTTCGTCACACTTGACTAAACACAGCACTCCAGCTCGTGGAAAAAAACTTAGTTCGTCAAAAGAACTTGCTTAGAAATTGTATACCGTTTGAGATAAGGTTCTAGAAAATACTAAACAGGCGAATAGTAGTGGCTTCTCGACATATTTTATGATTTCAGTAACTGATGCAAATCTGCTGACTCATGCTGAAACGTAAACATGCCCCAAATTAATTATTTATCAATATTATAATCCAAAAATGTAGAGAACGTTCGAGGAAGTCACGCAACGCAAGAAAGCAATTTTACTACGTAACACTCCTCAAAGACAAAACGTCTTTGTGCAGCATTTTGTAACTTTAAATTCACCATAAAACAGATCGAAAGGACCGCTCACTCGTGAAATGTTTTTCAACACTCGAAGAGAAATTTCGTGTCTCTGCGCGGCCACGTAATATCCTCTATTTATTCCTCGAGTAAATTAAAGACTGAACTCGAATTGATCTCAAGATATCAGGAAGTAGCCCGGTCTCATTTCGTGAAATAGCCGAAACAACCCGAAAAGTTACAAACTTGCTCGGCCAATCTTGTCCCGAAACTAGTGCATCATTTCATAACTATTTTTCATATCTTGAATTACCTTTGGTCGCAATAGCGCAATCGGCTAATCCCTCAACTTAGAGTCTCCTCTGATCTGACGGGTCACACAGGTGAGTCGGTTCAAACCCCGGGAAAACCAAAACAACAATTCTTTCTTCCTCGAATAATTTAAAGAATAATTCAAAGATATCGAAGTGATCTCGAGATATCTCAAACTAATTCGGCTCTCACGTCGTCAAATAGCCGAATAAATCCGAAAACCTACAGACTTTGCGTGCCCAATCTTGTCCCAAAAATGTCAACTTCGATACATTCCTGAGCGTCGCCAATCCTTTACTCCGCGCTCCGCCGAAGTAATAACAAAGAAGAAGGATCAAAATCTACCAATACACTCTCCCACGGTATATTTCAACTTTTGACTGGGGCCGAAAATCCGTGAACGCGGCTAAAAAGAACGCCTTAAAATAAGTAAAGACGTCAAGTTTGAACGTTATTTGTTGAAAACCAACGAAGGTACAGCTCCGCAAAGTCAACGAATTTCAGAGCAAGTTCATGCCCCCCGCCACACAAACGTTGGTAAAATTTCGCAGTTTTGTGGAGCAATATCTTCGTTCGCTTTTAACGCTTTACCTTTAAAGGAGCTGTGTCACAAAATTTAGCCAAATTAGGAAATTACAATATGCCCGTTAGATTAAGAGAAACATAAAAATAACCGCTTAAACTTTAAAGGAAGGTTAAAATAACATAACAGAAACAACAAATGCCACGGACGGGTAAAACTGAAGAAGATTGAAACGGATTGAAATTAGGGTTTTTGAAAACTGTTCAGCCTAACAGTTTTTCAAAGTTGATCCCTTCTGCTTGCAAACCTCAAAAATAGTGCTCAGGAGACATATTTGTTTGTCTGAGATCTCTGATTTTGTCATTCACCTGTAATTTCTTTGCTTACTTTAAGTTCCATAGCGATTGAGGGCGAGTAATTGGCAAAATTAAACAAAATGAATTGGACTGCCGTGACACAGCCCCTTTAAACTTGGTAAGATTTTTACTTGCAAAGCGCTGTTTTCAGCAGTGGTAATGGATATATATTCCCTAACTGATCTGTATCAAAGTCTTGAATAAAACCTTGGAAGGGTGTTGTATAACCAACAGACGTGACCTTCTAAACCGCAATAATCTAAACAGGTCCGTTTGGGTGATTGATGTGATTGACGGAAACGAAAAACGAAAAGTTGTGCAGTCCAGTCCAGATTTTCCAACTAGCCGGTTCTTTATATCCAGTTGTGAATAAACGCAGTTGTGAATAAAAATTGCATACTCTATCGATGCGTAGAAAGTGTTTTCTTTGGCGGCCGCTATGAATTTTGTGGATAGCTGCTGCGAGGTCTGCAACGATCTTCTGAAGCGCTCAGATCTCACATATTTCCAAGCTTTCTCTCCTAGACCCTGCAAAAATTCTTGGTGCCAGGCCTCGGATGACCACAAAAATCAAACTGGCCACCATTCCACGCACCGATTAAGTGAGTAGTACTCAATCAATATAAGGATAATAATCATTATTTGGTACAGTCCGGTTTTTCCTATCTCAGCCTACGGTATAAAGGACTTCATTCACAGGCTTGTTAGTTGCCTGTGAATAAACGAAAGCTGTGATTTAGTACCATTTTCCATCGAGGTGGCTCCGTCAATAAGAAGGCGCATTGTCATAACTTTTCATTTGTTTGATTTGATTTGTTTTGTTTTCTTTCTTATTATTTCAACGCGATAGCTAAGAAACTTTGAGAATAACTAGCGCTATCATTCGGCAATAATACCAAATGCAGTCGAACCCCGCTTTTTTCGGACACCTCGCTATTACGGAACGTTTTCCTTGTCCCTAGCTCTTACATTTTCCGCAAAATCAACCCGCTTAAAACGGACACCCCGTTAATACGAACGCTTTTTATGGCCCCTTTAGTGTCTGTATTAAATGGGTCTGATTCAGCTAATGGTATTTTTTATTTATTTATTTATTTCTTATTTTTTTAATACGTCAAATTAGCGCTAGAGTGGACCCTACTTTTCATCGCGTCTATTAAAAACCTTTTGTTGATATTCTTAACGGAAGTTTCTGGTATGCCAAATAAACTTTTGGCAAATAGTTGGAACAGAAATCCGTAACTGGAAGGTCATTCAGAATTCAGCTGGAAAATTGTTTTGGAATTAAAGAAAAAAGGTTCACTTTCCATCCTGGACAACTGAATCCAAAGCAATGCGTCTACTGAGCAAGCATTACATCAATATGGCTGGATATTTGCTAAGTCAATGAAAAAACAAAATAACAGATCATTATACGTTTTGGGGAAACTGTCCACCTACTCCTCCCCTACGCCAACATTTTGCCCTAAGTGAGAAGCAAGTGTTAATGTTGGCTTAGGGGAGGGGTTGGTGGGCAGTTTCCCAGAAACGTATAATGACACAAAATAACGAGGCCAATATCCAGCCATCTTGTCCAAAAAAAAACAAGGCTTGGTCAATAAAGGATTTATTATGTAGTCAAGACGTAGGCTATTTTATGAGAAGCTGTTAACATTAGCCCATACACTCCTCTGTAAAAAAAAAAACCCTGTTAATGTTACACTGTTCAGTGGAAGATACATGTATATTGAACTGCGTTGACCAAATTCAAAAACAATTATTTACATTATAATAATCAATATTGTCATCGCATGAGAGGTACCAGCAATATATAAGCTAACAACTTGTCCCAGGGAGGAGCTCAGTACATACCGAAGTACTCGATGGCGGGCGATTTTTCTTAAGACTTTTGCTTCGCGGGGTAGCGAGGACATTTTCGAATACGGTTAATTCATGGTCATGCTTACAGTCTCGCAAAACAAAACTCAATTAAAAAAATCTGTCCGCATACAGGAGAGGGTTTCTGGTCTCGTACAGGCGTTAACTCAGGCGCCACTCTCATATCATGATGATCAACACTTTGAAATCCTGAATCATTCTCACCTCTAGAAATCACAGCCAGTGTCATAAACTGTGCAGAATACATTCTAGTTTGAAAATCTCTCAGTGCTTTATTCACATCTATGCACTGCAATAAAGAAAACAAAGTCCAAGTCAATGGGGTAAAGTGTAACCTTGGACCCGTTTCTCGAAAGTCCAGGTAACTTTTCGGCCCCGAAATCAAATGTTCAAATTAAAGTTAACAAACTATCCCTTTTTTAGCAGATAGTTTTATCATATTCGAGCAAAACGCGCAAGACACGAAAATGACCTCGCGCGTGGCTGAAGGCGCAAGACGGGGTTTTCGCGCGACTCGCGCACGTGTGTACTACCTTCACTAAATCTGAAAAAAAAGAAACTGCCAGCAGTCTAGTAAAACTATTGAAACCTCGATGTTGAATGTAACCAAAAACACCTTTCTGCCGAATCCGTTAGTTAACGGGACTTTCGAGAAAAGCACCCACGCAGGCCTGTTGAATATCGAGAGGTTCAAGAAATGGACCCCGGTAATGTTTTAAAAACGGCTGCACTTACCTTTTTTTCGGGAATGTTCTGAAGTGTCTCTTCATTTCCTACGAGATATAAAAACACAAATAAAAAATAATAATTCACAAATTCTCTGGCCAAATTCTCTGACCGGCCGAGGTATCAAAACAGAAAATTAAACCTGGTGGTTCGCGGAGTCTTACTCACCCCAAAGAAATTTTCCAAATGGATGTCCTTTTCGAGTTAACAGTGCAAGAAGTTGCATTTTTCGAACGGAGTCACTGTGGTAACTCATCCTAAATTCTGCAAATTAAAAATTTAAAAAAAAATCCATACTTATTTATTTATTTACTTATTTATTTCTATTCGTTTTTCATTCTAGAAAGGATCAAGGCTGTACTACTTATAACACTTTTTTCAAGCTTTCTTTATAAAGTGGCAACTTCCTTAGTTGCATCTTTAACTGCAATGATCTGTGTAGTTTTCTCAGTAGAAAGGCGATTTTTTGAATTGGGTAACGTGAAGTCGAAGATTGTTCTGAAGACCACACAATCAAAGCCAAAGAGTCTCTTAGGGACCACCGTTAAATGCAGCGTTTTTGTTAAGTAACAGATTAAGACGTTTCCCTTGTAACGCCGCCAAAAGATAATACAACCTCTAATGAAAAATAAACAAACAAAACAACAATAAAACAAAAGCAAAGCCATTAAGACTTTTTGCGACCACCAATACATTGTAAGTAATTTTTTCCCAACAGTGCGTGTTCTCATTGGTTATTTCATGACATCTAACAATGAAACTATTTCCCACCTAAATGTCTGAGCGGGTAACATCGCAAAATCTTTTACGCCAGAGGATAACAGTGCCCTGTTGCACAAGAATAGTTACCGACGGTCGCCATAACAGAGAGATTCAATGAATTTCCAGCTATATAACAAATCACTTAAAAGACTGGTCCCTGAGAAACAGTTAATTTTGTTTCCCTTGGATCTGAGATTCTCGGGAAACAGAACCAGTCATCAAGTGTTTAAGGTCTCTTATTTGTTTGGTTGCTAGACTGCAAGCAAGCAGTCTCTCTTTTCTTTGAGATTTAGTGAGGGGAGTGAACGTGTGCGCAAGCATCGAGCAGCGAAGCCACGAGGTGACAGAAAAAATGGGGGCGCAATCTATTTGGTTGCACACAGAACAAAGGAAATAGGAGACACCTACATGCAAGTTACCTACAGGATGGATAACACAAATTATTACTTCCCCTGGCTAACACTTATCCACTCGCTTATCTGGCCCTGCTTGTTCAAACATTAGATAGCGCTATTCAGTGGATGAATCTCTATGCAGCGGGGATTATCCAATTCTTGAAAAAAAGTCCAGCTTTTCAGGGTCATAATTGTGCAAAACAATTTTGCATAATTCCTACAATGCCTACAGTAAGAATAATGCAGGGAGCACAGTTTTGTACAATAATTATCCATACTCTATGTATGTCCACTTTAAGTATAAAAAACTCACCACTTTCAACAGCCTGTATCTCTCTTTTCATGCTGTCTCCTTTGAGGAGAGGAGAAATAAAAAACTGGGCAAACCTATAAATAGGAAAAAAAGGTACAATTATTTAAAAAAAATGCAATGCAACTTTAAATTCAAGATCAAATATGATTTCACTACATTGTAATTCAAATGTAATAACCTGTCCAAGGTTTCTTTAAAGTACTTTCTTCTAACATCAAAGGTGAAAGTGGTCTGTAAAAAAAATTAAATAATAATCATTCATTTGTTTATGTTTAAATGCTACATGTATCATTACCATCTTGTTAACATCAAATGCTCAACTTTTCGAGCATACAAGCCAAGGTAACACCTCTTTACCTACAATAAAACTATAGTGAGTTTGCTTCCAAAAAATTCTTCTTTAACAAAAGTGCCTGCAGCAAGGGCAAAAAGTAACATGACAGTTGGTTTCTTAATTTGTTTACGAGTTCTATGGTTTGTGAAATTGTTTGTCTTTGTCCTAGTCCACAATCGATCTTAACAATTCTGCTTCATACATGTACATGTAAATTGAAAAGTCCCCCAGCCACCCTATGCACCACCTACTTCCCAACCCACTTCTTAGCCTGCGTGCAGACGATAACTAAACTCTGATTAGTACCGTCTGCGAAGCAGCACAGAGATCCTTGTTCTGGACCCCCAACCGACTCAACGAATTACCGGAAGTGCATTTCGAATTTCCCTTCAACCTGATTGGCTATTATCAGTCTTGCGACAAACAAAACAAAGGTCTTTTTTAACTAGCCAATCGTGGTGCGTACTCAAATCTCGGTACACAGCTGGAAGTCCAGAACAAGGATTTCGGCGCTGTTTCGCAGACGGAGTTAACCAGAGTTTAATTTCGTCTGCGCACAGGCTACCCACTTCTGGACGCGCCTAACTACACCTTAAGGCAGAAAACACAAAAGTATTATCTTTTCCGGAACATGCAGGTCTGTAGGACAAAGAGAGTGGAGGACTTCTTTACATTTAAATTTTTTCAGTGATTCAATTGTTATTTTAATTGTTATAACTGTAAATTACTATACTCTAGATAATAGTTGCCTTATGATTGTAAAATGTACTCGATAATTCAGTTCTTTTTACTGCACGAGAGTTTTAATAAACTATTCTTACTAAAAACAAAAGACAAACTAATTCAAAGGATGTACCCTCTCACAGTCGGTAGAAGCATTATCAGATCCTCCGTGTTTCTTGATAAAAGCATCAAATGCATTTTCATCTGGATACTTTTCACTTCCCATGAAAACCACTGTTAAGAAAGCAATAATGATTATAGCAAACAAGCAAAACTGCAGGACATACTACCTACTGAAACTCTCAAGGTACCTAAGGACCAATTGGTTTGATCCAAGAACTAAAGAGGAACAAACCAACAGAAGGCAAGAAGTTGAAGGAATAATATCAAACAATAGTAATAATAATAATAATAATAATAATGATGATGATGATTTAATCTGCTAGGCATAGAGGACTGGCAGTATTCCACCAAGTGGATTTCCCCATCTAGTACAGCAAATACACACACGTACACTGTACTGTAAAACTTGAACATATTTATCCAGCTATAAGCCGAGCAATTTTTACAGACATTAAAGCTAAAGTTCCAAGTGAAATTTGAACCCAAAAGGGGGTCTCGGTTTATAGCCAAGAGTTTTTGACCAAAATTTTTTTTAAGTGCATTGAAATGCTACTAAATGGGGATGTATTTACTTATAAGCCGAGTAAATGGCAGCAAACAATCGAATCAATCACAAAACAGCGTGCAAAGAAAGTAGTGTCCGATAGCCCGTGGCTAGTGGATTTTGCTATTGGGCTAGTGAACTCTGTTTTTTGAGGAATTCAAATGACAGAAGAACTGTGAAATCAATTCTGCTAGTCAAAAAGTTTTTGGGGCTAGTTGAAATGACGTCTGGGCTAACAAATGCTAGCTTCAGCTTGTAAAAATGATTTTCTTTGCACCCTGCAAAACTACAAATCAGAATGTTAAGTTAACTAAGAACAGAAATTCAGTCCCAATTTCTCGAAATATCTGACAAAAACAGGTCTCTCAACTAAATCTCACATTGGTAAGCCTTTTACAACGAGGGAAGGTGTAAAACAAAATAATGAAAGATGTCAAGAAAACAATCCATACGTTTGGTCAAACATGCGTTTCAAAACATTTGCCTGGTTACTAAGCACGGACAAACACAACGCAAACTGATGTGGTCTGTTTTGATTGAAAGACGATTTATGTGATCATTTCAAGCATAATATGATGAAGCCATGAGCAAAGATTGATAGCAATGAAAAATCCAAAGAACATTGTACTTTTTCCTAGAGGAGGTCACATTTTTTTCCAAAATGTTGTGTTTTACAGTAGTTTAAGTCTTGCAACGAATGGGTCTCCGCTTTATAGCCAGGTGTTTTAGATGTATCTTCCGTTCTTGGTTATGCTGATTCTACAAGTTCAAAGATTAGGGTCTCGGCTCATAGCCGAGATTGGCTTATAGCTGAATGAATACTGAATAATAATAATTCAACAAGTAAAAAATCTCCCAGAATCCTTTGAGGCATTTTTTTTTTAAAAAAGCTCTATAACTTTGACAATAATATTTTATACCTAGAAGAATGTTAGACCACAACAAGATAGCATTTGCCATAAAACATCTTTCCACGTCACATCTAGGGTGATGACATCATCAGTCATGTGACTATATTTGTCAAGTTAGGTTTTTTTGTTGCCGTGACAAGATTTCATTATTATATAGCATATTTGAGCTTTTGGTTGTGTGGGGCATTCAAAAATAACCAGTTGACTTCTGGCATTTAAAATTTAAGGGGGGAAATGAACATGAGCTAAAAAGTCAGGAGACTAGGCCGAGGATTGTAGAGAGTTGATGTTCATCACATGGCAGTGAAAATTTGCGGGAAAGTAATGTTCTACCCAATAACTTTTTTTTTTTTTAATTTTTTTTTTTTTTTAAACAACCAAAGGAGAGACATGAAGCCATCAGTCACATGACCAGAGCAATTTGAATATTTTTGTTCGTGTTTAAGTACATTTTTCGTCATAAAAAGGATTGGCAAGTTTTTGTCTCTACTCAAATCTTTACACTGTATTGCCTCTGAATAATAATTGCAAGATAAGAGTCAAAAGCAGAAGTGCATTAAAGAATAATATTAAGGATTTAAATACTACAAATATATACAGCATGTGTTAAACCACTCTCCGCCTAACAAACTGTAGTCTGCTTAGCAGGTGCCAGTTTCTTTCGGGCAAAAAAGAGAAATATACAAATGTGGAGGAAGTGTGAAACATTAAAAACAATGCTTACAAAGCCAGTTCTGGTTTCACAACCAAATCAGCACAGCAAATTACTGGAAAATGAAACTTTTTCTGAACCCAGCTGGTAATACAGTCAAACCTCTACTAACGACAATCCCTTGTTTAAACCTCTCTACAACAGCTACTTTTTTATGTCCCCAAGGTTGCCATTAAGGAGAGGTTTACAACTGTACTGCCATGAGATCTTCACCATGAAAAAGAAAGTTGTAATGCTATTCCTTATGCTGGCTTTAAAGTCAAAGGAATGAAAATTTCTTCGACCTAAAGGTCTTTCAAACACGACTGAAACAGTTCTTCTGCCAGTATGTGAAAATGGGCCACGTTAGATGTTTTGTTTATAAGACTCTAAACTGAGCTGTTATCTGTGTCTTTGCTTCACCCCCAACAGGTGGCAAGATGAGAGATTATAACGAACAAGACCCAAACTTTTTATTTTCACTGACTGACAAAATTAATTTAATAGTAATTATTATACTGAGGTGACAGACTAACTCCCAAGAGGTGCTGTTAGCCAATGGTGAATTCTATGCACCATCACTCATTCAGAGAACATAGAAAACCGAGACCTAGGGCCTTCGATGCAGGTACCTCCCCTCCCCTTCACCCCTTCCCTTGCATGCTCTATAAGAATTAACCGTGCTTTCACCAAACCCCTGAGAGTTCCCCAAACTTACTATGTTCTAAGAAATGAGCTAACCCAGGAATGTCCTCTGGATCAGAAAAATTCCCTGCACTGATACAAAGGGCTGCTGCAGACTGAAATAACAAGGAGATAACAATCATTGACATTTAATCAAAGTTCCTTATGATAATTATTTAGAAGATGCAACAATAAAATCAAAGATACTTAATTCATGTAAAAGAAGCCACAGGAGTGGTTTAATTCACCCTTTTTTGCATGTACTACACACTACTTTCGTAGTACAGTAAGCGACCACTTTCTGATGCACCAAGGGTCACTGATTGAGGGTGGTTGCTGACAAGAGAGTTGACTGTATTTAAAATGCTATGTTAACACATACACTGATGGCATTAATATAGACAGACTAGTGCAATCTGGCCGTTTGTTCACTTCAAGATCCTCACCCTGTTAAAACAAACTCTATAGATTTTCACGGAGTGCCATTGATACACAACACAGAATTCCACAGAATTTCATAAAATTAACTCTATCTCCTAAAGAACTTTGTGGAGATTCCATGCAACTCCACGGAGACACCATAAACCAACACTGCATGAAATTCTATTGAAATTTCAAGGACTTGTTTGTATTCTTTAACCATGGAATTCTTTGGAACCCCACCGACAGAGCTATTTTACACATGTATACTTACAAGTTTCGTTTCCTTTGATTTCCTGGTTCGTTCTTCATCATACTGTTGATTAGCCTCTGGATCAGTTCCTACAAATCCGTCAACACCATCACCATTATTGCTACCATCATCATCATTATCACTTTCTTCCTCAAAGTCTTCACTCCATGTGTCTTCCTCATCATCTGTTGTTACCATGTCACTGTCATGGTGTACGCGTGGACTGACTGAGTGGGTATCAGAGATTAACAGGGCTGTTAAACCATTTTCCAAGTTGATGACCCTTAAAAAAGAAATTATTAAAAAACAGGAAAAACAGACAAACACAAGCAAAAATTTACCTTCATAAATTTGTAAAAGAAGAAGTCATCCTCAAAATGGGTTCATCAGTGAAAGAACAATCTGCACCCCTCCCCTCTCTTTTCCACTCAAATTTGGGTTGCTTGTTGCTTCTTACAGGTAGCTCTTAGCATGAACAGGGCGACCCCAAAATCAGAAGAATAGTGGAATGCCAGAACTATGGAATGCGGAAAATCAACCCAAATCCTAAGAGGCAGAATAAAGTTCAAGTTCATGCAGGTTCATTTTAGTCACACTTATTTGAAAGTACATATCAGAGATTCTAACCCTCCCATTTTGGCCAGAAACCTCCAGTTATCGGCAAATATTTTCAGCGTAAAAAAAAATGTGGAATTCTTTAGGGTGAAGCCTTAATTTTCACTAAATTCTTCAGGGGTAAATAAACCCATATCCTTCGAGCCCATATTTTATGGAAGTCTTCAGGGGTGAATCCAATGTTAGCCAATCTTCAGAGGTAAGAAAAGGTACCGTGTAGCAGGGGTGGATCTAGGATAAATTTTGACCGATTTCCTAACACCGAGGGCGCAAGCTTCTGGGGGATCAGGGAGCATGCATGGGCTGTCACAGGAAATTTTTTGGATTTTCACTACCTAAAGGCCCCTTTCCTGGATTTCTGAGTCATTCAGACGGGATGTTGGCCAGTCCCATTCTCCTCTAATGAAACCTTGCAAATCGGAGGATTTTATCATGGTCAATTTCCATGTTGTAGTTATGGAACAAGATTTCTAGTTGCATAGCTTTTTTTTAACTAAAAATATATCTCGAGAAAAAATCTGACCAATTTCTGTAAAACGGTGGAAACCGGTGTGGATCCGCGCCTGTGTAGCATGAAAATTTTGCGGGTTCTAATTTTAGCGAATTGACCTCGATCCGCAAAAATTAGTTCCCGAAGAAAAAAAAAAACACAAAATAAAACGCCACAAAAATTAACTCCCTTCAGTCAAATTAAAAACTCTGCTTTTAATGGACTGGTTGTGTATGGTAGGGATAGGCTTTTGTTTTGTTTTGCTGTTGTTCAGTCCCTTTGTGCAGTAAGATATCACAGTGAAAACCGTATTATTCTTTATTAAATATGTAAGTAGAGTGAACTTTAACTCAACATACCGTAAAATAAAAGTTGAAAATACCATATTAAGGTTTCTTCAACTTAAATATTCTGCTACTTGAACAGAGAATCGCAAAAATAATATTATTAGTCCCCACCAGAAATTTCAGTCATCTCGAACCGCAAAAATTTGTTCCCGCAAACCACAAAAAATCGCCGATCCGCAAAATAAAACTCCCGCAAAATTTTCATGCTACACGGTAAGTCCTCAACCTGGGGGCTACGGATATTAAATGCAATACGGCCCAATCGATTTTCGCATTGTGTCCCTTCATCAACGACTTCTGGGTACGGGCTTCTGCTTATCAAAGGGCTTAATTTTGGACCTTAAAGGTTGAATTGCGACATTTAGGGTTATCATCGGATGGATGTTTTTCTCATTGACTTTAAATTTACCTGTACTCTCTTGGATCATTCGGTGACTTCACGACAGCCGCCATGTTGGTAACAGTTTTCTGAAGTAACAGTTGCTCTGCTGGCCGAGTGAACCGAGTGGGCTGGGGCGTCAAACGCTACCTCGTCCCAGTCCAACGCTTTTTCGTAGTACCACAGTCATCCCATACTCGATTAATCCCAATAATGAAAAGTAACATAAAACGGAGAAACATTGCCCGTCGTGTGTTTCAGTATTGAAATGCTGTCTGAAATGTTGTCGACAAACTTGACAGCGACTGCTGTGAGAGCTTTGCAAACCTATTAATAAAGCAAGGCGGCAGGTTTTGTATTGTACGTTTATTTAAAAATTGTAAAATCGACGCTGTTATTTCAAAGGAGTTTTAGCCGACATTTCGGCAATGCTGCCTTCTTCAGGGTACAATACTAAACACCGTTAAAAAGTTTTTTTACTGTGCTAATGTTCATGGACAAAGTTGGTGCAGGATCTCCGTATCCGTGCTACGTAGGACTGGCAGAATAGGAGGAAATTTACGGGCAGTTCGGAACTTTTTGTGAAGACTCTTCAACCTTAAGGTGTATAAAAGAGGTCCTTTCTGAGCAAAAGAGCATGTAGGGAGGTTTAATTTTCTAAAAAATATTTTAAAAAGGTTTAAGAGGGCAGCACGAGAGGTTCAGTTTAAAAGTATTAAAAAGCCAGTATCTTTCTCAAACAAGAAAAGAAAAGAGCTGCACTTGATTAATTATTGATTAAGCTAAAATCAGTATCAACCCTGATTCAGACCATAGGGGCTTTTGAGGCCCCAAAGACTTAAAAAAAAAGCTATTCCAAAACCGGTACGAATACCAACCTTAGCGACGTTTCCTATGTAATATATCTGTGAATATTAAGGCGTCGTGACGTGTACCTCAACATTGACGAAACAGGGCAAAAGAGTTTTGACAGCCATGTTTTAGTTCAAAATTTGCATTTTTGCTTTTCCATTAAAAGAGGGTTGATTTCTATAAGCAGTATTTTATAATATGTACTAAAACTGTTCATGTCCTTAGTTAAGGATCCTTTTATGCAAATATCAAATTTTATATCACGATTTCCTCGATATTTTTTTTAAAGCAATACAGGATACATTTGATGAATTTAAAATGGAAGCTAAGGTAAAATCAATGGACGGCTTTCCAGTTAACTGATTTGTTGATAATTTACAAGTGTATCTTGATTTAAATGTCAGGTTTACTAGCTGGTGCTACGCTTTTAGCCCTGGCTAAATCTACATTATTCTTATTGTATGTTGATTTTGTTATTTTGTTTTATTTCAGTGGATCTTCGCTGTAACATGTTCATCACGTGTACATTCAATCGCTCCTTGAATTTTCTCTTTTCCTTTCCTTCTAGTGGCTTCGGTCTACCCTCCCTCTTTTGGCAGCAGCCATCACAGGGACTACAGATCAAAGTAACGTGCGTAAAGAAGAGAAAGTACTGTAGTGCAACAAATAATAATTTTAACCAGATTCCTTTATTCATATTTGTGACATAAATCTTAACTAAATCACATTGCACAATTAATGGAGCTTGATACATTCGCATCCTTCATCTCAGTCTATTGTTAATTGTCATTTGTTTCCTCTTCCCTGTCCTGTCCCTGGTCTCTGTGAAGAAATACGTGTAACAGTCTTTTCAGTATGGACTACAATGTTGATCAAATACAGGGGGGAAATTGGACATCTTTAGGAAATCTTTAGTTTCAAAATTATGTCTTGTTACTGGAATGGTGTTTTATTTTTTATTTTATTTTTTACATTCATTTTTCATGACTATGAACTATCATGTTATGTTGGGGGGAAACCGGAAATTCAGGTTAGAAAGGCAAAGGACTGGAGCCATTCCGAAAATATCGACTTTGATTTAAAGCGATGCAATTTTTCTACTCTTTTAAGTACGTATAGCTGATTTGCATATACTTTGTAGTGGGTCATTCTCCCACCACAAAAAATTTTGTAGTTTTATGTTAATGCAAAAGATTTAATTTCCGCCCGGGTGGTTTTGACTTGTAAATGGGAGGAACACTGTTCCCCTGTCAGGCCTAAACCAAACGTTGAACTTTTGACGAGATGAACCAAACTTAGTGAGTTAAAGTTCATGAAAAGTTCGACGACGTCTGGCACAGTTAGCCTGTTCGTCTGAATATGAGCTTGGATCATCCAACACGTTCTAGCCGTCTGAAGATCGTCCTCGGAACAAACGTCGATCTTTACGTGCGATAGTCTCCCTAGCAGCCGATTTTTGGATGTCACGCAACGCTCCCGTTGCGTGACATCCAAAAAACGGCTGCGAGGGAGACTACACATGCGACCAACTACACTAAAAAAAAGTCTAAATTTGTATGATGATGTATATTAAGCATCGTTCGGGAAAAAAAAATTAAATTTCGTTTTTGGTCTGATTCAGTTCATTCTTCGACGCGTCCTTAGTTCGACGTCTGAGCCAACTGGTGATCTTAACTTCATTTAGGGGACTCTGCAATAATTATCAGGAGGGGGGGCTGAAAAACTAGAGTCGGGGGCTTTACATAAAAGTGCTGCCAAGATAGGGAGGGCTCAAACTAAAATCACTCATTTGACGGAGGGGGGCCTTTTAATAAAAGTTTTATTCGAAATGTAAATAAAATTAAACGCAATAAAAGATTCTCAATACAGGCATCATGATAGACTGTAACAAATATCAACACGAACAGCTGTTAAACGATTATTGAAAATATTCCATCAAAATGAAAAGCAAATTCACAACTGATCAATTTTAACCCGTCTTCTAATTAATTGAGCTGATCCTATGTAAAGCAAAAATCATGAACTTGTTTTTCAGCTTCCCCCATAAAACAATGGAAATCAAACAGATCTCGTAGACAAGCTTTGTCGGTTTTTGATGTGAATAAAAGTAATGTTTCTTCATCGGCTGAATCGATTTGCTGAATTCCATATATATCTGGCTCATAACAAAGTTCATCAGGCTCTCCTCCCAAGACGTTCCCAAGGATCTAAATATAATGCAAGCTCTTTTTCGTCTGCTATTTAAAGCGTTCAATCTCCTGTTCTTTGATTTTTTTCTCTGCTCCTTTCTCTTTCTGGCTTCAGAAGTTTTAGATTTTGAGCCAATGTGGTAAGTACCCCGGTACTTAGCAAATGCTTTGTCTAAATCTTCAATCAAGCGATCAACATCCTTCTCGATACTACATGTTACATAATAACGTTTGTCATTATTGAAGCTGTGATGGCAGCTCAGTCCAGTGTGGTGGGAAGGGGGGGTGCAACGTTATTTTTAACATAACAGAGGGGGGTTAGAACTAATTTTTTTTGTTTTGGAGGGGGTACTGTCTAAGTTTTTGCTAGCTAACCCTTGTTTTTCAGCCCCCCCCCCTCCTGATAATTATTGCACAGTCCCTAGGTCGACCCAAATTCACGCCGTTTGGGTCGCGCGTCTCACGAAAAGTTCGACGTTTGCCTAGGCCTTACCTGAATCAGATGCAAACATGAGACGGGAAAAAGAAAGTGCTCTAGCGTGATGATTGAAAGTCTTTTAATGCAATTAAAATGCAAGAATTTTTTAATGGGAGCAAATTTGTAATCAAATATTGATATGGTGACATACGAAAATAGCTCTCCCTTAATCTTTCCCTGGCTTGACTAAAAAATTGAATAAACGTACAACAATACTTTTAGAAAATGAATTCATCTAAGTCAACAAATAAGTCAAAATTACCTCAAAATTTACTCTTTGTTTGAGAACATCTTTTCCACATTTTCCTTGATGATCCTTAATGTTTTCATCTTCATTTGGGCTTGCGAACGCTTCTTGTTTCGCCCTGTTAAAAATTGTCAATAACCACTAAATCACGTTTGAAGCGATGATAAGTATTGACATTTTTCACAAGTTATACTTCGACCCCTTTCGAAGCCTTGGCAACAATGGAAAGAAAATAGAAATCAAAATATAAATATCATATTAAATAACGAAAGAAATGAATGGAATCAATAGTTGCACTTGTTTGATTGTCAACATATTGTCTGTAAAAACTTCGTGACACAAATGCTAGAGCATTCATTTATTTATTTATTTGCTTATTTATTTTTTCCAAGTCTCTGAACGATAGCAGTGGATTTGTCAGGACTCCAGATCTATCTTTTCTCTGCCTGCGCAAAACCCTTCCTATGAGTTCTGTTATCGATTATTTTATTTACCTGTCCGTTTTTTAGCGGAGATGCTGGGATGAGCACCAAGTTCGTTGTCCACAATGTATTCCATCTATCAGAGAGCAGAAAAAAAAGTCAATTTCACCCCTTCTCTACAACCACCAATTTTCGTTTCAAGTCCCTGGGGACGGTTTTTATAATTATTCACTTTATCTTTCTAGAACCGCGCCACCTTCTCCAAAGCGGTAGCGGCCGAAAAAAAAAAACCCACAAACTGCCAAAAATGCAGTGAAGCCTCTCTATACAAAAGAAACGCAGCTAACATGCAATGCAGGAGAATTTGGGGGACGAACAAAACCGGACTGTTTATCCTAGAATAATGTCTTGTCCGCCATCTTTGATTTCAGTATGGAGATTAGAAATCCCCATTTGACTCGCCCCAAAGCTCCAATTTTTTTAGCATTTAACGTTTCGGTTACACAAGCAGAAACATTCGCGAAGAAAAAGCCTGCAAACCAAGTTTAAGCAAACAAGATACGTATATTCAAGTACCCGATGCTCGTTTTGTGTTTTGTGAATTTGTGTCCTGAGAAGATGGATTCGGTTTGATTGAAATACATGCATTTTCAGTTTGCATTTGGTGTTAATATCCTAACACAAGCTTACAAATAAAATATGTCGTATTCTAAATCCCTGTCCTCCCAGCTTAATGCTCCTCCTTCCCCAGGTAGCCGTTGTAAAGAGATTTTAAAGACATTATTTGCAGTGCTGGGTGCACTGCATTTTTTTGCTTCGTAGTAAAGGCGTAGAGTAAAGCCGGCTTACAAATTTGCGCTTGCCGTTCGGCACCTTTTCCACCAATTGCATAATTAGCACATGCATTCGCATTACAAAAGTAGCAGTTTAACATTTAGCTTGTATTTTTGCCTTCCTACCGTTCAGTTTTTCGTCAGAAATTCATCTATTTCGACTTCAGATAGCAATGAACGCCCCGTTTTTTTTTTTTTTTTTTAGTTCACTCGTGAGTAAACAGCTAGAGAGCCGCGCCTGGAAACAACGTTTATCGATAGTCTATTAAACATGCGGCCTCGTTCCCAATCAAACATACAACCGATCAACCTCGTTTCTTATCAAAGTATACCTTCGAATCGACAGCATATAGCTCGCCGATCTTCTAATTTAGTAAGCGCCAGGTGCTTATGAAGAATTAATTGGGGGATTAAAGCCAATCAGAAACTGCGAAATATTTTGAATGAATAAAAAAGAAATTAGAGGCCAGATGTCCGATTTTCTAAGGTTGATTATTTTGTTACAATAGTTTGATCATTTATTTTCGCTGTTTCTCTGATACCGCTTAAACTCTTACAGCCGTTTTAAACGTCATATTAATTTTACCTGACGGAGCAATGCTTCCAAGGCGTGGATGTAATATTTCAGGCGGCTGAAACAAATAAAAGACACCAAGGGAGGTTTAATTTTGACAAATTAAATTCCTTTCATGAAAAAGTAATGATCAAAAATGTTATGAGCTAGCTATAGAGCTGTCCTAAAATTTAAGAAACTAGTACATGTAGGTCTTAAGAAATATAATTCTGTCATATCTTCTTTATTGGAGCCATAAAAATAATTTCTTGGCAAACTTTAGTCGATGTTTGGAGAGAACTGAAGGACAAAATCCCGGAGGGGTACTCCCTTGTATAAGTCATATAGGTATGTCACGCCCCATCGGGTAGGGTTTTTGCGCCGTTGGTCTGAAAACGGTGCACACTTTTCCCATTTTGGTCTGGAATCGGGTATGGTTTTCGAGGGAACTACGGGAGTGTATGAACATTCTTATCGTTTAAATTCCAAATGAGTAAGAAAGAGAGAAATATGTGAATTCCAAATAGATTTAGATAATAATTTTTGTGTTTGCGCCCTAATCTAAGCGATGATAACATAATTTCTGCCTAAAGGCTAGGTCTGAAAACGGGTGTGGATTTTAGAGGCCTGGTCTGAAAACGGGTGTGGATAATTATATTTTTTGGTCTGAAATCGGGTCAGGATTTGAAGAACCGGGCGGCACACCCCCACCAAGAATTCCCAGGAGTACCCCCCCGGGGGAATCTCGCTCTCATTTCCTTTTCGCAGTACTGTAGGTCTTAACACAGGGAGCCCGAACGCTGTATTAGCTAATAGAAAAATCAGTTGTTATTTGTTATTCACCTATGTTTCCTGAGCCTTTATGAGTAGTTTTGGAAGAGGATTTCAATCCGATCATAGACGGTTAACATTGCCAGTGTCAAATGTTTGCTTGTTTGGCGCATCGTAAAAAGGACGCGACTGTTACGTCCCAAGTTAACTATTACACTCTCCTTAATAGTCTACTAGAAATACGCGAATCGCAGAGCCTTGCGAAGCAGAGGTTAAGGGCCAGAAGTGGAAAGAAAGGGAAAGAAGCCAATACGGGAAATAAGCTATATTTATAAAAAAAAAGACGAATAAGCCAACAAAACAAAACAACCGCAGGAAAACAAAAAAGAAAAAAAAGTAAGGATGGGCAATAGGGTTCGAAGCCCGAACCTTCGTCTAAACGCCGCTTCCCTATACCACTGGACTACTGAGGATGATTGCCGATCTCAGATGAATAGTTTTTAATTTAACGCAGTTTCCATGGAACTTCCGCCGGCAAATGCCCTTTAAAGCTGATCAAGCCGTATTAAACAGGAATTCAAAGGTATATTCATGAAAATAACCGGTCTACTTGACAGTAAAAAACCAATATAAGAAATATAAACTCATCTCATAGCAATAAAAGTACATATACCCAACAAAGCCGATTTAACTCGTATTCGTTAAAACAGCTTTAACCTACCGATGCGTAGAGATAAAAATAAATTTGGTTTTCATTTGTATTTTTTTTTATTTCACTCATCACCAGCTAAAGCTCATGCTTCGTTAAAACACTAGTTCGCTTACCTCTGAGGGTCTGGCCCTGGCGGTCCAGCAGTAGGAAAACCAGAGGGTTCTGGCCCACTGGTGGGGTATCCTGTAGGTAATGGTCTCCCCGTGGGATATCCGGTAGGAAGTGGTCCACCCGTGGGGTATCTGGTAGGAAGTGGTCCACCCGTGGGATATTCTGTAGGTCCTGGTAAAAGGCAGGACATGCATGTAGTACAGTTGGAAAACGCAGTAAAGTTGATAAGACCGTCTAATCTAAATAGTTTTTCTCGACATAAACTGATAGCAGTGCTTCGATTTATAATCGTGTTTATCTGGAAATTATTTAAGGGAGGACCGTTTTTTATGTTATTTTTTTTACTTGTCCCCTCGGGTGTCTGGTAGTAGTCTGAATCGACAAGAAAGGCCTTGACCCTTTTAGCACCCTATGTATTAGAAGTTAGTTTGTGAACGGTCCCATATATTACGTGCAGTTTGCAGGGTCGATAACTGGGTTGAAGACAATTATGTTGAAATTATGAACACACTGGACTAGCTCACCTCCTCCATTGCAGAGATCACTATCGCAGCAGTTTACTGAGCATGAGAACATGGTTCCATTTGATTGAGAAATGGAGCTGTTCACTTGGTTACAAATAAGGTTCGAGTCACACGTACTAGATATCGAGCAGTCCTTGACGGTTGTCGAGTACTGGTAGCCGTGCACCTCCCCTGTAACGATCGTAGTCATGCAAGAGTCGTAAAAGGAGTCGCATGAAATTATGGAGAGGCTGCTACATGTCTCGCTCGAACCTGGATATTCTGCGCATGAATAGCAGCTTATACCCAAAGTTGTTGGAAGACAGGCAACGAAACTGCACAGAACCTGCAACGTAATAAGATGATGTCAGAGAGTTTCAAGTTAATCCCAACAAACAGCAACAAACACAGATCTTGCATTTGAGGTTAAGCACCAATTCCGCGACCCCTTATTTGCCTGACCTTTCATGTTATACAACTTATATACTCACTCCGACCAGAGCATTATTGATGTTAGGGCATGAAAGCTTTCGGAGTTCTCTACTTAGCAAAATATATCTGTAAATCTTGTACCCCATATAAAACCTCAGCGCCGTGTGTCCCGTTATAACGCTCGATGGTAACCCGATAATTTTCTTAAAGCGGCTGACAAAACGGATGAACTGATGCAGGCTTTGCATGGATTAAGACCCTATATCCAGTGGCATTAACCAAGACAACTCCGGTAAGCCAAAAATGCCTGGTCTGAATAGAGTTTAAAAAACGCCCTCGTCCGTATTAACCAGGTCATGTTATTTAAGTTAAAAAACATACCTTTTATTTGAACAAAATACTACACATTTAAAATAAGACATCGATCAACGTCGTCAAATTAAACATCTCTAACGTGCACAAAAGCCGTCATTCCGAGGACTATATATGTCCATGGAAACACCACAAAGTTAGCCTGCGCAGAAGGCGCTTGGAAGTAGTGGGCGAAAGAGAGAACGGGCGCGCGCGAGGGAGACATGCGTTTCTCCTCGCGCGCCCTTTTTTTCTTGTGCCCACTACTTCCAAGCACCTGCTACGCAGGCTACCACAAAGTCGCCAATTTATAATTATACGTTACTCATCAATCAATAACCCAACTCTGCATACTTTGCTCATTAACTTAGCGTTTAGTGCCAAAATAAACTGAGATTGCCGTCCAAGTAAAAGTGATCCTAGCCGGTGTGCTGCAACATTTGGAACATCCGACATGTTGTCACCTAAAGCTTTTTTTTTTTTTAACTTCAAAAAGGAAATTTTATTGCAGCACACAGTTGCCAATGAAGTGTCCGTATTTAAGCGAGGTTGACTTTCTCTGACAAGTTGTTGATTGGAAGAGAAACAAGAGTTCGTTTGTCCGTATTAACAGATCTCCACTTTAAGCGGGTTGAATTCAGAGAAAAAGCGTGAGTGTTTTACCCAGGGATAAGGAAAACTTTCTGTCATAACGAGTGTGATCAGACCCGTATTGAACAGGCGTCCATAAAGCGGGGTACGACAGTGTGCTTCAATAGGCCAGTTGCACTAAGAGGTCACGTGACCAATGCTTCCTTTAAACGATGAGTTGGAATCTTGCTGATGCCAAAAATTGACAGAGCACATAAAAATATCTTACACCCGAAATTTGAGAGGAAACGCATTTAAGGGAGATATTTTATGGCATTTTGATTTTTTAAACAAAGTAGTATGATTTGTATTGGCCGCCATGTTGGAGGGCGTACTCTTGCCCTCCAACATGGCGGCCAAAACTACTTTTAATTTTTGCTCATATCTTGTTAAACGTTTGATAGTTACTCTCAGTTGTGCTGTAAACGTTAACACATCATCTTTTCAACATTTCTCTTGACTGGCTTTAAGTGCAAAATTTGTGTTCAGAAAGAGGTAATTCATAATTTTAAAATCACATTTTGGTCACGTGACCAGCTACGAACTTACTCATTTTAAGGAAATGGTGCGGGTTTGAAAAACCAAATCACTATTATTAAATTTGTTTAAGATATGAATCCTAATCGTTTTTTGAAGACAAAATCATATAACTTTCATTTTCATAAAAACAATGTCCCATGACCTCTTAGTGCAAATGGCCTATTACAAAAATATGATGAACTTTCTTAAAAGATTTACGTTTCAGAGGCAAATAAGCATAAGTTATATAATCTGTTACCCACCAAAACTTGTATCATCTTCAGCGTTATTTAGCAGCGCTAAGCCTTGCTCTGGTGAACAGTTTGTAAGAAATAAAGCTGAATCACTGATCACTAAGATATTACACAATTTATAGGGAACTTAATGACAATTTAGCCTTTGTATTTATCGAAAAGTGCAAATAATAAAGAAACATTCATTTTATGCTTAATTTTCAAAGTTTGTATTTGCTTCTCAAAAAAGATTAACCGTTGAACCAGATTAACGGAATATTACTTTCGCAAGAAATAATTAACAATTATTCCTCGAGCCCGAATGGGCTCTGAGTCAATAGCCCATGCGGCCGAATAAAATGAACTAGTTGGTCAAAAATATCGACTATAAAAAAGTTTTAGCTAGGTAAAAGCTAGACTTTAATCCTTTTTTGTCGCCAAAATTCCCGCGCTTTTCGCTACTAGTGGGCTATAACATATAGCCTAGTAGTAGCTCAACCAATCAGAACGCAGCATTGATAATAGACCAGGCCACTAGTTTGATTTTACTAAAAGATAATGGGCTCCTCTTTGCATGAGTTGATCACGTTGTCAACTTTCGGTAAACACGAAAACAGTACACTTTTAAAAAATACTTGTTAGCACAAGCGAACTGTTTTCGAAAGTTTGACCACAGTTATGCAAAGAGCCTAAGTATTTGATTGTTCCTTATAATGCCAGAGGTAACCACTCCAGTTAAATTTTCTATTACCGTAAGTTAATAGAAAATAGCCTAAAAGCTAAAGATTCGGCATTTTAATTAACATTTATTTATTGGCTTTCCCTTTCTTATTTCGCCAAACCAACAAAAAGCTGAATAAATGAAGCTCACGGGTAATTATGTGCACTTGCTTGCCATTCAAACAAATACATGCCTGATTATCAACGACTAAAAAGTTATTACAAGTGCTGGTTAAAAAGTTGTTTAAATATAAAAGAAATTGCAATAACATTTGTCAACCACCGTAATTATGACTTGTTAATAGACGATATTCCTATTCCCCGACGGCCCTGGGACGAGAGACTTCACAGCATGATGGCGAGGCAAAAACGCAAACAAACATTGGTTAGTCTGGTTAGTCGCGGCTCAATCGCTGCAAAACGATAGAAATCAGCAAAAAACTGCAAGATTTAAGAGCTGAAACCTTACGGGTAAGCTAAAGGGATATCTGTTTCAAAAAACAAAACTGTGGGAAGAGCTGGTCGTACTAACAGCAAAAGTTAAAAAGCCACCGAAGCCAAAAGAAGAAACAAGAAGTACTTAAGAAAATGGTGTATTGTGTCAAAATGTCAATACTCGAATCCTTTTTATAAAATTTTATTCTTCTTATTATTTTTTTTCTCTTGTGTGTATCTGTAGTGTGGAGTTTAAACTGCTCAGTATTATCGTCTGTACCAAACTCTGTGTTCAACTACGTGCACGTTTTTGTACTCTCGCACAGTTGTTATCGAAGATAATGTAACTTAAATTTAAAAATAAACTTTACCTAGTCATCTTTGTTTAAACCGGTTTAATTTTCTTAAAATGCACATGGACTGTGTGCAGAACGCTAAGTCCCGTCCTCATAAGTAATTATCCACTGAATGAGTCGTTTGCTTTACTTCAAATACACATTCAAGATTTTGCATCCGCTCTGTTAGAAAATTTCAACTGCAAAGTAGGTGTGATAACATCACCGTTAACTTTATCGCAGGCTTTCGATAATTACGTCCATTCCAATAAAATATATTCTTCAAAAAGTTTGAAGGACATGGAAAATTACAATTAAAATGGTTTCGTGGAGTTTGAGAACATCTCTGTTTATATTAAATTATAAACTCGCTCACAAAGCACTCTTCTCATCAATATAATTATGGTTAGGATCGCTGTTTTTCTTAGTAATAAGGGAAAGTTCATTTAATATGACAGGGGGGGGGGGGAATGAAGATATTGAGGGGGGGCTCCGAAATTTTTAGACACCCGAAGGGGGGGCTCTGAAAAAATTGTTGCGCTAGGAGGGGGGCTCCGAAAATTTGTATACTTCAAAACCAACACATGACATCATCATACAGATCGGATGGTTTTCAACTCAACAATTTAATGACTTGTGCAACTCAGCTATATCACGTGGTTTACAGATATAACAAATGTAGTCTCAGTAATTATTACACTCTTGTTCATCCTAAAAATGCTTTAGAAAATTGTATCACAACTGTATCTCAAGTTTGTCATAGTATAAACCATAGAAGACAATACCGGTAAATATATTTAATACAGTCTAGCGATCTTTTTTCAGGGGAGCAAAGGAATTGAAGGAGGAGTGTGGGGGGTTGGGGGGCTCTGAAATTTTTTCGACTACCAAGGAGGGGCTCCTAATAAACTGAACCGCTAGAGAGGGGGCTGCTAAAATTTCAAGCTTCGAGTTTCAATATCTTCATCCCCCCATGTCATATTAAATGAACTTTCCCTAATGAGCAGATCCTACTTTTGTTGTTTGAAATAATGATCTCTCAAGTATGTAAGCCCTTCGGAACTTTACGATGTTAAAAATTTTCCTTAAATTCGGCAAACTCAGCCGCAGTTTTTTCATATTTGTTTCACGGTCCTCTTGGCGAGAAGGTTCCCACATGAGCCCCGCATTCATGATCAAGGCTCACTCGTCCCAGGACTGTCTTAGAATACGAATTCTGTCTATTGAATTTCGATAATAAAGGGGAATTTATCATGAGAAATTTTTTATAAGAGACCCCACGGCATAATCAACATTCACCATATATCACGAGGTTGGACAATGTGTTCCAGATTTTAGGAATTTTCCTCTTGTATAAGCTCCCTTAAATGCAAAAAGGACTTTTAGATTACAAGTGGATATAAAAGTAAAACGTTGAGCCAATTTTCCTTTTGGGGTTCAAATCGAAATCAGCAACAAAAACAGACAACAACCACGACAACAAAAATACGTCCATGCATATTATATATACCAAAGTTAATGTTCATATAGTCCGTACTCGCTAAGCATACTGAATCAGTGACAGGGTCAGGGCAGGAACGATTTTCACTAAGATGTATCGTCATAGTTCAATGCGTCTTTCTTGATAACTAAACCAACTTAAAAAAAAAAAAGGTTTGACTAATTTGCACTAGCTACGTTGATCTTAGCAAAAAACAAATAGACGTTTAGTTAACATTAATTTTCCAAAGTTTATAAGTATTGTAAAGTATGGGGATTGATTTGACTCTAGTTGGGAAGATTGAAGTATGGAATATATCTGTTCATTTGTAGGATAAGGATTAAAGACGAGAAACGAAAGTGAACATTGCTCAACATAATTAACGGCTGAATATGCAAAAACTGTTTGTTTTAACAGATTAAACAATAATTTTGGTAAATGAGTTATAGAATGACGTACGAGGCAGTCGGTTAGATAATAGTCTATTGAAAAATCTTTAGACATTTTGTTGGTGTGCCTATTTTCTAAGTCTACATTGAAAGGTTCCTGGCCATTTTTAGGGAGGCGAGGGACCAAGCTAGGTGAGGTAACCCGCCTAAAAGGGGTCGTAAATTCGCGCCAACTGCCTTTGGGGAGGCTGTCAGTCATTAAAAGTCACAACAGAAAGGCAGAGCTATGAAAGAGCAGCACATGTACTTTTCCCTCCATCTTCTTTTCAATAATTTTGAGAAAGTGCACACCGGGTTGGCGGGGTTGTAATTAAGATTGCATGTAAACACTGTTTGTCATTTTGGCCCAACCTTAAATAACTTACCTCACCTATCTGGGATCCCCCACCTCCGTGTAAACAAACCTAAGATGAGATTAATGTGACAAGACTCACATGCGTCACAACCGATGCGCCAAATTTTTCCTCGACGAAGCAATTAGAAGTAATGCTTTTCTCGGCGTCGGGCACTGTTGAGTCAACAACAAAAACAACAGAGCTCTTTTGACCCACGATACAAAGCCATGTAATAATCTTAATTCTAAACATAAATTGTCGAGGCAATTCATGCAAGATTTGTTATTTTATATATCTTTCTGGATTTGCTGAAAACGTGGCAAAAGAAATTTCAAGTGCATTTTAACAATTTGACAACTAAGTCGTATGGAAACTTTGCCAATCGTGAGACTTGTTCCTTCATAGGCTTACAATGATGCCTTCCGGGAAACTTTGCTCAAGGCAGCCGAAAAAACTCTACAAGAGCCAAGTTCAGTCGAATACGCGCGCTGGTTTCAAACTGACATACAGAGAGAATTATGGGAAGTTATAAAAAGCACATTTGGGGGGGGATTTGATTAATAGCCAGTTGGAAACTCTTGATAGTCTATCTACTGCAGTGTATTCAGTAAATATTAATTTAAAAAAATAAGACGAAGAAAGATAAACAAACAAACAAAATCCTCAACAAGATTCAGTAGACTCGGAAAAAGTATATGACAAAAATTTCATTAGCCATGTTTTGCTAGCAAATTTAGTCAGACATTTATACCGAGAAATGCTCTTTAAAAAACTGTTTCGTTGATTTTCATTATGAGTTCTCGCCAACTAATCAATCAGGGCCTGTTTACCAGAAGGGAGGGTAAACCTGGTGCTAGGGTAGGGTTACCATATGATACCACACCAAACCTACATGCTGTGGTAAGAGTCGTCATCGGTAAATTTCCTCAAAACGTGTTCTTCGGTTGAGTGTTTTTTGACTCCTCTAGCCCTGACAATGGATACTTTCAATGGAAAAATATCTCCGCTACCTTGAACTATGCCTTTCCATCTTTTTGGGGGCGTTTCTGTCACTTATTTTAGCCTCAGCGAGAACTGGTTTGGACTCGATACCGTTCGTCATCCATTCTAGGACTGTCGGTCTCAACCGTGGTAAAAAAATGTGTTTCCGGATTTTTTTTTAGCCCGTATGGGGAGTTTTCTTTCTCTTTTGCTTGAAAGAGGGATTCTTTAAATACCACTATATAAAAGGCACTAATACTTATGATTGGGAGATTGAAACATATTTCGGAAAGAAACATTTTGTATGAAAGTTGGGAATTTGGCGCCAATTCTAGCAGCGGACGCGCGTGTTTTACTGCCATAAAGTTAAAAAGGCAAAAATATAATTGAGGTTCCTTTGCTGGTTTTATTTTTGCATAGTAAAGCGTCAGCCCAAAACAGTTTTGTCCAGTATACTTTGTTTTTGAACTTAGCTTATTTAAGCTAATTAATTTATTCATTTCAGAGAAAGTGTAGATTCAGAGCAAAAAATTAAAATTACTGGTAATTTCTGTTTTACCTCATATCTTGTACTCGTAGCTTTAAGCCCTAGTTCGCGGGAGGCGACGCCGTTTTCTTTCATTTCATTTCAAGATCATGTGCAACAGCAAATGATTTGACCGTGTTTTTATTACCGATTACATAAAAGGGCATCCCTCTCGAGTTGCAAGAACCGGAGTTAGAGTTATAGGAGTAATTTTTGATCACAGGAAACGAAATTCAGTTCGCTTTAACTTGGAATTCGAATTATCGGAGTTCGAATTACCGGGGCTCTTCTGAGAGTGTGTAATCTGTTAATTGAATATTGTCCTATAGGAAACTAGGACGGGCCTCGGAAGCTCTACCATAAGGAAAGCCCAGGTCAAACTGGTCAAGTCCCGTTTCCCTAGGTATAATAGTGAGTTTACGCAGTAGGACGCCAGGAAGAAGAGGACGGCAAAACGTTTGTGTGTGACAGGGCTAATACTTGGGTGTTTTGTCGTGATCTTCACTTAACATTAAGGCTTTCTCGTCTTTTACAAAAAGATCTGTTTAAAGGAAAGTGAAGTCTGGGGAAAAGTTGTTTCAAACAAAATTACTGTAGCGCTTATCACACAAGGTTTGCCGTCTTCTTTCTTCTCCCGTCCTGTTGCGAAAGCTTAGCCAGCTTTTTAAAACGTTTCACAGCCTGGCTGCTTGGAATCCGTTGTTTCCAAATTTCATAGTTCATGGCTAAGGCTGTGTTTCTTGGGGCGAATCAAAAAAACGGAGTTGTGATCTCACATCTCACATCCTATGCATGGATTCTTCACTACCGAAAAAAACCCGGAAGATCCGAAAAAGGATCACTTACAACGACAACGGCATGTCCTCGTACTCCTCGCAATGACAAGAAGGAAAAGCAACATAAACTACGTATAAATATGCGAAATGTATATATTTGGATTTGAAACACATGATCTGAATTCACCTTAGGATTTAAGACTAAAGCCGATGATTTTTTTCAATTACTTGGAAAATAACCGTCGAAAGCAGGACATACGTACAAAAACAGGACAGGTAAGGGTTTAAAAAGAGTCTACAAATGTGAATAGATGACAAACATGAAATTAATGACTGTGAAAGTTTAGGCGCACCAATAGACATAAGTTCAGTTAGAATAGGTGCGGGACACTTTTACTGTGGTAAATTACCATTTTACCGCGAGAAATTGTGTTTAGTGTTTGTGACTGGACTTTCCCGTGGAAAATTTCCCGTGTTAATTATCCACGAATACTTAAAATAAAGAACATCAAAAAGAAAGCGTCCATCACATTTAACATAGTAATTAGCAAGGGTTTTTTTGTTGCCCACGGTAAGACAGCCAATCACGAATCTCCAGTTGACAAAGAATTTTGTTCATCATCAAGGGCCTAATAAGCGCCTTTCTTTCCAACAACACCAGAAGAATAACTCGTTGCGATCCGTTTTGATGGCCGGATTTCGCACTATTCGGTAATTTACTATTTCAAAATTGTCTTCAGAGAAACATTTAAAATCGTCTGCTTACACACCCAGATAACTTGAGCAAACGTTTGTATTTTTTTGAATTTTTCTTTTTTTTTTTTGCAAGGCATTTGCTCGCTTGTTCATCACTTGATTCTGAAATGTCAGAAATTCAACCTGGACCATCTGGGTTATGCTGTTATTATGATTATGATTACTATTATTACTATTATTATTATTATTATTATTATTATTATTATTATTATTATTAATTTTTATCCTGGATAGCAACAGTTTCAGTTGAAACCGAAAATCCAGTTGGCTCTGAATTACTTCAAGTGTTTCCCAGGAAAATAATTGTGTGAAAACGGAAATCAACAGTGGTAAATAGATTTACTTGTAACCGCAAGTGACCTTGGTAAAGTTTACCCGAGTAAAAATTTACGGCGGCAAATTAACCACGGGAAAGACCTTTTACCATGGTGTGTGTAACGGCACCTATATTGTTATGCATTTACGGCATCTGTTATGTACCATTTTTGATCGGAAAACCGCTTGCAACTTTTTTGGATTTGCCCAAAAAAGCGAAAAATCCAGTTTTGGATTAGGAAATCCTGAATTTGATTTTCCCCAAAAAAACGCACAGTAAGTATAGAAGATTCCGAGAAGAAAGTTTTGCTGCTCACAGTCGGTTTTATGCTTGATTTCCTCGTTTATTTGACTGTAACATTACAGTGGGTGCTGCTACCCCGCTTACATCTAAAAACAGTTTAGTCACCAAAAAAGTTCGCGGTTTTGGTGTTCTCCTTTCGCTATTTTTGATAACAGAATCTAATGCTTCTATTACTGATTGGTCTCAATGCCTGTTCCGTTCCGGTCCATGTTGTATTCTTCATCCTTTGCTGCAGTAAAAAGTAAAAATCATAAAGTGAGATAGGAAGAAGGTAAAATCAATAATATCGAAATGATAAGTTATAATAATAACCTTTATTTATCCGTCTTTCAAAAATATATACAATGGATTCACACAAGAGCCTATTCACAATACTATGAAATCAAGTGATTATTCTGATAAAAAAGTAAGAAAATTAAGTAAGTAAGTGAGTAAAAATAACAGATCATTAAAGGAGTCTTGCAGCCCTTGCTATAAATGAATTTGCATGTCTTTGCGTCCCTGACTTTAGTACTGCTACTGAAACTGGTTTGGATCTTAAGTTATAGCCGTGGCTTTGATTTGACTGGTTAATATCATTCACAGTTCTTTCTAATTCGCTAGAATCTTTAATTTCTAATTCTAAGCTCGCTAGGATCTTCGTTTGGAACAGTACTTTTTGTAGATGTCACTTTTAATTCGCGCCACGTATGGCAATCTGAATTCCGGAATATCCAGGAAACTTTTGTTCGTGGAATCTGGAATCCAGTTCAAGGAATCGGAAATCCCGCTGATGATTGGCATCCGGAATCCAAGTTTCACTCACAAGATCCAGAATCCAGTAACTACAATACGTAATCCTCAGCGTGAAATGCAGAAACCGAAACCGTCTTTTATTACCTTAAATGGGTACATTCAATGAAATTCTGTAAGCAGAATCAAAACTCTCGTGAACGCGAAAGGAGAAAATAAATTAATGCCTTGAAATTATAAAAACAAAACCAGTTTAGAAAGAATGGAGTAAAATGAGAAAAGAGAAAAGAAACAGTCCTCTGTTTGCTTTGGAAGAAAAAAAAAATAAGATTCCAATTTAACCAAGGGTACTGACTGATAACTAATAGCAGTTGTCATTACCTAATGGATCTATTGTTTGTTTCTCGCTATTTTGCCGAAGGACTTGCTGACGATATCCATTGTATTCTTCATGATTAGCTGGCGTTTCTTCATCTGTTTCTTGGCTTCTCGTTTCTCTTGCAATTTTTTCAGAGAACGCTTTTTAATTAGGCCTAAAAGTGATGAAATAAGATGAGCTATTATCAGTTTTTGTTGTTGACTGTTGACAGACTTCATCAGTTCATTGCACTTTGAACTAAGTGGAGTGCAGTTTGGTCTGAACGTAGTTAGTTGAGGGGACTGGTTAGGAAAGCCGGCAAACATCAAAGTTGGAAACAACGGTGCTGCAGTTTATGTTGAAACTCCCTGACCGTGCACAATCCTTTGTTTTTCGTTCGCAAATTGTGACTGAATAGATTAATGCGATGTTTCTATAGATCGTTTTCACTGTCACGCAACAAAAAAGTAAATTGGAAACCGTCCAGGGGAAGAAGCCAAGAAAATGAAGTGGTTTAAAAGACTAATATATAAACAATCATAATATAAATAATATAATATATGATAATATATAAACAACTTTTCCCAGTCTTTGTGACCCACAGTTTCTGAGTTATTTGCCGAAACGTTTCACGCACCTTTGTAGAGCTTTGTATGGAGACGCCATATTGGTGTACCGTTTTGGTGTACCAATATGGCCGCCGGAAATCAACAAAAACATCTGGAGTTCACTTTTTCTATAAAAAAACTCTTTCTTTTCACTCGAGAACTAACTTACGTGCGCATAAACATATCTTCTAATAGTTGAAATGATTATGCTGCTGAAAATCAGGAGGGGAGACTTTTTTTCGTGACGAGACAGCATTCCTATTTTGGTGTCACGTACTGTGAAAACTCGGAAGTTCAGATTGCTGTATTTTCGAAATGAAACATACTACAGGAATGGAAACTTGTAGAAAGATTTACTTCTTGTTTATCTTCAAGTTAGTGTAAATAAGAATCCTTACTATTATGACTTTACAATTTGATGACGTCACTGTGAAAAACATCAGTTGGTCAGTGACTTCAAAATGATAGGGATGCTATTGAACGTTGTACACAGCGAGGTCCAAAAAAGCTGACAAAAACATATAACAAAAAATCTAACGGGTTTCATAACCATTCCACTTAAATAACTATGTTACATTTGAAATCATATCAAAATTATGATCGACCAAATCGAATTCGAGACTAAGTCCGAAACAAACAGTTTGAAAACGCATAATTTAATCGCCCAAAATATCGGTTAAAAAAGGCGAAACTAAAAAAAATAAAGTCATTATTATTACCATAACTATATTATTATCCGTGATCAGAAAGGCGAAACTTAAAATTACTTTCATTATCATTATTTTTATCCGTGTTAATTATCATCAGCATTATTACATCATTTTTTTGTCACGTTATATATCATGCTTTGTTTTGTTGTTGTTGTTTTTTGCGCTCAATTTGAAAATAATTTTCCCCTATTACTTACTTTTTTTGTTTTCCATTTTGCTCAACAATTCATTGGCCTTCTTTTTCAACTGATCAACCATCTTTGTCTTCATAACGTCTCGCTTTTGCCGTCCAAAACTTTTCATTGCCGCATCGACGTTATAGATAGCTTTCCTGACCAGATCTGTCAAGGCAAAAGTAAACACACATTTAAGGGTATGGCTTATGGACAGGTATGGTAAAATCAGTGTCTGGAGCCGATATTCGGCCCAAATTTTATTTTATAATCACCCTCAAATTCCTGGGTTTATGCAATTATGCAGTGCCGTAGGAAGGTTAGATTTATTGGGGGGGGAATCACGAGCGCCGAAGCCGCAAGCTGCTAGGGGGGTTCCCCCTAAAGTATTTGAAATACAGGGTCTCTGATATAGCATTTTCAGCCTTCCGAGAGCATTCATTTCCAGCACTTTTTAAGTGACTAAGATCATTGAAGCCATAAATAGATAATTTTCACGCTTTATCGAACCGAAGAGCAGCGTGAAGAACCTGGCCGCTGCACGTGGCTGTCAAAATTATTGAGAGGGCTCAGGCCCCCTCCGGTCCCTCTCCGTGCTTAACTGCAGCAACTACAGCAACTACACCCAACTACAGCAACTACACCAACTACAGTATGTAACTTCACCAACTACAGCTACTACACCAACTACACCAACAACAGTAACTACACCAACTACACCAACTACATCAACTAAGGTAACTACACCAACCAAACGAAGTACACCAACTACAGTAACTACAACAACTTTACAAACTATATTGCAACTACGCCAACTACAGTTACTACACTAACTACAGCAACTGCAGCAACTGTAGTGGGCTAAGTGGGCATGAAATGTCTCTATATTCATGGTGGTTATCATGAATCCATTACCCACAAATTGTACCTTTATAAGCAGTTACAAGGAAAACATAACAGTGCCGTACTGTAGTTGCTGTAGTTAGTGTAGTTGTTGTAGTTGGTCTAGTTGGTGTAGTTACTGTAGCTAACGTAGTTAATGTAGTTGTTGTAGTTGCTGAAGTTGCTGTAGCTACTGTAGCTAATGTAGTTAGTGTAGTTGTTGTAGTTGCTGTAGTTGCTGTAGTTATTGTAGTTTGGGTATTTGGTGTAGGGAAAAAAATGCAAGAACAAATTTGATTATCTCAGTAACGAAATGCCTTACATCAAACAACTAAGACTGCCTTTGAACGTGCAAACGGATTCAGTTCGTTAAGTCTTTGTCTCATACAATTGTGGTGACAATTTTTTACAAATCTTTGTTTATGGCGACTTAGTTTATGCTCAAACTTGGGAGGTATTGACCCTGAAAAACTGTATCAAGCCACCTTAAAGTACTCTAATTTGCATGATTGAAACAGCAAGACAAAGATGAAAATTTGATCAGGGTTGCAATGACATCAGAGTTGTCTTAGCAACGAAATGACGCCATCACCTATTTTACTTGCAGCAGTTTTTCTCGACACTGGGAGCTGCTCTTCCAAAATCGTTCGCCGGAGCTTTTTCCTCCAAGAGCCGCTTCGATGTTCGTGAAGTTTAAGCGGAATCTGTGAGAGCGTCATCGAGATATTTTGGGATGAAGTTTTTTTATGGTTAATAGAAAAACGGCAAAAATGGACAATTTTGGTGTTCGGCTGTTATCTGTAGAAAACGACGGTCTTTTGACATGCAATTTCACGTCATAGTAGTTTCAATCTTTTTACAAACTAGTGTGAAAGATCATGGAGATAAATGTAACCGATTGCGAGAAAGAAGGATTTGATTAGTATGTATCGAGGCGCTCTTGTTAGTGGTACATTCCTTTTGAACTTGCATTTTTGATGCTTTATTCCATTCCTTGATAATGGCGTCATAATTTCGCCTAAACGTCGGAACATTATTTCGTTATTTTTTACATGTTTATGTTTCTCTAAATCAGTATTGAATATGTTTATTTTTCTTTTGTTCAACTGTAGCTACATTACCTTTGTGTTCCCGAACACTGATATTACCGGAGAGATCATTATCCACAATATATTCCATCTACAAACAAAGAACACGAGTTGAAAAAAATGACTTTTGAAAATTAGTCTTTTTTTGCTTCCTTTGTTTCCAACTGTTTTGTTTGTTATACATTTACACATAAGTTCTCGGTGAAGTCAAATGAACATCACCCACGAAATATACACACTTAAAAAAAATAACTAAAAAACAAAATAAATAATAAGATTCAATTACCAAATATGGACATGGAGGTCTATATAAAAGAGTTAATCTGCTCGTCAATCTTGGGCTTAAATTACAAGAATTCCAAAAAAAAGAAGCTTTCGACTAAGGAGTTATGGAAATTCTTCAAAAGTTTCATGTTCCTTGAGAAAAAAAAAAAAAAAAAAAAAAAAAAGAAAAAAGGAAAGAAAGAAAGTATTCTTTGTAAAATTTCTCTGGCGCTTAATGTTTTGTTGACCAGTCGGATGTTTGGCGCAGATAAGAAGGATTGTCTTTGCCAGCAACTCCCCAATCATCTATAGAAGCTCCACGGTTTACTTCGCTACCTTCGTTACAGTCAGTCACAATGGAAGAAAAGGCTGAGAAAATCCACTGACATCACACTCAGGTAATTATCATCTTTAATTAGACCCTTTACTAGTACGTAGCCTCTGATACATTTCTGATGGGAAAAGGGCAGTTTTTGCTCGCCAGAACGTTTTTTTTGGCGGGAGACAGTTCAGAATTGTTAATATGTAACTTCAAGTTAGGACCAAAATACAAATTAATTATCTTCGTACCTTATAGTGTCTCAATTGATCGACCCTGTTTTCTTTATCATGCTACTAATCAAACCGAGTAGGATGGTATTAGCTATTGGAACAAGAACGGGGTGTCTTCGTTTTCTGTACACGTTCAACTGTGACAGTGTACATTCTTTTTATATAAGCGATGTGCGCAGTAAGCATGTCCACCTTTACGATGTTAGAGCTTCGGGCGAAGTATTACCAAGTATACGATCTTTAGTTCAATATAATTTATCTTAGACCAAACTATCGGACTTTGCTTGGTGAGCCTGTTTATCACTAGCAAACAGGAGCTGGTAATGGGGGGAAATGAAACCAACATTAACTACAATGTTCAACCGCCATATGGATTCTAATCAGGGAACTGATCCGAGCGACGTTTGCGGGGAGAGGGATCGAGTGCTGTCGCCAATAAACCATTGCACCATCCCTGCTGCCCCAAATCAGTACAATAAGTAAATTTCAGTTAAGGCTATTACGTAACACTTGTTGTTTGTATTATTCATTTACCTGGTCGAGTAAGGCTCGGAAAACATTAATGTAGTATCTGAGGCGGCTGAAATAAAATATTAGACAGGTTATTGAAAGTAATGACAGCAAGAGTTGTGTACTATAAACAAAAAAAAACGGAAACTAAAATCGAAGGCAGATCTGTAATTGAATACTTTAGTTTACTTAAATCAAACTACGATTTAAGTAATATATTAAGTAATATATTCCGCGCCGACCAAAATGGTGGGAGCGGAAAGATCGAAATTGTCTCTGTCAGTTAAAGGCCTCCTTTAGCGCCAAAAAATACATCAGGAGAGAAAAGCATTTTTCTATGTAAATAAACTCCTTTTGGGTACTTTCAGTTTGTCAAAATTAATTTAATAGTGGGGTTTCTCTTTAAGGAATCCAGTGTGAATAAAGTTCTAATAGTAAAGGCAAATGGATGACTTGTGTAGAAACACCACCTTCCCCTCCTCCCACCCTTACTTAGTCTAGCTTCATTCTCCGAATCTTCTCTCTTTCTCCCACAAGACACAATAAAAAGCCCTGTTTGGGCTGGTCACGTTACTACCCGAACCTTTAAGTGACAAGTGATTAACTCGGGGTAGGAGGAGTAAAGTTTCATATTGCCGCTGTTGTGGGTGAGAATGACGAATATCGCACTGGAGGGAATTGAAGTATAATCGGTTATCAAATTTAATTTACAGTTAAGGTTTTGCAGACAGTACCCTCAACCAATTGCAATGCAAGTTCTTCTTGACTCAATGGTAAGTGTATTCATGACATATCTTTTGAATTGTAACGAAACAGTGCTACGGCTTACCTCTGGGGGCTTGGTCCTGGTGTTCCAAAAGTTGGTCTCGCTGTCGCCATTGGTATGCCCGTTGGGTAAACAGTGGCTTAATTTGATAAATACAGGCAAATATGTTCATACACAGCAATGGCGCTCTTTTATTGTTTAAAGCAGCGGTATTACACGAATTCAAAATATCTGAAGTTGTTTAAGTTAACGGAATCTCATATCTGCAGTCAGAGGAAGTCTTTCAACTCGGGTTAAACTCACTAGTTAATGTGAGGCAGTGGCATTTTACCTTTTGTTATTTATGTTATTATTATATTTTTTCATTCTTACTGGTGTGCCTTTAGCTCAATGTTGCTGTTGAACTGATAATTAAACATTCAAATAAAAACTAAAAGTATAAAAACTAAAAAACAAAAGTATGAATGTAAGAAGCGCCTTGGGTAATGCTAAAGAATCTGTGTTGTCTTGATGCGTTGGTGAACATCGAACGGTGAAACTTGCAAAATCCAGAACAAGACGTTCCTTCACCAAATTGACCAATCGGCAGCTAAAGAAAAACAGTTTATTTATTTGCCTATCTGTGTATTTATCTACCTATCTATTTGATTATAAGCTAAATATCTATTTACTTTTATTTATTCATCCATTCATAAGTTTTTGTCCTTACTCATTTATTAAAATGCAACTTCTGAAAACCAATGATATTAATTAACCATTAATACTTGACCCTATGTTATACAAAACAATATTACAAAACGTAGTAAAGCTTTATGGATACTCTCTAATTGTATGGTGGATTGTAATGTATTGTGTCTTGCCGTCTACTTACGATAAGGCGGATAAGAAGTTGTAAATGAAGGTGGAGCTGATGTGGAGTTACCTGTGGCGGAAACATGATAATGCAAACTGACAGTTAAACAAATATCAACATTGGGATCACATTGGAACTTAACCCTTTAAACCCTAAGATCAAAATTTGAATTCTCATTTGTTACCCTTAGTCATTTCCTACAGAAGTGGGGGAGAAGTTGATAAAGTATCAAACAAATTCATCTTGTGTGATCATGTCTGTAATTCTCGTGACCACTCTGTTTCACAAAGCATTGGTATCACAAGGAGAAATTTGATGGTGATCACTCTTAGGGCTTAAAGGGTTAAGTTAACCTGCACTCAAACCCACAGGTCAGATTAGACAGCCCCGATGTACCAGTTCAAAAGGTTTCCTTCCCTCTGTTATGGACAATATAGCATAATGTAAGCTAGTCTATTCTATGTTTTTCTCAAAAGGACTTTGTAAAACAAATCATGTGCAAGGCATGAGGAAAGTATATCGTTATTTGATACACGTATCGCGAGAATTTTATTTCGTAAAGCTTGTTTGTAGAAATCTATACGCTTTATTTTCACATGTGAGAAAAGCTTATACAGCCAATCAGACAATGGTGTACAGCTGTTTTCACATGCGGAAGTATAACCAATCAACGACCGCGTAAATGATTTTGAGCCAATCAGAGTCGTTCATCGTTTGCATTCAAATGGTTTTCTAGATTTGGCGGCTTTTTATGGGCGCTTCCAAATTTTTCTTCAGAAAGTGGTGGGAACGAAGGAAAAACAATAACAGGTTTGTGTCGGGTGGTTGCTCCTTAGAAGAGTTTGTGTAGCATCAAGAAAACAAGAACGCATCAAGCAAAACACAGAAAGATCGTTATTGAAAAGGTTTTTAGTTTCAAGGAACGGGCGGAGAGAGTTGGAAAATATTGATGCAAGAGATCTCGACGTGTTAATCGCCATTTTTTTCTACTTCAAGTTCGAAAGAACGACGGAGAACAATAATACAGCACACATGACTTAGGTCTGTCTTTTGTAACGTACTTACTAGATTAAATTTTCGCAAGTAAATTTTTTATTCAGCACGATGAGGACTTAAGATGTGCTGCAAGATTTGCCATTACTATTAAATTTGCATTTGGTTCTACTCTTTGTGATTTGCTCTTAGTAATATGTGTTATATTAAGAAAACTATTTCAGAGAAAATTCTCGTGGTATGTGTAATACCCAGCTGATGTCATAGAAGGTGCTTTGTATGGGGTTATAGTTGGTTTTCACAGTGACGTCATCAAAATAGCGAGGTTTTACGAATTCTTATTTACCCTAGGTTAAAGATAAACCAAAACTAAATCTTTGTAGAAGTGTCCATTCCCGTAGCACGTTTCGTCTCCAAAATACAGCAATTTGAACTTCCGAGTTTTCACAGTGCGTGACACCAAAATAGAAATGCTGTCTCTCCTTTTGGTTTTTAGTAGTATAACCATTTCAAGTATTAGAAGATATGTTTATCAGCACGTATCCTAGTTGTCGAGTGAAAAGAAAGAGCTTTTATAAAAAAAGTGAATTCCACCAATAAAATAAACCAATATTTCACAACCATTGTGTCGTCTCTTTTATGCCCCATTCTCACCAACTAAACATGTTTAATTAAACTAGGTTTTAAAAAATGAAAAACAGACGCGGAAAGCTGGAACACAGGGTTTCAAACAGGATTTAAGTAATGATCCAGGTAAGAAGGAAAGCAATTTCTATTGTTGTGGCGCAATACGCTTTCCTCACATAGAAATGTTTTCATTTTTACGCAGAGAGTGCATAAATCTACAAAAAGGCTGTTTACGGAAGAAAATGTATTTAAACTCCACTTTTAAAGGGTGTATTTTTGTGTTAAAACATTTCGACCAATCACAAGAGTTGCAAACAATGGCCAAGAAATGTTCACAATTTTACATGATCCGCACATACGATTTCTGTGTTACTTAGACTCAGACGAGATTTTGTTATAAGGAAGTTGAATAGAAAAAAAAGGATTGATGTACATGCAGCTTTGCGAAGATTTCGTAAAATTTGATGTTTAAACCAATCAGAACCTTAGTAGAGACAATAGTAAAGTTAGCACCTTTTTGCATTCCGACGTGTTCACTGCGTTTTGGTCCTTTCCTTCTTATCTGGACCATTACTTAAATGAAATTCATCATGTTTTGTAATTTACACTAAATATGCACTCAACTTAAGTCAGTAAGCAGCTTTTATAAAAAAAAAATAAATAAAAATAAAACGTGTTTAGCTAAACAGCTTTAAGCTCTAAGTGTTTAAGCTGTGGTGTGAAAGGGGATTTTGACGGGCGTACGATAGACCGTGTAACAATCAAACGAAGGAAACCAGTCATGCTCAATGTGCTACAACTTACACCACCGGGACGTTCATAACTTGATACACAATCGACGCGTCTAAAGCTACTGGTTCTGACGGAATTCCCCCAATAGCATTGAAGATCGCTGCACCCCACATCAGCCAGGTCGTCACTCATTTTTATCAATGAGTCTGTCAATCAAGGAATATATCCCACCTCTTGGAAAACCGCGAAAGTAACTCAAGGGTATAAGGGTGACAAGAGATCAGAGAGCGACAACTATAAACCTATGTCAGTCCTGTCCTGCATCTCGAAAACCCAAGAGCTACAAGCTTATCACTCCAAAGAAGCAGATCTAATTCAACAGCACCAGTTTGCCTTCGTCAAAGAATCTTCTTCTAGCTACAACTGCATTGATCAGAACAGTCGATTCATGGAAATTGGCTATGGACAAACGGGAAAGGGTTATATGTGCTTTCTTTTTCTTGCATTCGACGTGACTGCTCACGCTACTCTTCTCTTCTGGGTCAGTACTTTGATCGACCCTTTTTAACGTTTAAATAAATAACCAAAGTGGAATAACCAAAGTCCGTTAATACTGTTACGCTGCTTTATATGCTGAAGATGCTGAAGTTCACACAAGTTCAAAGGGGAAGGATACATCTTAATTAATTCATTGCCATGATCTCTGAAAGCCCACGCTTATACTGGACGAAAAAATATCAATACCTTTTTCAGCATTTAAAGGCTTGAACGTTGTGGTTGAATAATCTGAAGGTTCATGTAATATGTGACTTTTCCCGCCAAGTTGCAAAATGTTTCTGATCTTCCTTCGGAGCTTTTTATACTTCAGAGACCGGTATAGGTTGTTTTGGGCGTGGCGAAATGTGAGATAGTCTAACGTATACCAAAAGGAGGCATATTTTGTCTCTTAGAAAATTCTCAAGAAAAAATAACATCCGTGGATTATTGATAGCTATTTTACTCTAGCAGAACAGCAACCTCCAAAAATAAATGTCCTGTCATAGTGTCTTGAGTTAGCAACACTATGTACTCCATACCAGTCCATAGTGTATACGCGTTTAGGCTCCAAAACCGTTAAAAATACTCTTTACTTCGGGTTAAAAGTAGGTAAACGTTAAAAAAATATACCCACTGATATATGAAAAATTTAGCAGATATCCACTAAATGCACCACTTCCGTCGGAGTGAAAAGATATCACAGCAAAGCGCCCAGTGACGTAAACATTTCGTCCAGTTTTTACTCCGCAGTACTTTGCAACGGTCTGATTGTGCTCATTAGTAATCTTTAAGTAGTCATATCTGCAAAAAAATAATCAAAACAGTCGTCGTCTTTTCGGAAAAGGCGAAAGCAGGAAAGAATGCTTGCAACGAAACATATAAACAAAGTAACTTTATCTAATTTTGTTTTTTTTTTTTTTTTTTTTTTTTTTTGTATACCATTCGGAAGAAAACATTAATTTTAAGTTTGGTGTCGATCAACTACAAATAGGAGCTAGTAATCTCGAATGGTGGTGGCTCCAAGCGCCTTTATTTACAAGCACTGAAAATTTTATTGATTTGTTTAGTTATATTTGTTGTTGTTGTTGTTGTTTGTTTTGCTTGTTTTATTGTTGTTTTCTGTTCATTTTTATTTAATTGTTGTAAAGATCTATTTCTTGATATATTTTATATTTTGACTATTATCAGTTTTAAATCCGAGGCTATATACAAGTACACGCTAGAGCGGATAGGTTATTGTGCCGTCACGAAAAGCTATATGCTGTATATAGTGAACACCTTTCCGCTATGTTGCTCTCCACTTCAGAGATCAGTGCGGCGCAGCTTTGTTCCGGTGTAGAAATCGCCCTGAAATCACCGTTCTTATTGTTATTTGAACAGAAGCCCCATCCAATGTGGTTTTCGTGCCCACGCAAAAGCCATCTGATATAATGTGAAATTAAGCGCGTAAAGCTATAGGTAGCCTCAGTGCACGCGTATTTTGGGTGGAGGAAAGCTTGTTCATGTTCGTATTGTTGTAGCCGCCATCTTTGATTTTATGACAGAGGAGGATTGGGAGAGAAGTTTCAACATGGCACTTTCACGAGCAAAAAAAATTCGCGCGCCCGAAAAAAACGCCTGCACTGCAGGCTAAAAGCCAGGGTAAAACGCGCAACGAGAACGAGCAACAAATTTTGTAACATTGCTGCAAAACGAGTTAAATAGGCCTCTTTGGAATAACCACAACTGAATATAAAAGGGAAAACGAAATGAGTTTTATTAGTAGTAGTATTAAATTGATGCCATCTTGCAAATGGCTGTTGAAAAGCGAAGTTGTGCGAGCCTGTCTTGCAACAAATCAGGTTATCATCATAAAAATATTTTCTGTTTCTTCTAATGTTGATGGCGATACTTCAAATTAAACTAGTCTTTACCTGCAGGTCCATGAATTTTCCAGCACAAAAGAGCTAAAGGAAATGTTCAGCACATAACCGAGTGGAATAAGCACCCAGTAGTTACAATCCATGTTGTTTGGGTAGTTCAGGGGATATCTAGGACTCTTGAGGACGTTGTTAACAACACCACCACACCCTATCAGACAGGAAAAGAAAAATATTGACTGTGGACGGACGAAAAAGGAAGTTTGTAAACACGCGATGATGTCATACATCATATACTACTAACGCTGTGCATGCTCCGTGAGTGATGCTATCGCATTTCCATCGTTTTAGTGAGCGAAAATGATTCGGATAGGCTATCTGTAGAGTCGTATTTTTTTTGGGGGGGGGGGGGGGGGGGGGGGGGGGGGGGTAATTTGGTATAGGAAGTACCTGGATACGTGAGGACTGGGCCCAAATAAAGTTATAATAGAGGTTCCATATTGAAAGCGAAGTGCTACCCCAAGCTTCTTTTTATCTTGATACATGAGTTTTCAAAAGGCAGAATAGTTTGGATTAAACACAGACATAGGAGGACATTAAATGCAAACAAAATGTGACATCAGCTTTAATTTCCCTTTCTTAAATTTTAATTCTAGGGTTGACACTTTTAGCTACCCACTGGTTAATCCAGTGTATATATGTATAGCAGCCTTAAACACAGTCTATGGTGCTTATTGTGACTAGGTATTACTGGGGAGGCCTAGTTATCCCTTATCCATTGCTACATCTGTATATCGCTGACATTTTCAAGGCCAATGTATACAAGGCAGCTTGACTTTCCTTAAATCTAAGTGTGGGTGAGGCAGTGCGAGTTGGGATAAATGGATGAAGGACCGTTTAGTTGCCCTAGGTACATGAAGAGAGGAAAATCATTTTTGCTTTTGTACAATTAGGGCTGGACCGAAATAAAAAATAATAATAATAAAACTTAAGGTCTCATAAAGACGATCTCACTGATTAACCTGAAAATTTCTAAAACTTACCAATAATAATAATAATAATAATAATAATAATGATAACAAAAATAATTAAGATGACTGATGATGATAAATGTAAGAAGAAGAGGATAACTGCCTCAGTTATAGGGAAACTATTATCAACGTAAGTCCTGCATTAGTTATTTTCATGCTTATTTTCATTACCTGACGGGTTCTGAGTTGTCAGCGGTGGATAATATGTAGTTGGCGGTGGGTTTGTGGCATTTCCTGTAGAATAGCAGAAAAAAAAACAAACAGTGGCAGATGCATGCACCCTACCTTTGTGTATGTTTTTTTGTTTTTTTGTTTTGTTTTTGTTTTTTATCGTTGTTGTGGCCAGTGGAATAGACCCTTTGCAGCTAGACATCCAGGTGTAAAAAAAAAAAAACACCATCTGAAGAGCAAAAGACGCTTTTCGCTTCTAGGGGGCTATAACATATAACCTAGTAGTAGCTCAACCAATCAGAACGCAGCATTGATAATAGACCACTAGCTGGATTTTACTGAAATACGATATTGGACGATGCAGACTCTGCGAATCGTAATAACTTTGTCCCATCTCAGAGCGTTACTTGATGCTCTCCGGGAAACTTTACTCAAGGTGACCAATATCTAAAACTAACTGCTAAACGGCACCGAAACCAGCTTTAGGCGCGCACTGATTTCAAATAACTGTCAGTTGTGTTAATCAAAGAATTGTGGGTAAGGAAAAAAAGAGGGGGGGGGGGGGGGTAAGATAGTAATTCTGTCAACACATTCACTTCTACACAAATTTCTCACCACAAAACAAGCAACAAGCAAAAAAAAAAAAGAAAGAAAGAAAGAAAGAAAAAACGACATAAGGAAACAACACATTAAACAAGCTATTGGATAGGGGAAGTTGAGAAAAATTACAAAATGTTTGCTAACCCGGTTTTTATAACTCCAGGTATATTTATATATACATATAGACTATAGACAAGCATGCACTATTCCAGCCCTTCATAAAAAATCATATAAATTGAACACAATTGAAGACCAATTAACATTTCCTTTGTGTATGACACCCGTTTTTTTTTTTTAGACCAGGTTTTATCAACTCTATTTTGATATAGATGTTATTGGCACTAGTTCAGACGTGTCTTACACAGTTTCTTGAGTGAAAAATGCGAAGTCAGTTTTAACTATGCATAATAATGTTATATTATATTTTATTTTAGTTTTACCTTTAAAAATTATACCTTTTAAGCAAATAACACAAACAAAATGCATGTAAATGGTTGAACTAATAATTGAAGAAACGCGTTGTAAATGCACTAACTGTAAAAAAAGAATCTCAGCAGATATCCTCTATATCCCACACTTCCGTCAGATTTAAAAGACAACACGGCATAACGTCCAGTAACGTGAACAATTTGTCCAGACTGCCCACCAGTGTATCTTCCAAAGCTCTGATTGTTTTCGTTCTTTATCATCAGGTAGTCATATCTAGAACAACATTTAAAGAAGTTACATTGTTATTGAATAGTCAATTTTCCTTAGAACTCGTATAAATCAAGGCAATCGTGATGTAAAATTCAATTTGTGTCTAAAAAAATGCTTAAGAAGCTAATTATTTGTGAAAAAAAAATATTCACAGAGAAATGAAAAATTTTGAAAATTTTACCTATCATCTGCCATTTGATCATTTTTTAAATTTTTTAAATTTTTCCTTTTTTTCCCCCTTCATAAAAGGACCTTAAAATAACAGTTATAATAAATTTGATTGAATAATGCTAAATTAAGTGTACTATAATAATCATATTTAATCACTGAAGAATGGGAATAAATCATAAGAAAAATGCAAATTTTGAAAAACGTGGTTGTTAAAATTAGGTTGCCACGGTAAGTGGAGAACGTTAATAGGGACGTTAAGCGACGACGACGACGACGGTAGTGAAAACGTTGCTAAAAAATGAATTTGCGTTCTTTCAAACTTAATCGCATCTATTTGGACCCGCTTAATATGTCAAATGCAGGCGACTTTTCCCGGAGTTGAATTCTTAAGGATTTTATTCAGGGATCAGAAAGAGGAAGGAAAATTCGTCGTCGTATGTCCAAGTCCCCCATTGCATAAAACGTCAAATTAGGAGGTTTCACGTCGTAGTCGTGCAGTGGACGTTAAAGAAATGTACTAAAAAGCGTGATGCACGTGCAGAGCTGTTTTTTTTTTATCATTAAAGCTATTTGTGTTTTTTGAAGTCGTCGTTGTGGTCATCGTCGTAGTTTCTTAAGCTCTCTAATGTTAAGGTTTCGACGACTTTACAATGTTCTCATTTTAGTTTTAGGAAAATACGCCATGACTGGCGGTCAAAGCTTAAACGGTTTTAAAGTTATTCAACTTTAAAGTTTTGAGGGCCCTTTAAAACCAGTACTCCCCCTAGTCTGAACAGCTTTAAGCTTGTTAGTTTCCTAATCGATTACCGATCTCCAGAATCGACTAAGGTATACCTACCTGGCTTGTAAGAAAACTATAATAACATTATAGCCTTACAGATTAAGATTTCCGGTGGCAAAAAGCTGGTTATTAATTTCTGTAAAACAAGTCCTTACCCAGATTCCAGGAGAAAATAACTGAAGTTGATTCTCATTGCCATTCCGTGAGGAATTTGTACCCGATAGACGCAATCCATGTTATTTGGATATCTGCTGGGATATCCTGGACTTTTGAGGGTGTTGTTTACAGCAGCTCCACACCCTGTTATTTAAAACACGGATGACAGACAACGACTTGTGAGTGGATTCTACAAATCAGTTAATATTATCTCAATAAAAACGAACACTATTGTTTCTAAAAAAGGATGCTTAGTTTTGAAAGTCAAGTAACTGCTCTCAATGTAGGGCCGCATTAGTTATTTTCATGCTTATTTTCATTACCTGACGGGTTCTGGGTTGTCAGCGGTGGATGATATGTAGTTGGCGGTGGGTTTGTGGCATTTCCTGTGGGATAGCAGAAAAGAAAATGATCAGGGGTTAATGCAATACAACAATAATAACAACAACAACAACAACAACAACAACAACAACTAACCATTTTATTTTTTCAACCTTAATAAAAAATTTACAAGAAAAACATAAATTAAAATAGATGAAGCAAAAAACTACTCAGAATGGCAAAAATTTATAGGGCTGCAACACACGATAATAAAAAGGATGAATATCATAAATTTAGGAGATAGTGTGATAAAAAAAAAGTGTGATAAAAATAAGTTAATTGATTAATTAATTAATTAATTTAATTAAGATAAAATAGAACAACATAAAAGAAAAACAAACAAAAGCGCAAACAAAATCGGTACCAGAGAATTATTAAGTTTACATTAATAAGGGTACGTTATTCCACACTGGCCAGCATCAAGAGTAAGTTGATAAAATATCTGCCTTCTCGTTTGCTTCAATAGTGTCAAAGAACTGCTTTTTAAATTTCCATCCAGATTATTCCGAACAGAAGGACCAGAGAAGTGAATATTAAATTTATGTGATTAGTTCTGACCTGATCAATATAATAAGTTGACTTTGACGCTAGCCTAGTACTATACCCATGCTTAGATGATACAAGTAAAAATAAGTTGTTAAAAGCCTTAGGTAGTAGATTGTGATGGAATTGAAACATAAAAAGGGCAGTATGAATAGTCACAAGATCCTTAAGCTTCATTAAACCTAGCTGTGAAAACAGTGGACTAGAATGAGCATCACGATGAGAATATGTAATTATTGGCACTGCCTACAACAGGTTTTAGAGTTGTACCATAAGTATTACCTCAGACAATTAAGCCATAAGTTAGGAATGGGTACGCTAAGGAGTAATACAATTGGATGAGAATATCATTAGTGACCATTTTGCCTGATCTTTCTCGGCACAGACTTTAAATGGGGCGCTGGTATTATTCTTACGAAGACAAATGTTCCCATAGAAAGACCAGATATATCGAAGTTTGCATTTCTTCTTTAACTCATTATATTTGTAAAATAGCTCCGTTCTTGCTGGAGTAAGACTTTCGTGAATAAAAATCTTGTTATCACCTTGGCTGCCCATTAGCCAATGTCTTCGATTGTCAAATTCCTTAACCTCGACTTTGCTTTGTAAAGAGCATCCCTGACACAACGACAAGTAAACTTGACAATTATGGGAGGAAACGCATTTTCACTTTAATTTCATTCTGTGGGATATGGAGATGTCGCTATCTTCAATAGAAACATCAACGATTGAGGCAACATTTTTAATTATCATTCGATGCAAATGCTTCTTCCTTTTCATTGGGCGAGAGAGAGTCTAACGTATACCAAAAGGAGGCATATTTTGTCTCTTAGAAAATTCTCAAGAAAAAATAACATCCGTGGATTATTGATAGCTATTTTACTCTAGCAGAACAGCAACCTCCAAAAATAAATGTCCTGTCATAGTGTCTTGAGTTAGCAACACTATGTACTCCATACCAGTCCATAGTGTATACGCGTTTAGGCTCCAAAACCGTTAAAAATACTCTTTACTTCGGGTTAAAAGTAGGTAAACGTTAAAAAAATATACCCACTGATATATGAAAAATTTAGCAGATATCCACTAAATGCACCACTTCCGTCGGAGTGAAAAGATATCACAGCAAAGCGCCCAGTGACGTAAACATTTCGTCCAGTTTTTACTCCGCAGTACTTTGCAACGGTCTGATTGTGCTCATTAGTAATCTTTAAGTAGTCATATCTGCAAAAAAATAATCAAAACAGTCGTCGTCTTTTCGGAAAAGGCGAAAGCAGGAAAGAATGCTTGCAACGAAACATATAAACAAAGTAACTTTATCTAATTTTGTTTTTTTTTTTTGTTTTTTTTTTTTTGTATACCATTCGAAAGAAAACATTAATTTTAAGTTTGGTGTCGATCAACTACAAATAGGAGCTAGTAATCTCGAATGGTGGTGGCTCCAAGCGCCTTTATTTACAAGCACTGAAAATTTTATTGATTTGTTTAGTTATATTTGTTGTTGTTGTTGTTGTTGTTTGTTTTGCTTGTTTCATTGTTGTTTTCTGTTCATTTTTATTTAATTGTTGTAAAGATCTATTTCTTGATATATTTTATATTTTGACTGTTATCAGTTTTAAATCCGAGGCTATATACAAGTACACGCTAGAGCGGATAGGTTATTGTGCCGTCACGAAAAGCTATATGCTGTATATAGTGAACACCTTTCCGCTATGTTGCTCTCCACTTCAGAGATCAGTGCGGCGCAGCTTTGTTCCGGTGTAGAAATCGCCCTGAAATCACCGTTCTTATTGTTATTTGAACAGAAGCCCCATCCAATGTGGTTTTCGTGCCCACGCAAAAGCCATCTGATATAATGTGAAATTAAGCGCGTAAAGCTATAGGTAACCTCAGTGCACGCGTATTTTGGGTGGAGGAAAGCTTGTTCATGTTCGTATTGTTGTAGCCGCCATCTTTGATTTTATGACAGAGGAGGATTGGGAGAGAAGTTTCAACATGGCACTTTCACGAGCAAAAAAAATTCGCGCGCCCGAAAAAAACGCCTGCACTGCAGGCTAAAAGCCAGGGTAAAACGTGCAACAAGAACGAGCAACAAATTTTGTAACATTGCTGCAAAACGAGTTAAATAGGCCTCTTTGGAATAACCACAACTGAATATAAAAGGGAAAACGAAATGAGTTTTATTAGTAGTAGTATTAAATTGATGCCATCTTGCAAATGGCTGTTGAAAAGCGAAGTTGTGCGAGCCTGTCTTGCAACAAATCAGGTTATCATCATAAAAATATTTTCTGTCTCTTCTAATGTTGATGGCGATACTTCAAATTATACTAGTCTTTACCTGCAGGTCCATGAATTTTCCAGCACAAAAGAGCTAAAGGAAATGTTCAGCACATAACCGAGTGGAATAAGCACCCAGTAGTTACAATCCATGTTGTTTGGGTAGTTCAGGGGATATCTAGGACTCTTGAGGACGTTGTTAACAACACCACCACACCCTATCAGACAGGAAAAGAAAAATATTGACTGTGGACGGACGAAAAAGGAAGTTTTTAAACACGCGATGATGTCATACATCATATACTACTAACGCTGTGCATGCTCCGTGAGTGATGCTATCGCATTTCCATCGTTTTAGTGAGCGACAATGATTCGGATAGGCTATCTGTAGAGCCGTATTTTTTGGGGGGGGAGGGGGGGAAACGGGGGGTGGGGGTGGGGGTAATTTGGTATAGAAAGTACCTGGATACGTGAGGACTGGGCCCAAATAAAGTTATAATAGAGGTTCCATATTGAAAGCGAAGTGCTACCCCAAGCTTCTTTTTATCTTGATGCATGAGTTTTCAAAAGGCCGAATAGTTTGGATTAAACACAGACAGAGGAGGACATTAAATGCAAACAAAATGTGACATCAGCTTTAATTTCCCTTTCTTAAATTTTAATTCTAGGGTTGACACTTTTAGCTACCCACTGGCTAATCCAGTTTATATATGTATAGCAGCCTTAAACACAGTCTATGGTGCTTATTGTGACTAGGTATAATTGGGAAGGCCTCGTTAGGCCTTATCCGTTGCTGCATCTGTATATCGCTGGCATTTTCTAGGCCAATGTTTACAAGGCAGCTTCACTTTTCTTAAATCTAAGTGTGGGTGAAGCAGTGCGAGTTGGGATAAATGGATGAAGGACCGTTTAGTTGCCCTAGGTACATGAAGACAGGAAAATCATTTTTTTTTGTGCAATTAGGGCTGGACCGAAACAAAAAATAATAATAATAAGACGTAACGTCTCATAAAGACGATCTCACTGATTAACCTGAAAATTTCTAAAACTTACCAATAATAATAATAATAATAATAATAATAATAACAAAAATAATTAAGATGACTGATGATGATAAATGTAAGAAGAAGAGGATAACTGCCTCAGTTATAGGAAAACTATTATCAACGTAAGTCCTGCATTAGTTATTTTCATGCTTATTTTCATTACCTGACGGGTTCTGAGTTGTCAGCGGTGGATAATATGTAGTTGGCGGTGGGTTTGTGGCATTTCCTGTGGAATAGCAGAAAAAAAAAAAAACGAACAGTGGCAGATGCATGCACCCTACCTGTGTGTATGTTTTTTTTGTTTTTTTTGTTTTTGTTTTTTATCGTTGTTGTGGCCAGTGGAGTAGACCCTTTGCAGCTAGACATCCAGGTGTAAAAAAAAAAAAAAAAAAAAAAGAAAAAACCATCTGAAGAGCAAAAGACGCTTTTCGCTACTAGGGGGCTATAACATATAGCCTAGTAGTAGCTCAACCAATCAGAACGCAGCATTGATAATAGACCACTAGCTGGATTTTACTGAAATACGATATTGGACGATGCAGACTCTGCGAATCGAAATAACTTTGTCCCATCTCAGAGCGTTACTTGATGCTCTCCGGGAAACTTTACTCAAGGTGACCAATATCTAAAACTAACTGCTAAACGGCACCGAAACCAGCTTTAGGCGCGCACTGATTTCAAATAACTGTCAGTTGTGTTAAACAAAGAATTGTGGGTAAGGAAAAAAATAGGGAGGGGGGTGTAAGATAGTAATTCTTTCTACACATTCACTTCTACACAAATCCCTCACCAGAAAACAAGCAACAAGCAAAAAAAAAAAAAAAAAAAAAGAAAGAAAGAAAAAACGACATAAGGAAACAACACATTAAACAAGCTATTGGATAGGGGAAGTTGAGAAAAATTACAAAATGTTTGCTAACCCGATTTTTATAACTCCAGGTATATTTATATATACATATAGACTTGTCACAAGCATGCACTATTCCAGCCCTTCATAAAAAATCACATAAATTGAACACAATTGAAGACCAATTAACATTTCCTTTGTGTATGACACCCGTTTTTTTTTTTTTAGACCAGGTTTTATCTACTCTATTTTGATATAGATGTTATTTGCACTAGTTCAGACTTGTCTTAAATACTTTCTAGAGTGAAAAATGCGAAGTCAGCTTTAACTATGCATAATAATGTTATATTTTATTTTATTTTACTTTTAGCTTTAAATATTATACGTTTTAAGCAAACAACACAAACAAAATGCATATAAATGGTTGAACTAATAATTGAAGAAAGGCGTTGTAAATGCACTTACTGTAAAAAAGGAATCTCAGCAGAAACCCTCTGTATCCCACACTTCCGTCAGAATGAAAAGACAGCACGGCATAACGTCCAGTGACGTCAACAATTTGTCCAGACTGTCCACCAGTGTATCTTCCAAAGCTCTGATTGTTCTCGTTTTTTATTGTCAGGTAGTCAAATCTAGAACAACATTTAAAGAAGAAGGTATTTTGTTATTGAAATATAGTCAATTCTTACTTAAAACTCGTATAAATCTAGGTAATCGTGATGTAAAATTCAATTTGTGTATAAAAGAATGCTTAAGAAGCTAATTATTTGTAAAAAAAAAAAAAAAAATCCCAGAGAAATGAAAACTTTTGAAAATTGTACCCATCATCTGCCATTTGATGATTTTTTAATTTTTTTAAATTTTTCCTTTTTTTCCCCTCAAATAAGGGCCTTAAAATGTCTGGATTACATTAACAGTTATAATAAATTTGATTGAATAATGATAAATTAAGTGTACTATAATAACAATATTTAATCAATGAAAAATGGGAATAAAACGCCTCATAAGAAAAATGCAAATTTTGAAAAACGTGGTTGTTAAAATTAGGTTGCCACGGTAAGTGGAGAACGTTAATAGGGACGTTAAGCGACGACGACGACGACGGTAGTGAAAACGTTGCTAAAAAATGAATTTGCGTTCTTTCAAACTTAATCGCATCTATTTGGACCCGCTTAATATGTCAAATGCAGGCGACTTTTCCCGGAGTTGAATTCTTAAGGATTTTATTCAGGGATCAAAAAGAGGAAGGAAAATTCGTCGTCGTATATGTCCAAGTCCCCCATTGCATAAAACGTCAAATTAGGAGGTTTCACGTCGTAGTCGTGCAGTGGACGTTAAAGAAATGTACTAAAAAGCGTGATGCACCTGCAGAGCTGTTGTTTTGATCATTAAAGCTATTTGTGTTTTTTGAAGTCGTCGTTGTGGTCGTCGTCGTAGTTTCTTAAGCTCTCTAATGTTAAGGTTACGACGACTTTACAATGTTCTCATTTTAGTTTTAGGAAAATACGCCATGACTGGCGGTCAAAGCTTAAACGGTTTTGAAGTTATTCAACTTTAAAGTTTTGAGGGCCCTATAAAACCAGTACTCCCCCTAGTCTGAACAGCTTTAAGCTTGTTAGTTTCCTAATCGATTACCGATCTCCAGAATCGACTAAGGTATACCTACCTGGCTTGTAAGAAAACTATAATAACATTATAGTCTTACAGATTAAGATTTCCGGTGGCAAAAAGCTGGTTATTAATTTCTGTAAAACAAGTCCTTACCCAGATTCCAGGAGAAAATAACTGAAGTTGATTCTCATTGCCATTCCGTGAGGAATTTGTACTCGATAGACGCAATCCATGTTATTTGGATATCTGCTGGGATATCCTGGACTTTTGAGGGTGTTGTTTACAGCAGCTCCACACCCTGTTATTTAAAACACGGATGACAGACAACGACTTGTGAGTGGATTCTACAAATCAGTTAATATTATCTCAATAAAAACGAACACTATTGTTTCTAAAAAAGGATGCTTAGTTTTGAAAGTCAAGTAACTGCTCTCAATGTAGGGCCGCATTAGTTATTTTCATGCTTATTTTCATTACCTGACGGGTTCTGGGTTGTCAGCGGTGGATGATATGTAGTTGGCGGTGGGTTTGTGGCATTTCCTGTGGGATAGCAGAAAAGAAAATGATCAGGGGTTAATGCAATACAACAATAATAACAACAACAACAACAACAACAACAACAACTAACCATTTTATTTTTTCAACCTTAATAAAAAATTTACAAGAAAAACATAAATTAAAATAGATGAAGCAAAAAACTACTCAGAATGGCAAAAATTTATAGGGCTGCAACACACGATAATAAAAAGGATGAATATCATAAATTTAGGAGATAGTGTGATAAAAAAAAAAGTGTGATAAAAATAAGTTAATTAATTAATTAATTAATTTAATTAAGATAAAATAGAACAACATAAAAGAAAAACAAACAAAAGCGCAAACAAAATCGGTACCAGAGAATTATTAAGTTTACATTAATAAGGGTACGTTATTCCACACTGGCCAGCATCAAGAGTAAGTTGATAAAATATCTGCCTTCTCGTTTGCTTCAATAGTGTCAAAGAACTGCTTTTTAAATTTCCATCCAGATTATTCCAAACAGAAGGACCAGAGAAGTGAATATTAAATTTATGTGATTAGTTCTGACCTGATCAATATAATAAGTTGACTTTGACGCTAGCCTAGTACTATACCCATGCTTAGATGATACAAGTAAAAATAAGTTGTTAAAAGCCTTAGGTAGTAGATTGTGATGGAATTGAAACATAAAAAGGGCAGCATGAATAGTCACAAGATCCTTAAGCTTCATTAAACCTAGCTGTGAAAACAGTGGACTAGAATGAGCATCACGATGAGAATATGTAATTATTGGCACTGCCTACAACAGGTTTTAGAGTTGTACCATAAGTATTACCTCAGACAATTAAGCCATAAGTTAGGAATGGGTACGCTAAGGAGTAATACAATTGGATGAGAATATCATTAGTGACCATTTTGCCTGATCTTTCTCGGCACAGACTTTAAATGGGGCGCTGGTATTATTCTTACGAAGACAAATGTTCCCATAGAAAGACCAGATATATCGAAGTTTGCATTTCTTCTTTAACTCATTATATTTGTAAAATAGCTCCGTTCTTGCTGGAGTAAGACTTTCGTGAATAAAAATCTTGTTATCACCTTGGCTGCCCATTAGCCAATGTCTTCGATTGTCAAATTCCTTAACCTCGACTTTGCTTTGTAAAGAGCATCCCTGACACAACGACAAGTAAACTTGACAATTATGGGAGGAAACGCATTTTCACTTTAATTTCATTCTGTGGGATATGGAGATGTCGCTATCTTCAATAGAAACATCAACGATTGAGGCAACATTTTTAATTATCATTCGATGCAAATGTTTCTTCCTTTTCATTGGGCGAGAGCCCACCACGTGACCTGCAAATAACTGCCTACAAATAATGGTGTGCTCATGTGCAATGCCGTCCAACTGTGTTTGGCTGCAAATAATCTCTTCTGCACATGCGTAAAGGAAACCATGCTTTTCTCCTTCTTGCGATCGCTCTTGCGTGAAAATGGCAGATAGCTTCGCTTACCGAGGATATTCATTAAAAACACAAACTCGGTGATCGAATGATAAAACAATTATTGAACTCGGTTATCGCAAAATATCGTGACTTGTCAGTGTCTCGCAGATCAATTATTTTGCTCAACCACCTCCAATAATTGCTAATAATTTGATCTGAATCCTCTTGTGCTGAAAGTTACTTTCATGCTTATTTTCATTAGCTGACGGGCCCTGGGTGTAAAAAAAAAAAAATAAAATAATAATAGTAATAATAAAAAAAACAGAAACGCCATCCGAAGAGCAAAAGACGCAATGGGAAATAGAATACAAAGGGAATTATCATTTTATATGATGTGAGGTCTTTGTTTGTCTTCTCCCAGTGCGTCCATAGGTCTACAGCATGGTGGTTTTGTGAAACGCTAATGGCCAGATTCAAAGAACCTAGATTTGTATTTGGTGGGGACGTATTTCGGATGAGTACAGAAATTGCTGAACTCTTGAGGCTATAACTTTCTTTCCCTATAAGATATTTCTCGCAAAAATGTCAACAAGAAATAATGTGTTTAATTATGATAAGTTATGGCTTGATTGCTTCCATGGTTACTGGTCACGTGATTTCTATTGGCCTTTTAGAGAATATATATATATATATATATATATATGAACATTTAAACTTATCACAAGCATGCACTCTTCCAGCCCTTCATAAAAATCATATAAATTGAACACAATTGAAGACAAAACAGTGCCTTTCTGTATGACACCCGTTTTTTTCTAGACCAGGTTTTATCTACTCTATTTTGATATAGATGTTATTTGCACTAGTTCCGACTTATCTTAAATACTTTCTAGAATGAAAAAAGCGAAGTCATCTATAACTATGTATAATAATGTTATATTATATTTTATTTTACTTTTAGCTTTACATATTATTCCGTTTAAGCAAACAACACAAACAAAATGCATATAAATGGTTGAACTAATAATTGAAGAAAGGTGTTGTAAATGCACTCACTGTAAAAAAGGAATCTCAGCAGAAACCCTCTGTATCCCACACTTCCGTCAGAATGAAAAGACAACACGGCATAACGTCCAGTGACGTCAACAATTTGTCCAGACTGTCCACCAGTGTATCTTCCAAAGCTCTGATTGTTCTCGTTTTTTATTGTCAGGTAGTCAAATCTAGAACAACATTTAAAGAAGAAGTTATATTGTTATTGAAATATAGTCAATTCTTACTTAAAACTCGTATAAATCTAGGTAATCGTGATGTAAAATTCAATTTGTGTATAAAAGGATGCTTAAGAAGCTAATTATTTGTGTAAAAAAAAAAAAGTTCCCAGAGAAATGAAAACTTTTGAAAATTGTACCCATCATCTGCCATTTGATCATTTTTTAATTTTTTTAAATTTTTCCTTTCCCCCCCCCCTCAAATAAGGACCTTAAAATGTCTGGATCACATTAACAGTTATAATAAATTTGATTGAATAATGATAAATTAAGTGTACTATAATAACAATATTTAATTAATGAAAAATGGGAATAAAACGCCTCATAAGAAAAATGCAAATTTTGAAAAACATTAGGTTGCCACGGTAAGTGGAGAACGTTAATAGGGACATTAAGCGACGACGACGACGACGACGACGACGGTAGTGAAAACGTTGCTAAAAAATGAATTTGCGTTCTTTCGAACTTAATCGCATCTATTTGGACCCGCTTAATATGTCAAATGCAGGCGACTTTTCCCGGAGTTGAATTCTTAAGGATTTTATTCAGGGATCAAAAAGAGGAAGGAAAATTCGTCGTCGTATGTCCAAGTCCCCCATTGCATAAAACGTCAAATTAGGAGGTTTCACGTCGAAGTCGTGCAGTGGACGTCAAAGAAATGTACTAAAAAGCGTGATGCACGTGCAGAGCTGATGTTTTGATCATTAAACCTATTGCCTTTTTTGAAGTCGTCGTTATGGTCGTCGTCGTAGTTGCTTAAGCTCCCTAATGTTAACGTTACGATGACTTTATAATGTTCTCATATAAGCTTAAACGGTTTTGAAGTTATTCAACTTTAAAGTTTTGAGGGCCCTATAAAACCAGTACTCCCCCTAGTCTGAATAGCTTTAAGCTTGTTAGTTTCCTAACTGATATTGATGAAGATTTCCGGTGTCAAAAAGGTCGTTATTAATTTCTGTAAAACAAGTCCTTACCCAGATTCCAGGTCAAAATAACTGAAGTTGATTCTCATTGCCATTCCGTGAGGAATTTGTACTCGATAGACGCAATCCATGTTATTTGGATATCTGCTGGGATATCCTGGACTTTTGAGGGTGTTGTTTACAGCAGCTCCACACCCTGTTATTTAAAACACGGATGACAGACAACGACTTGTGAGTGGATTCTACAAATCAGTTAATATTATCTCAATAAAAACGAACACTATTGTTTCTAAAAAGGGATGCTTAGTTTTGAAAGTCAAGTAACTGCTTTCAATGTAGGGCCGCATTAGTTATTTTCATGCTTATTTTCATTACCTGACGGGTTCTGGGTTGTCAGCGGTGGATAATATGTAGTTGGCGGTGGGTTTGTGGCATTTCCTGTGGGAAAGCAGAAAAAAAAATGATCAGGGGTTAATGCAATACAACAATAATAACAACAACAACAACAACAATAACAACAACTAACCATTTTATTTTTTCAACCTTAATAAAAAATTTACAAGAAAAACATAAATTAAAATAGATGAAGCAAAAAACTACTCAGAATGGCAAAAATTTATAGGGCTGCAACACACGATAATAAAAAGGATGAATATCATAAATTTAGGAGATAGTGTGATAAAAAAAAAGTGTGATAAAAATAAGTTAATTAATTAATTTAATTAAGATAAAATAGAACAACATAAAAGAAAAACAAACAAAAGCGCAAACAAAATCGGTACCAGAGAATTATTAAGTTTACATTAATAAGGGTACGTTATTCCACACTGGCCAGCATCAAGAGTAAGTTGATAAAATATCTGCCTTCTCGTTTGCTTCAATAGTGTCAAAGAACTGCTTTTTAAATTTCCATCCAGATTATTCCAAACAGAAGGACCAGAGAAGTGAATATTAAATTTATGTGATTAGTTCTGACCTGATCAATATAATAAGTTGACTTTGACGCTAGCCTAGTACTATACCCATGCTTAGATGATACAAGTAAAAATAAGTTGTTAAAAGCCTTAGGTAGTAGATTGTGATGGAATTGAAACATAAAAAGGGCAGTATGAATAGTCACAAGATCCTTAAGCTTCATTAAACCTAGCTGTGAAAACAGTGGACTAGAATGAACATCACGACGAGAATATGTAATTATTGGCACTGCCCACAACAGGTTTTAGAGTTGTACCATAAGTATTACCTCAGACAATTAAGCCATAAGTTAGGAAAGGGTACGCTAAGGAGTAATACAATTGGATGAGAATATCATTAGTGACCATTTTGCCTGATCTTTCTCGGCACAGACTTTAAATGGGGCGCTGGTATCATTCTTACGAAGAAAAATGTTCCCATAGAAAGACCAGATATATCGAAGTTTGCATTTCTTCTTTAACTCATTATATTTGTAAAATAGCTCCGTTCTTGCTGGAGTAAGACTTTCGTGAATAAAAATCTTGTTATCACCTTGGCTGCCCATTAGCCAATGTCTTCGATTGTCAAATTCCTTAACCTCGACTTTGCTTTGTAAAGAGCATCCCTGACACAACGACAAGTAAACTTAACAATTATGAGAGGAACGCATTTTCACTTTAATTTCATTCTGTGGGATATGGAGATGTCGCTATCTTCAATAGAAACATCAACGATTGAGGCAACATTTTTAATTATCATTCGATGCAAATGTTTCTTCCTTTTCATTGGGCGAGAGCCCACCACGTGACCTGCAAATAACTGCCTACAAATAATGGTGTGCTCATGTGCAATGCCGTCCAACTGTGTTTGGCTGCAAATAATCTCTTCTGCACATGCGTAAAGGAAACCATGCTTTTCTCCTTCTTGCGATCGCTCTTGCGTGGAAATGGCAGATAGCTTCGCTTACCGAGGATATTCATTAAAAACACAAACTCGGTGATCGAATGATAAAACAATTATTGAACTCGGTTATCGCAAAATATCGTGACTTGTCAGTGTCTCGCAGATCAATTATTTTGCTCAACCACCTCCAATAATTGCTAATAATTTGATCTGAATCCTCTTGTGCTGAAAGTTACTTTCATGCTTATTTTCATTAGCTGACGGGCCCTGGGTGTAAAAAAAAAAAAATAAAATAATAATAGTAATAATAAAAAAAACAGAAACGCCATCCGAAGAGCAAAAGACGCAATGAGAAATAGAATACAAAGGGAATTATCATTTTATATGATGTGAGGTCTTTGTTTGTCTTCTCCCAGTGCGTCCATAGGTCTACAGCATGGTGGTTTTGTGAAACGCTAATGGCCAGATTCAAAGAACCTACATTTGTATTTGGTGGGGACATATTTCGGATGAGTACAGAAATTGCTGAACTCTTGAGGCTATAACTTTCTTTCTCTATAAGATATTTCTCGCAAAAATGTCAACAAGAAATAATGTGTTTAATTATGATAAGTTATGGCTTGATTGCTTCCATGGTTACTGGTCACGTGATTTCTATTGGCCTTTTGGAGAATATATATATATATATATATATATATATATATATATATATATGAACATTTAAACTTATCACAAGCATGCACTCTTCCAGCCCTTCATAAAAATCATATAAATTGAACACAATTGAAGACAAAACAGTTCCTTCTTGTATGACACCCGTTTTTTTCTAAACCAGGTTTTATCTACTCTATTTTGATATAGATGTTATTTGCACTAGTTTCGATTTATCTTAAACAGTTTCTAGAATGAAAAAAGCGAAGTCAGCTATAACTATGCATAATAATGTTATATTATATTTTATTTTACTTTTAGCTTTAAATATTATTCCATTTAAGCAAACAACACAAACAAAATGCATATAAATGGTTGAGCTAATAATTGAAGAAAGGCGCTGTAAATGCACTAACTGTAAAAAAAGAATCTCAGCAGAAACCCTCTGTATCCCACACTTCCGTCAGAATGAAAAGAGAACACGGCATAACGTCCAGTGACGTCAACAATTTGTCCAGACTGTCCACCAGTGTATCTTCCAAAGTTCTGATTGTTCTCGTTTTTTATTGTCAGGTAGTCAAATCTAGAACAACATTTAAAGAAGAAGTTATATTGTTATTGAAATATAGTCAATTCTTACTTAAAACTCGTATAAATCAAGGTAATCGTGATGTAAAATTCAATTTGTGTATAAAAGGATGCTTAAGAAGCTAATTATTTGTGTAAAAAAAAAAAAGTTCCCAGAGAAATGAAAACTTTTGAAAATTGTACCCATCATCTGCCATTTGATCATTTTTTAATTTTTTTTTAACTTTTCCTTTTTTTTCCCCCTTCAAATAAGGGTCTTAAAATGTCTGGATCACATTAACAGTTATAATAAATTTGATTGAATAATGATAAATTAAGTGTACTATAATAACAATATTTAATTAATGAAAAATGAGAATAAAACGCCCCATAAGAAAAATGCAAATTTTGAAAAACATGGTTGTTAAAATTAGGTTGCCACGGTAAGTGGAGAACGTTAATAGGGACGTTAAGCGACGACGACGACGACGACGACGACGGCAGTGAAAACGTTGCTAAAAAATGAATTTGCGTTCTTTCAAACTTAATCGCATCTATTTGGACCCGCTTAATATGTCAAATGCAGGCGACTTTTCCCGGAGTTGAATTCTTAAGGATATTATTCAGGGATCAAAAAGAGGAAGGAAAATTCGTCGTCGTATGTCCAAGTCCCCCATTGCATAAAACGTCATATTAGGAGGTTTCACGTCGTAGTCGTGCAGTGGACGTTAAAGAAATGTACTAAAGAGCGTGATGCACATGCAGAGCTGTTGTTTTGATCACTGAAACTATTATGTTTTTTGAAGTCGTCGTTGTGGTCGTCGTCGTAGTTTCTTAAGCTCCCTAATGTTAACGTTACGACCACTTTACAATGTTCTGATATAAGTTTTAGGAAAATTCGCCTTGACTGGCGGTCAAAGCTTAAACGGTTTTGACGTTATTTTACTTTCAGGAGCACCCAACGGTAATTTTCGGGAAAATATCTGTTCGGAAGACGATTTGAGATCTAGAATTTTCGGAGCATCTTGCTTCGAACATCTACAAAATGGTATAATTACCCATTTTTAGAGGATTTTGACCCTAAAAAAGGCCACCTAGAATTTTCGGAAGCCTTTTCCTAGCTGAAATTTTCGAGAAGGCAAGTTTTTATCCCTATCATTTTCGGATCACTAGACTTTCAGCGAGGAAATCCGAACAGATGAAAAGTTTTTAGGGGATAAAAATATGCCTGTATCTATCGTTTGAAGACTAAAATACGTTCAACAATGCTATGTTAAGTGGTTTTGAAATATATCCTCGTTGGGTGCCCCTGAACTTTAAAGTTTTGAGGGCCCTATAAAACCAGTACTCCCCCTAGTCTGAATAGCTTTAAGCTTGTTAGTTTCCTAAACGATTACCGATCTCCAGAATCGACTGAGGTATACCTACCTGGCTTGTAAGAAAACTATAATAACATTATAATGTTACAGATTAAGATTTCCGGTGGCAAAAAGCTGGTTATTAATTTCTGTAAAACAAGTCCTTACCCAGATTCCAGGAGAAAAGAACTGAAGTTGATTCTCATTGCCATTCCGTGAGGAATATGTACCCGATAGACGCAATCCATGTTATTTGGATATCTGCTAGGATATCCTGGACTTTTGAGGGTGTTGTTTACAGCAGCTCCACACCCTGTTATTTAAAACACGGATGACAGACAACGACTTGTGAGTGGATTCTATAAATCGCTTAAATGGTATCTCATTGAAACGAACACGATTGTTAAGAAAGGATATTTATGTTAGCTTTGACAGTCAAGTGCATAATATCCGAACAAAATATAAAAAGAGATATTGTCGTCTTATGCCTCTATGCTCTTTTTTTACTCTAATATTTTTCGAGGAAAACTTATATTCAGTTGATGATCAGATATGATACATCCGTAGAAATGAAAACTAGGGCAACATATCAACTCCATGAGGTGTAACTCTCTCAGTATAATGGAACCCAGTCGTCAAATTTCTTAAATGCAAAGAGACGCAATAATAGGCGGGATCTCCACTTACGTATCATTTATGCGAAAACGTTTTCCGTGTTTATGTAACCTGATATAAACGGGAGAGGGGTTGGGAGAATTCGAGACAGTTATGCAAACCCGAGAGGAAGTCGAGGGTATGCATAGTTATCGAGAATTCTGCCAACCGCATGTTACTAAAATGAAGAACGGGGAGCGGAAGTCTGGAAACGAGTAGTCAGCGGTAAGCCCCACAAAAATCCTAAATGGCCCGTTAAGGATCAAGAAACCGATAAGATCGTTGATAGAGAAGCGTGGCTATTTCACTTGAACTATCTGCTCTTGAAGTGCTTGAAATAGTATGCGGAGGCAATAATTTCATGTCGACATTTTTCACCTTTTGCGTTTTACTTAACATATCCAGGGGTGTGCGCCCGCCTCGAAACAACAACAACAACAACAAAGACAAACGCGTAGGAAAAAAAATATGATCCAACAGCAGTTGAAAGAATATGGAGTCGGGAGAAAACTCGCAATGCACAGCCACATATTTTGAACTCAGGCGAATGTATACTGTCTAGCCCACAAAAGAATGAACGACTTTTCCTTATAGATAACATACATAGAAGCAGCGAGGTATCCCGCGTGCAGACGTCTCCTATTTCCCTAGACAGAGATTACTCCTTTGAAAAATCTCATTGATCATATCATCACCAAATTTCCACAACTACTTTTAATTAACAATCTGGTTCTGCTTTTACTGTTATTAGATCTACTACTCTGCAAGAATTCAAGATTTTAATGATTTTAATCGAAGTGTTTCACTGCTGATACATGAAAATCAAACAATTTCAGTTAATTTTGTGAAACAATTGTTTCAGGTCAATTTGCCAGTATGACCCAAAATGGAACCTGATTCACTCAGTTTCCTAACTCTAATCACTAAACGTCAGAGTCATTCGGCGGACATTTGTAGTTCTGCAAAAGACAAAACTCACGACCCTTTCCTGCATTAAAACCATTGGATGGCATTGCATGCACTGATTCTCACTCACTGCAAATGCTCAGTTACCTCCTCCCCCTCCGCTAAGAATTGAGATCCAAAACCCTTCCCTTCCTTAAGCTTTTGACAATAATCAACGTATTTCTTCATATGCAGGAAACGTTTCGTAAAATTTACACCATACAATATCACTGTATCAAGTGCTGTTCCCAGGGTAGGAGGAAGATTTGGGGAGGGGGTGGGTACTGTAATGGCCTAACCAGAGAGGCTCTGCCCGAAAGGGGAACCTTTTCTAGGCTTCAGGTACATGAAATGGAAGGGTTTTTTATGGTTGAAGGATGTGAAAGGGAAATCTGTCATCTGTTTTAGCGATTTATTCATATTGTAAAGACGGTGTATCGAGGTGTACTTACAGCAGTTAAAAGGGATGCAGCATTCTTACTTGTGAAAGGGGTACTATTTGACACCAGAGGGTTTAAAAAAGGGCTACCTTTTCTGTCTAAAATAGTATACAAAAGGGTAAGGTGTTTTACCCTGGGGCGGGCCTCTTCGTATAAAGGCCCCTCTTCTGGGTTGCTGTAACTCTAGTCTGATTCTTCTCTTTAACTTCTTTGATACTGTGAATTAATGAATTAAGCTTCCTACCCCTTTTTTTTTAAGGACCCCGAAGTTTGCCCCAAGGAGTGGAAAAAAAGTTAAGGAAAATGGGTAGTAAGCCCTGTAGTGTTATTATACATGAGGCATTGAGTAAGTGTAATGTGGCCACTATACAAATACAGTTGTATTTACTGAAAAACGTATTGGCACTCCAATCTTTTGCCACCCATCACTTGTGTGAATACAGACAGCTTGCTTGAAGGCTTATCAACCACCTTCTTATCAGCTGCCAACCTCTCTGATATTGATGGTGTGATACTAGATGGTAGGTGCACTGTAATATTACTGGATCAAGCCAATAAAACAGCTTGCAAACTGGTTTAAGTCATTGCCACATTCAGTTTTTTCACTGAGCTTGAACTATTTTTCTCAACAGTTAAAATAATGTTCATTAAAGAGATGCGGGGCTCCACTCTGCAAAAACATTAATGGTGTCCCCCTAGGGGAAAAAAGCATCCAGACGGCTAAACGGAGGAGATATACTTCCCATATTTCAACCTTTAGAAAGTACCTTCGATTCCAACTAAAGTACTTCCCTCATGTATACTTGCAACACTTAATACTGTAGCTCAGTTGTGGTTCACTTAAGTTTGAAGTTAAATTATTCCCTTTTGCTTTGAACTCATAATCATAAAATTCATTTTACCATACCCCAAAACAAAGGGAAACAAAATTTAAACCAAGTTTATAATAAACTAGAACCACAGCATAGCCATTTGCTTCAAACAACTGACTCTTTAAGAGCAAAGTGTGGTTTATATTCCTGCCACATTAGACGTTAATATGGTTAAAGGTGCCTTTTATTGATGTAATAGCCTGATCCATATTTTAGAAACTTATCTTTTCAAATAATACAATTTGCACTGACTTCTCATCATAGGTTTGTTGATATACTATTATTAGATTTACCGTTTTTATCTCATCGCCAACATGTCTTAATTTGGGCTTGAGAAAACGGACATGTCAGGTTTAGTACAACATAGGTGAAAAATGTCATGAAGTTAAGCTTATCTGACCTCGGCATAATTTCAAGCACCTCATGAGCATATAGTTCAAGTAAAATAGCGACGTTAAGTGCTGTTTTGACGCTTCTCTATCATCGATCTTACCGGTTTCTTGATCCTAATCGGTCATTTTTGATTTTTATCGACTACCCCTGACTACTCGTTCTCAGACTTCCGTTCCCGCTCCCGGCTCACGGCTCCCGACGTTTCCAAACCTTTTCAACATCTTGAAAATGAAAAAGCGCTTGCCAGTTTTCGAGCTTAAAGTGAGGTGGTTTCACTAGCGTAAAATTTACCGTCGCTGATTGGCTGTGTCTAAGAATAGTACCGTTTTTTCACCATTGTCTTCTGTGAGTAAATCTCAGTACTTATATAATAGCTTATAATAAATCAAAATATCTTTCACCTGAAGGGCTCTGAGTAGTGAACGGTGGATGATAAGTTGTCGGCGGTGGGTTTGTCCATGGAGGCAAAGTTACGTTTCCTATAAAGCACGAGAAATACTCAAGTTATAAGATACTGAATCAGATTTAGAGTAAATTTCATTTATTTGTATATTTATAGAAACGAATGCAAAAGCCTCAAAATAGAATGTTAACTTCCACAACCGTTGTTTTAATAAAGTTGTGCGAATCAAGTAAGGGGTTTACATCGGCTATATGATTGAAAATACACAAATAACTGAGTAAATAAATAAAAAAATAAATCCCTAGTAAATAAATAAGATTAACTGTCGTATACTTGTAAAATCCTTAGGTAAAGTTATTTTGATTTTGCAGTTGTTGGTAACTTCCTTAGGGATGTATTCGGGATATACTACGCCTGTCGCTTATACCCCTTGAAAGGTCTCTATTGAGGATATTTGAAATGATGAGATTGTGAGTAGTGATAAGGCTATATTACGTACCTATTTTACTAGCCAAAGCCAGGAACCTAAATTTCCCTAACCCTAACCTCAATATCGCAAAAAAAAAGCTTTCTCAACTCTGACATATGAGAAAGTACCCTTACCCTGCCCACGCGTAAACGCAACAATGAAAGTGTACCAAATTAAAGTACCGTAAAATTCCGAAAATAAGTCCCCTAAACTCGTAACGCAAAAAGTCCTCCGTTAAATCGCCCCTCCAAATATAAGCCCCCCAGGGGGCTTGTACTTGGAAATTGCCCTCAAATACAGAGCAAAACAAAGAAAACGGTAAATTTCCTACCAAGAATAAGACTAGCTTAATCGGTTTTTAAACGCAAATTTCCCTCCGTACATAATTCCCCCCAAAAATAAGCCCCTCAAAAAGGGCCTTTGAAAAATATAAGTCCCGGGGCTTATTTTCGGAATTTTACGGTAGTGAAAAGGTCACGGCCCGAATACTAGGCAGTTATATCATATCTTTCATGTACCTTTTTTTTCATTGTATGCCGCTATTATACCATGACATTGCGAAAAATGATTTTAAAAAAAAGAGATATAAGATACCTCCTCCACCTTGCCCATTGCACAGATCTCCATAGCAACAGTTAAATGAGCATGAGAGTAGGGTTCCACCGGATTGAGATATGGAGCTGTTCACTAGGCCACAGACATAGCTTGAGTTGCACTGATGGTTAGATATCGAGCAGTTTTTCAAGGCTGCTGAATAATGAATCCCCATTATGTTGGATGTATAGTTCATAGCTACACAAGAGTCGTAATAGGGTCCGCATTGAATTATAGCAGGGTTGCTGCATGTTTGGTTGGAGCCTGGATACTCGAGGCATGAATAACAGCTTATACCCTCAGCATGTGGAAGGCTGGCAAGGAAACTGCACAGAACCTGTAGTGCAACAACATGACGTTCAGATAGTTTAGTTACAAAGAAAGAAAGACCCTTTCCCTTTTTTGCGACCAAAGGGGCAAATAGTAAGAAAATTTGGTCAAAACGTCGTGTACTGGACACAGATGACGTAAAACAAAAGCCTTCTTTGTCTGTTTGGTATATTGTTTCATGGTTTTTTTTCTTTTGTTTTACTTCATCTGTGGCGGTACAGGAAGTAAATTCCGAAAATATTATATACCTCTCTTTACAACCTTGCAAGAATTATGAAGGTGACTCATGCACTGGCATTCTTATGAAGGTGGGTAAAACATATTTCAGGGTTTAGTCTACGTTTCTCCCCCATAACTGTTTTCATGCATTGGCTAGTAACTTTTAGCAAGACTTTCGTTTATCTCTTTGGGATCTCAACTGATTTAATTTCAACAATGAAATTTGCAGACACTGTCTCTTTAAGAAGTCTGTAAGGATAAAGTGAATGTTCGGGCTCTTGATCCGGAAAAGCTTGAATCGTGTTACCAATCGATTTGGTAAAATAATAGGTGTGTTAAAAGCTACATGTTTGAAGTTATGAATTATATAAAGAACGTGGATGGACAAGATACATCTATTAAGCTGTTTGGAGAGTAACTCAGTTCTGCCAAAGCAATTCCTGTATTCCAAAGAACGGGTTTTGTTAAGCTCTACAGCTATAAATTACTAATTCAACACTTACAGAGACTAAGAAGGAAACCTGCGTCAAGAATGCTGACCAAAAATGTTCAGAAAATGGGAATTCATTGAAAATAAGCAGGAAAGAGAAGAAGAGAAGGTTAACAACTACACGATTAGTTACTCTGTACCCACCAAGGCCAATATCGTCTTGAGCGTCATGGAGTAGACTCTTGTTATTACCTGGTGAAAAGTCCAAGTGATTAACCCGATAAAAAACGGGCGATTTATAGAATTCTCGATAGTAGCGGGGGATTTAATTTGCAGAGTTAAAAGGCAAACATAAAGTTTAATTAACTTTTAAATGGGTATTTGTTTGATTTTTCTGAGATGATTAAAAAGGAACGCCGTTTCCAGGCAATTACTATGGTTCTTGAAATCTCAGACAAGTCGTCATCAGAACATTAGTCATGAAAACTAAGCAATTGCTGTAATTTTGGTCAATAATGAGGGATTTCGTAACCTGAAACAGTTCTAACTCAGCCCTCTGTTTTAGCTTTATTTTATATAAGCTAAAATATTCCTCAATAATGTAGAGAAAATTAATAAAAATATTTGCCATCATTTGAATGTACTGTATCTGCTAATTCTGTATATTTATGTGGGCAAGTGCAATGAAAGTAAATAATTACAACTGGAACATTTACTTTAGTTAAAATAATTTGAAGCAATAAAATAAAGCATCATTATGCTGCAAGAATTTCAACCATTGCTAAGGTTTTATCAATTGAGTTAAAAGTTTTGCCATTTATTTGACAAGAAAAAAGCCTCAACATCAGACACGTGCACCTGAGGGTGGCACTATGTATTGAGCCGTTACATCATTCTGATCGAGAAAAAAAGAACGCTGAATGTTCCTTCATTAAAGAGGAGGACATTGAAAATTGTGGGACAAGGTTGATTGCTAAAATTTGTTTGTTAGTCTAGGCTGAAAGCAAACGGAAAATGTAATTACCTTAAATTAACTGAAAAATGGTTTGTAGTCACTTAAAAATCATTTGGAAACGATTTTTATTCTGATTAAGTTAAGGTTTTCTTGATTTTTTTTTCCATAAAACTTCAGCACCTGAAGTTTTCTGCAAGTGTTCTTTTATCCTTCCAGTGCATTTTCAGATAAGTTTAGTGATGGTCAGTTACTATGGTTACGAGATATGACGGCGTAAGTAGTAGGTGGTCAAGTCATTTTTGAGCGAAAATGCATGTTTTCTCAATTTTTTCAGGAACAATGGTAAAGCTTGTGGATAAAATGATGCACTGTTTTAACCTGATTCTAATTTTTGATAAAATCGATGGCGACCATTATTGGTGACGTCACAGACCTACAGCGGCGCCACCACCCATAAAATATACCTCCCCTGTAGAGAAGGTCAAAAGCTTTCCACTGAAGGAAAAATCATTTCAAAAGATTGCAACGTCAAAACTCCCCGGGAGGATGTTCCATCAACCTCCCCGTCCGCCCGAGGGTTATAACAATGATAGTAAAAATAATGATTTGTATAACAGTCTGAGGGAATTTATTATATATATTCCATAATATATACATTCTAAACGTTACCCTATATACACTGATTTGAAGCTAAAAGACTTATAGAACAAACCGCCCAGTTACTAGGGGTAACAGAGTGCAAATCTGTAGCAAAAGGCAGATCGAACAATGAAAAAGGTTGGCTTGATCACAAAAAAAGGAAGGGAAATATAAGTTCAGCTGTTTTGCAACTGCTTGTGTCAATAGCAATCATTTTAATTTCAAGTCTTTGCTTGATGAGATCACAAATTACTCCCATTACTATTTTCTGAACCTTTCCGTGCGAAATGTTTCCCAAGAATTCTCGGGAGCAGGGTAAATCTCAATAAACTGCCAGGATTTCTTGAGAATTCTTGAGAAAGCTTGCGACTTCATAAAATTCTCTGAAATTGCCGAAAATTTTCAACGGCTTGTCTGTAAGAATTTCACGCGTTCTCGCTTTTCTAGGGAATTTCCAAGAATTCTCGACAATAATGTGAGTTTCAATTTGGCAAGGTCATTCAAATTGCAGTTCCTGAAAATTCTCAGGGATTATCAGGGATATCTCGCTCGCTGATATGCGCCCTGATACATGTACTTTACAGTGTGACTATGATACTCACCTGACACTCACTGCGCAGCTCGGGTTCATTTGGTCATCACATGGAACACTCTAAATTAATATCGTGAGCCATTTACATGTAAAATGTTAAGTTACTTTTTTAAGCGAACGAATATTAACTCCAAAAAATTCGTATTGAAATAATTTATTATCATGTTTCTGACACAAAATCCGCAGTTAACCGTGTATATCAGAACCCCAGAACCACCGTGATCACGTAGGTCAGTATCGAGATGGAAAATAGGTAACTTTAAACTTTTTTTACATGAGAAAACTCAGACCGGCGTGAGTTTTATACCGGGATGACTATATGATATCGTATCGCGTTTACATGATGATGCGTCATTTCACATCTCGGTTATTTTGAGGTGCGATTCAAACTCGGAAACAGTACGCATGCGCTACCCGTTCCAATCCACCGACAGACCGATTTCACACCGAAACGGGTGGTCGTTTCGCGTTTACATGATGCCGGTGCGAGATTTCGTACCGAAATGAAATTTTCGCCCCGGTACAACAACCGGTGTAAACTAACGCCTAGGTGACTCGCTCACACAAGAAATTTTGTGGGGTATCATGTAAACAAATGTAGAGGCATGTGAGAGGGAACCGGATCGGAGTGAACTCGCGCCGGCGCGAAAGTCGCCCCATTGTCATGTAAACACCCTAAGATCTCAAGTTAAGATTTCACTTCTCCTCCTTTTTGTTGCATGAAAATCAGCGCTCAAACATTTTTCATCGTTATCTTCCCTTCATACATGTGTTTATATAAAATGGATTTCCCGTATTCGTTATCCCTGGGATACCACAATTCTAACACGCATGACTACGTTGGGAAAGAGGGCTGCCGTTACGTGGTGAGGCCAGATGATTGTGTAGCTGACACTTCTACCGGTCGCTACAGTAGCTACGAGCGCCCCTAAAGGGTTCAGGTACGCTGATTAATATTGCGCTCTAAAGATACAATATACATGTTACATCCGCCGACTGTCTGGACACGTACGTAGATTATGTTTTCACCCCGAAACAAAACGTCTTTGGATCGTTATTGCCTGGGATAACTTCAAGCAGCGTTAAGCAAAAGGGATCTGCAAATCGCAGGTCAAGCCGTTACAGGATACAGGACCTTACAGAGACATCACTGAGCGACTAGCTGGCAAATGTAAGGTTTGCTTCCAATCAATTTTAAGTAGGGCACTAAACATTCTTTCTTTTAGTATAATTTGTAATGGCTGAAATGTTTAAGCATTCGCTCGAAATTTGGGTTCATACGTTATTTTAAAGATTGACAACTGAGTCAGTTGTCGATAGCGCGTCAGTCACTTCTTGAATTTGAATTTACGTTTACAAATAGCAAAAGTCCAATTCAAGCTTTGCACCATTCATAGCTTTATAACTGGTTTTAAGCTAAACAATTTTCCAAAGAAGCGAAGGTTGAAGAAGTACAAGTAGAAAGGAATTTCCAAACACTGACGACGAAACGTAATAATGTACTAGTATTCAAGTTCAACGAGAAATGGAAAGACGGGCGCCCGTGGTTGTCAGCTGAGGATGGAAAGATGTTCTGTTCTTACTGCAAAGAGTTTGATAAGACAAGCAGAAACAAATTTGTCTCAGGCTGTGAGTCGATGCGCATAGAGAATGTCCTGTCACATGAAGCAAGCAATTCTCATAAAACTAGCCACTCGGCATTCTTAAACAGTAAAACCCAGGAGACTAGTGGATGCCCATGGGCCAAACCAAAGGCCCAAACAGGCTGAGACGATAAATTGGTGACAGAGTGTCATTGCTTTCTATCGGTTTATTACTAAAACGCATGAAGATTCATGGGATATGACAAATGCCCCCTCTTGAAACAAACGAAAAGAAAAAAATGAACCTGGTAAAAATAGAATGTAATGTACTAATAGGAACAAGTTCTGTCACGTAAACAGTTTCCACTTAATTTTTCTAAAGACTAGTAGAAACTCTGAGACGGTTTACGCTCTCTGAGAAGGTGTCTCCGCTCTGGTTGCTCAGGTGTTGATGCTTGAGGTTCTGAATCTCGCACAGATGAGTCCTGCAATGTAAAAGATGCATCAGCTATGCTATCCATGGCTGGAGTGTCAAGTAGGGGGGTAGCCTCTTTAGGCTGTGAAAGGGTTAGTGTTGTAAGTACAGGCCTTTATCCCATTTTATTTTCTGGGTCAGCCCTTCAGTTTGCTCATGTTGCTGGGGCTCACGAGCTAATTATAATTACTCTGACCTTTAGCTTAGTGTGGGAGGTATGAACCGTGCACTTAATTGTTCTTGATGTTGCTTCCAGATAATGTCTCCGACCTGAACCTCAAAATTCCGGGGACTGACTCTTCTCTTCTCTGGTTCCTAGGATCCATTTTGCTCCTTTTCCAAAATTACACACAATAACTGCTTGGTTTAGTGTAAACAGGGGTGGTCATCAAAGTTGTCTTGAATCTTATTCTAGGCTGTCTGTTCATAAGTAATTCGGTGGGTGACTTTCCTAATGCGGTAGGTGTAGCCCTGTAACTCAACAAAAACCTGCCTAATTTGTTTGCACAGACTCGCCTGTATCGCTGATCTTGCACAGTTTATTGTAGCCTGCGGAAGCATCCGTTTCTCCTCGCTCTTCGCCGCTGGGAACGTTTCGCGCTGATGAACGTCTGCGACTCAGCGACAGAAATTCCATACACCTACAATCTCCGATCTTGCCCACTGTTTTTCTAACCTGCGAAAACATCAGTTTCTCCTCGCTCTTCGCCGCTGGGGACGTTTCGCGCGGAGGGAAGTCTGCGACTCAGCGACAGAAATTCCATACTGATGACGCAAATCAGCGTTTACATAATAAGTCCGGTAGTCATGGGGTTTCAAATAAAAATTTTTCCAATTTTACGTGTCTTCTGGTCGATCAGTTTTGGCAAAGTGTTGTGTTCATCTGCCAAAGTGCTCCATGCCAGCGAAAAACTCATAAAATGCTTCTTCTTGAGAAGACTATATTCCATAAATATTGACTGTTTTGTTAGAGATTCTTCGCGTTTA